TTCCACTTGACTCATCTTATTTCTTTCTTCCTTACAAGGAAATCGATCGAGGAAATATCCAGTGATTTACCAGATACATCGTTCCTCAAGGAAGAAGCGTTACTCGAAACTTTTCCATTACACTTTTCGCTTGGAACGTGTAAGATAGCAGTGTATAATATCGTTACAATGACTTCTAATGCTTTTCAAATTCAAATGCCTTACCTGATAAAGAGAGAGTCGATTAGAAAGGGATAAAAAACGAAATGAACAGAAATACCGGTATGGTGAATACTGTCGTACCAGGGCGCAGGCGTATTACAAATTTATCTTGTAGAGAAGAACGGAGCAAGAAGAGAAGGGAAGATAAATGTATAAGTAGATGAAGAAGAGAAGCGCATAGCCGTAGATGAGAAGAAAGAAGGTGAGTCAAGGGAATTTCAACGAGTTCCTTCCTGGTAGCAGCGAGCTTCCCCTCAGCCTCGGTTTCTTCCTGTAAGAAGACCTTCAGAAGGGGAAGGGGAGCTGGCCTCGTGGGCGACTCTCGCGTTCCTAAACTGCATTCCAACCTGCGTTGCCACGTCTCATCGTAAGCATGCGGATACACGCATAAACGAACGAACACGCGTAAGACGAAGGTGCGTGCAGACACGTGCACCAAGAGCAACATCTTTTCGCTGAGGGCCCGCAAACTCAACTCCTCGTAAATATTCCGATAAACGCCTCCCTTACTCGCGACCCTTCTTCTCGTTCCCTCGTCCCTACACTTTCCCTCACTCTCTCTTCGTCTCTCTACTTATACACAAGTGTGTGAATTTTCATTGCTCCGATCACCTCAGACACTTGTTCAAAGCGCATTCCCATCAGCGTCAACTTTGAACATCACCCTTTGACTCCACAACTTAATTCCACGATATAGTACAGTACCGAGCATGGTGGTCTTCCCTAGGGAAAATGGCGGTTGAGGTACCGCGTAACCCTGTCTAGGGAGAATGGCGGTGGAACTATCACCATTTATGATATATGTATGTAACGAAATTTCCATCGGTTAACTAAAGCGACGGGTTCGAGAGGTTAGGTTAGGTTAAAATGAGGGCACGACAGAAGCGGGTGCGCGTCGTATCGAGTTCGGTGTGTGTAATCGAGAAGTTGGTGAAAAATAAAAAGAAAGAAAAGGGACCGAAAATGCAAAAGAGATGGTAAAATTTGGGGGACAGAAGATTGAAAGCAAAGGTGCCGCTATGAATTCGGTAGGAACACCTGCGTAGGAAACGAAGCAGTGTTGATAATCCTCTTTATCCTAAAACAGGATCGGTCATGAGATTCCGTAGGCGTGTCAGGACATCTCAGGCCTAGCGAACCGCATCGTCCTTATACATTTAATCATGCTCAGCTTCCTTGCTTAAAATTCTTTCTCTTTTCAACGATCCCTTATCCTTCGTTCTTCCATTTGGAAGATAAAAAAGAAAAAAGAAATTGATTCAATAAATGTACAGTCACGAGCATGGTAGTATTCATCTAGTGATAATAGAGATCCCCTACCTTAGAGTACTAAAATTATAAGAGGAAAAATGATGTTACTCTTCGCACCTTCGTGTACGATTTCCGTTCCAGAATCCATTAGCCCGTAATTTACCTCGAGCAGTCCTTTCCTCGATATTTTCACAAATGAAAAAGTCAATACGAAGCGGTCGTCGGTGTAAAGTTACTTCTTCTCTCGGGTAAAAAGAAAATAAATGAAAAGAAACTCTTCATGACTCTGTGCAAAACGTTTTGCAGTTTCATGTTAAGTAACGTAAGCGCGCTTGTCGTTTCCCTGTATAAGGCGGCCTATCGGGGTACTAGCTTCCGGTCGACTCGAGGTTTTTCTCATATCCTTTGAATAGCCTCTCGTGATACTCACGGCCAGTGGCAGGTACCTATATTCGAGATCTCGGTGTGCGCTCAACCATGTAATGACCACCGTCTCATCCCAACACAGGAAGAGGAACAGGTTTTCCATTTTTCACCGGCTTATCGTCCCACCTTAACCTCGAGCTTGTCGATTCTCCGGATGTCAGAAGTCGAATAAGAGGGGGAAAAAAAAAAGGAACAAGAGTAAAAGGAGATACAATTCGAGGGATAAAGATGGACCAAAGGTGTCTGTACTCCGTTTACGAGGAAAAGCAATTCTAACTTAACTTAGTGACAAAGGGAAATATGGCAGGTACAGCATCGAGCATGGTGAACTTCTCTAGGGGAAAATGGCGCCTGCACTAGCGTCACCATATTTAATTTAACAAACGAAAATCTAGAGAAAAGTTCTTCTACTATCGGGGCTGTGGTATTATGACCGACGAATATGCGAAATGGTAACTAAACTCGTCGAAGAAAAAATGAAATGGTGGAAACGAATATTGGAGTAACAAGGGATCAACGTGTAAAAATTGTGAATGCACATCGTGTATTTATGAGTTGTGATACACGTATATGTATGGAGGAATGCTTATGCGGGCACAGCCTTTCTTCATGGCCGTGGTTCATCGGCGTCGGTCATCGAACTTGCAACAAATTCAAAATAAACGGTCAACGCGTACCGAACTGTGCATATACGGTCACCATCAACTATCCTCTTTTTTACAACACCAAATAAATTTGCATTCTACCGTAAACTTTCCTGATAGCCACGCTCACACGTGTCCGATCGATTTTCTGATATTATTATTCTGATATCTTTATATCGAGGAATATAAAGTAGTTGTATCTCAGAGAACAAATGACACCTTTGACAACTGATAAGTCTAGCGCAAGGTAAAGAAATTCCCGTCGAGTTAGGTACCGAAGAAAAAATATCGCCGCGTAAAGCGGAAGCAAGTAAGGCGGAGATAACCCAATAAATTATATAGAAAATTAACAGAACTGGAGGTAGTTAAGTTAGATATTCTAAATGGACGAATTGCTTTGAAAGGATAGCAACGTTACCGTTAGAATAAAAAGAAATCCTGAAAATCCGACTTCCTCCGAACGGTGATTGCAGCAGAGAAACATGATTAACTGGATCATTTCAATCGCGAGGGTTCGCCGAAACCTTTACGTTCATTAGAAAATCAGAAAAATTCATCTTTTTCTAAAGAAACCCATACTTCCTATCTGAACGAACGCATTTACATATGGTTTCATATGGAAATTAGGTCGCAGGACATGCTGAACTTATTTCGAATACACTGCCTGTAACTACATCATTTCAAAATTTCGTGTACCCTAATTTAGTCGAATCGAGGAACACGGTTTGATTAGATTAAGAGGTTCTTACAGAAAGGACCGGTACGTAAGGTCATAGAGGTAAAAGAATGGCGGAAGGTGGTTCTTACGTGTCAAACGGTAAGCGGAGCCTTCGAAAATATCCGACGAAGCTACCGGCAATTTTCCCACAACTCCTCCCACGAGCTGCACAGATTCTTACCGAGGTCCTTCTGTGCCTTTTCGCCCCCTCACCTTGTCTTCTTTCGTCGCCTCTCTTTCTTATCCATACAAATCGTATTGACCGAGTCTTCTTCTTCTTCTTCTTCTTGAGCTCGCTCGGTCATATAACGGGATGCAAGGAAAACGCACTCGAATTCCCTTTTGATTCGATCGCACAATGACGGCTTTCGTTTGAACAATCGCTATCCAAGGGTAAGATATATATTTCGAGCCACTCGAAGAAGAAGTTGAGGAAATCATGCCCCGCAAAAGACGAGCTACCTGCTGCCGATGCCTCCGCCACCGGACGGAGGAAAAGAAGTCGTGAACAAAAAAAAAAAAGAAAAAGAAGGAAGACACGAGAATGAAACGTGCCGGAATGGGGCACCTACGTCAATATACCGGTTACGCGCGCGCGATCTTCATCCCCGTCGGACGAAAAACTTTCTCACGAAAGGGAAGAAGCGTGAACAGAAGACTTTGAAACGAAAAACGATCCTTCCACTCTGGGGGATGCAGCGTTCTCCTATTTCTTTTCTGAACGAAGGAGTCAGAAACGAACTCGTCTATATACACGTGAAATTACCAGAACTGGTAACCCGGTGTCATCCTGTTAGTATTTAACGAAGAAAATGTCAGCCGGATAAACGATTCGCTAACTTTGCGCTTCTATACCGCACCTTTGACTCTCGCTTACGTTACTTACTTACGTTGCTTACATAATAAGCGATGAACTCTCGGTGTAACTCTTCTCTTCGCCCTTCTCTCCGTTCTTCGTCTCGTTTACTCAGCGTGGCACATAATCGAGGCTTCTCCGTCAACGGTATAAAGGGGAAACGATCTCGATCGGGAGGGAGTAGAGAACGGAGGTCGACATTACGCCAGAGAATTTCTTCTAGCAATCCTCTTCGTACCGATAGCTGTCTTACTCTCCTCTGCTTCTACCATATCTCTTTTGCGCAACATACCGCGGTATCCAAGTATTAGGACACTCGTTACTTTTCTCGATTATGCAATAATTCGACGATCTTTCGAATGTACATTTTCATTTTCTAGTTATATTATACCCCACCCGAAATGTTTTCCCGCCAACAAGTGTCCTGGTACACTTATGCCCGACGGTGTACACCGAATGTAGCCTACACCGCAATTATCTTGACACAAGTGTACAGGCTCGTTATAGAAAGAAAATATTTAGATGATAATTAAAATGTACCAAAAACGTGATACGGATAAGATGACCCGATTTATCGTTGGTAGCATCCTTTCTCTTGTTTTCTCGCGTGTTAGAAGTCGGTGAAAGACACGAGCGAACCTTTAAGCAGCCGATCCTCCTGCTAGATTATTTCATAAGCATTCCCAATACGGAAAAGTTCATCCGCTCTTACCGAGGTATGAGTTCGAAGTGATTGCGCAAGCAATCCCAAGTTGATGATCGTTCGCTCGTTCCTTACACGCATCCGTGTTCAGATTCTCTGACACGGATACATAAGTAAATACATTCCTTTAAAAGCTAAGCCGAAGGCTTTTCGAATTCGTTTAATTTAAAGAAGCTACAGCCAAAGAAACGAAATACTTACCGGAGATTGATGCGTGCTGCCCTCTCGCGTGATTCAGACGAACGTCAAACAGGAAAAGAAGATCCATCCAGGATTTCCGAGTTGATCGCGCGGTACAGTGATCTATTTTAATTTTACCCAATCTATTAATTATATATTTCGTTAGAAATAAACGAAAGTGAAATGTTCCATAACAACTTACCAGCGTAATTTCAAATGATCCAAAGAAACTTGTCGCGTTTGAAACCATTTTATAAAAAGAGAACTGGAGCGCCTGTAAGAAAAAAAAAAAAAAAAAAAGAAATTCTATAAGCTTTGCAGTTACAAGTCCGTTATGTAAGTTCGTCGCGATTAACATTCGCTGGCTGATCGAATTGAGCGTAAAATTTGAAAAAGCCAGGTGGTGGAGGATATCGGGCCCCGTAACTCGTTGGTAATCTTTGGCAGAGTCCCCGTACGGTCGATTGCTAATCGCGCCTCCTGAGAAATTCAAGCGGATTTACCTCGATCACGTAGGGGCGATTTCAAAAACGGGACACGTTGTCGCGAGCATACTCACGCCCATGCGCGCACCTACGTGATCGGGTTTTTGTTTTCCGCGGCCTCGTGTACGCGGAAGAATTATCCCCCAAAGGGCCTACCGCTTCGTCTTATCCCGGAAAAGGTGTGCGTACGCACGGCCATTACAGGAATTTCTTTACAACCGAACACACGTTCGATATGAAATGCCTAAGTAAATCAAGCGAAATTCATCCGAACGCGTCGAAGATCTGGTTAAAATCTATAGACAGCGACGGAACGAATGCAACCGGAATAGGAAAATATTCGTATAATCCGATCGGCAGGAATGACATACGCGTACATGCGATTGCACGAGCCACGCTTTCCTCGTGACATAATATTATTTAACCCAGAATAACGCCGTATACAGCGGTTGCGTAACGATAGAATTCGCGTGCCGTTAATTCGCGACACGACTGCGTACTCGGAGAGCTGGTTCTTTTATTATATAAAGCCGATGGAGGTTTGGTAGACGGTTACAACTTACTTTACTAACGTCCTCCCAGTTGCGCGGCACCGTACACCGAAACTTTTCTACGACAAAAATTTTCGAATGGCTTCCACCGAATTGAGCAACTGTTGCACGGGCAAACGAGATAATGCTATGCAGAGTACGATGTTGAGTCTTTTTACGTGGCATTGGTATTCCAGAAAGCGTACACGCCTTTCGTCGACGAGTAACAAGGAGGAAAGTTGGTGAACGTCGTGCCGTTGCATCGCTAACGCGACTTCTTTTTTATCCATCGTTCCTACTCCGTGAATCCTCGTGATTCCACCGAGTAGGTAAATCATCATTCGCAATTCGGCCCTAAAGGTCGCCGACGTACAAGCTACTTTTACATAATCCTCCCGTCTTCTCCTCTTTTACCCTTCTAACATCACCTTTCAACGGAATATTATCCTATCGCTGGTTACTTATTAACGCGCACCCTCTTTCTGTCAACTGTCCGCCATTATGGAGATCACCGTACTCGCGTTACGTTAACTTGAATTTTTCAAGTAGCAATTAACGTGTATTGTGTAACGGCGGAAGAAGCGGATAAGTTTTCGAAAATTCGATTCTCTTTCATTTCAAAATCTACTACTGGTTTTATATGTTACCGGCTACATAATTTCCGATTCGCAGCATCATCTATGGTGCTGATGTAACACAGTCGCTCCGCGAGAGCCTCTCTTAACTGCTTCTGCAATTATGTTGACGCAACAGCCAGAGACAGATTCGCTTTCTCTCATCCTTCTAGCGCTCATCGCATCCTTCAACAACCGTTAATGTAATATCCGTCATTAGATAGCAGTTCACGTGGGCATCTATATAATTAATTATACAAGGATCATACTAGGTGATCCTTGTTCCATTTCTACGACGATATGTATAAACGTGCGGTATGTATAAACGTTGAAGAGGAAAAGTAGACGGGTGCGCTTGGTGGAAATGGTAATCTGTATGGCACGGTTGATCAAAGTAGGATCAACCGGTCGGTCGTCGATAACAAGGGTCCGCCAAAGAAAGAATGCAAAGCGAATATGGTCAGGATACAAGGTAGTACATAAGCCGGATGGGTTCGTCTCGTGTTCCAAGTACTACAAGAGCGATGTTCACGTGTTCCGACTGTCAATTCGGAAAGTTGCGCGCGACGAGCATCCTCGTTCACCTTCGCCCACCTTCGGCCATCAGCTTTTTTCCTCCCCCCCCCTTCCTTCCTCGCCTTTTCCATGGGAACGTTGACTTCGAGGCGTGGCGCCGGAACTCGAAGAACGTCCTAGTCTGACGACCTCCTCGATAATTACGTGATCGACTGCGTTCCGTTGACCATCCATCTTTCCTACCAATTTTTTCTACGATTACATCCTTAATCCCATTGGAAATGTCTGCCGCGTCGAGTTCGCCCGAAATCACGAATCGTCGTTTACATTGATTAATTAACATACCGACATTCAGGCTGTTATTAAATAAGAAATTATGAAAATATGTATTGAAACGTATACCCTCCCTAAGCGAAATCTTTGGGTCCGCTCCTGAGACCATTATCTATCAATCTAGCGATACCAGTATCAATCTACTGATACCACTGTTTGCGCAGTACATAAGCGGAAGTACACCAATGTGGGTGTCGCGTCAGGTGCAGTTAATTCGTCAATTTCCTGTTCGTCGCATCGCAAAATGTCTAAAAACGCGAATGGAAATAATCTACATCGTAATTCTACAAGGCGACGTAGAAGTAAGTGTACGAGCTTGTAGTAATAGGTTAGAGTCGAATGCAACGTAGAATTCTCTTGGCTAACACGTCCTCGCTTGGGCAGACGTTGTTCTACTAACTAAGGAGAGCCTAACCTTGAACTTCCGGTCTTTGTATAGAAAAAAATATAGACAAAGTAATGGATGGAAGGAAGTTGGGACACTTTTCCTTTAATTGCACGTTGCACGTAATTCTACATCCCTGAGCACAAAAATACAGAAATGTTACTAACAAAATCGAAGATCAAATATATCTTTTGAATTTCCCTCGAAATCTATTCTCGAAAATCGAATGTACCAATGCTGAGTGCACACGAAGCGACGAACCGCACTGTTTAAGGGGTTAAAGAGGTGTTCTGCACCCTGAACAGGAAACGGAACAGGCAAGTGAAGTTGCGAGCGTATTATTGATCGGTGGCAACGGTGCGCCAGCGCAATGCAATTCACGGGGCAAAACAGTAGCAATCTACCCTCATTCACGTTTCATCCAGTGCTCCAGTATTATTCTATCCTCCGTTTAACGTTTCTATTTTGACACTGTCAAAGTGTCGTCGCGCGTGGCTAACATGTCCGGTGGTACGTTTGTATGCGTTTAATTTTAACCCTTGTTTTTATTTTAGATCGTGATAAGAGAATATACAGGGTGTACCATAATATCAGCTTGCTGCACAAACTATCCCCCCCCCCCCTCCCAATCGGTGTTGCTCTTTTTAAAAACAAATAGCCTATAGAAAAGATTTTCATTAATTTCACCTATCATGGTACATCCTGCAGAAATCTTGAGAGACGGAGGAGAAAATTAATAACGTCTTGTTTTATTTCATCAAGACAGGGATTATATCGGGTTCGCAACATTGCCCGAACAAGTACACAGGAAATCGGTTAAAAGAGGATTCGAGTTCACCCTGATGGTGCTTGGCGAGATGGGTCTTGGAAAATCTACGTTAATAAACAGCCTGTTCCTCGGTGATCTTTACAAAGATCGACGAATTCCTGATGCAGCTGGTTGGTAATATCGACATACACGTGTATGTGTACAAAGCGGCGAATCGATGCTCGTTTCCTTTCAGAACGCGTCGAGAAAACGACAACGATTGAAAAGAAAACGATGGACATCGAAGAACGCGGCGTTAGGTTACGTTTGACTATCGTCGATACACCTGGTACGATTTTCCTTCGATTTCGTCAATACTAGGCGAAAATTATTTTGAAGAATCTATCCGGTGACTAAACGGATCTGTATTTAGGATTCGGAGACGCGGTGAACTGCGAGGATACCTGGAAGGCATGCTCGGCGTACATCGACGAACAATTCCGACAGTATTTCACGGACGAGAGTGGTTTAAACAGGAAGAACATTCAGGATAACCGAGTACACTGCTGTTTGTACTTCATACCTCCTTACGGTCACGGGTACAACTTGATCGAAATTTTTCTTTGATCGATCAGTTTTTAATATCGCTCCCGTTGCTCTAACACAATTATCTTTTCCATACAGACTTAGACAGATCGATTTGGAAGTGCTGAAACGATTACACCGTAAAGTGAACGTTGTCCCCGTGATCGCCAAAGCGGACACGCTGACCACGTACGAAGTGAAAAAGTTGAAAGAAAGAATTCTCGCTGACATCGAGGAGCACGAGATTCAGGTAGCGTCGAACATTTTACTTCGTTATTTCCTAATCGTTTAATGATACTATTCGAAAGGAGAGAGAGAGATAGTGCGAGAAAGTGAAAACGCGAAAGGACACAAGATGCTTTGTACGTAGATATATCAGTTTCCGGACTGCGACAGCGACGAAGACGAAGAATTCAAGCAACAAGATAAAGAGCTGAAGGCGTGCATTCCTTTTGCCGTGGTCGGCAGTTCGACGGTGCTCGAAGTGGCGGGAAAAAAGGTCCGCGGTCGTCAATACCCATGGGGAGTGGTAGAAGGTAACTAGATATCATTCTTCGGAAGATTTAACGAAGAATATGATTAACGCGTAATTATCCTACGGGCGAGTCGTGCGTGTCTGGTATACTTTAATTAAACCTTTCGAATTTTCATCGAGCACAGTGGAGAACCCGAAGCACAGCGACTTCGTGAAATTAAGGACGATGCTGATATCGACGCACATGCAGGATCTAAAAGACGTGACCCAAGACGTGCATTACGAGAATTTCCGGGCACAATGCATTTCACAAATTTCACAGCAAGCGATTCGGGAACGGAGGTATTTACGCATGTAAATAAGTATTGCATATCAGTAGGTATATTTCTATCTAGACGTACGTCCATATGGTAACCCTTTCCTCTTTCTATTCCCCCTCCCCCACCCTTGGAGTATGTTGAATTTTCATCGACGAACCTCGCGACGAATAGATATCGGTGTATAAATAAAATTCCATTTCGTTTCGTTTCGTTCGCAGTAAACTGAAGAGAGATTCGGGGCCACATTTTGAAAACAGCATATCCGACACGGACAGACTTTTGTTGCAAAAGGACGAAGAGGTAAGGCAAAGGGCCCGAGTTAATGAAGAACTCTTGAAATTTCCCTTATTCGGGACGGGTAGAAATCGATAACACCGCGTAAACACGATCGATCCGTTCACAGATACGAAGAATGCAAGATATCCTCGCACAAATGCAAGAGAAATTAAAAGCCACGGGACAGGTCGGACCTGGAAGTGGTCTCAGAGGAAGGGTCGGAAGTCTCGGAAACGATTTAGACGCCACCGACGTCGAGAAGAAACGCAACAGTATTATAGATGTTTGAATCTTCGAACGAAATTATATTTTTCTTCGGTTACCACGCGCAGTTTAGCATAAGTGATTACTCAACTTGGTTCTACACGAATACGCACAAAAGCTATCACGTTTCAAGCAAACGAACTGAAGAGTTTTTACATGCTCCTAAGTGTATAAGTGATTTATTATATTATATTTAAGTGTAAGATTTTAGAACGAATTGTTAGAGTGTCGTCAGTCGCGTTCGCGGGCCAGTTTTCACTTTTATATGTATGTATAGTACTCGGAAGGATGTTCCGATCCGTTAAACAGTATTTGATATCGCTACAAATTGTTCGAGTAATCAAAAACTTGTATTGCGTATACATATACATATAAAAGATACTGAGGCAGAAATAAACGAACGAGTATAATTATTTTTTTCTCTTTCATAAAATGTGTTTTCTAATTCTTTTTTTTTTTTTATGACAATAAACACATTTAATATTCCGTCACGAGTAATCTTAATTAATTTCGTAAACGATTTCGGTAACTCAGGAAATGTCACCGAATAAATTGATCGTTGCTGTACAGTCGGTAAAAGACAATGCGGTTTTATTATTAACTATAATTATAGGTATGGATCCGTATTAAAGTTCCCCCGAATAACTGTCGTTCCATCTTCATTCCATTGCCTGGAAGAGGGTATAAAAACCATTGGCTTCGTAACGTTATGCTATTTTAGTTCGGTCAAGTGAACATTCTGCCAAGCTGCTAATGATTCGAAAGGTTTGTACCCTATTCCATTTAGTTTGTAAAATTCTCTCATTTTCTACTGTTTCCAAATATTTCAAATATTTCAAATATTTCTTTTTATTATATAGGCACTCGTATTAACGACGATGTTGGTAGGAATTTTGAGCAAACCTCAAGGACCTGCCTACCTTCCACCAACCGGAACTGGAGCGCGTCCAGCATCCGGAGGCACCGGTCATCCGGACGAATGGGCTGGTGTAAGTAATTTTCCCATAAATAAATAATGCAGATAAGATAATAAGGCAAACTTCTCCACGAAGTGATGAAAACAGTAAATAATTGGTGTGTACGTTTATCTTTATGACCTGTGTCAAATCGGTACTTACTTGTCAATTGAATAAAAACGAATCTGTACTTTATGTATCGTAATCTAATCTATATAGGTGTCGTTTTTTCTAAATAGGACCCGGCGAACTATGAATTCTCGTACGAAGTCGAAGACGCAATAGCCGGACTAAACTTTGGCCATCACGAATCACGAAAGGATAACGAGGCGACCGGAACCTATCACGTGTTATTGCCAGACGGTAGAACGCAGATCGTCGATTATATTGCCGACGATGGTGGATATCGTCCAATGGTACGATACGAAGGAACGGCAACGTACCCGGCCCCGGGCCCTTCAAGGGCGGCTCCCGTTTCCGGAGGATCCGGTAGTAACGAGGGATATAGATACTAACGCGTTCTCCACCCGTTCGTCACAGATTTTCAATACTTAATCCAATTAAAGTGAATAAAAACCGAACTTTCAATAATACTACTATTTACATCAAACGAAAAATATGAAATTTTCAATTCCCATTCATAAAACTATAAAAATTTTAATTGTAAGATATTCATAACTGTCTCACTCACTCTTTCAACTTTCTCTCTACGATTTGTACTTCTTAACATATTGCAAAACTTCCTCGACGTCTTCTTTCGAACCCAAAAATATCGGTGATCTCTGGTGAATCTTCTCGGGTACGACATTTAAAATATCAATCTCTCCGTTCGATGCCAAACCACCGGCTTTTTCTAGTATGTAAGCCATCGGTATACACTCGTACAGAAGTCGAAGCTGCAAAAAACATTTTACAACGATTACCATTGTTACTTTTTTAAGTAAATATCAAGTTCCTGCGAAGGGGAGGACGGTCGCGCCGCGATGTAACGAGAGCCATGGTACGTTGACCAAAACTGAAAGTATGTAATTAAATCATCTGACATTAGGAGAGTACCGTTGTTGTTAATGTAATCTAAACAGTGGCGGCCTAACATTTTTTTTTCATAAACTGGGGAGATGGTTACTAACATTAAGCTTAAGGATTACATATTGCACAAGCATAAAGAAAGAATAAAAAAGAAAGACTCATTATATTAAATGTTATCGATAATATCAAGTGGAAATAGGGGGTGGTGCTGCAGTTCCACAGTGCCTGTAAGCGAGCCGCCACTGAATCTAAACGTAGTCGCGAAAACTTATTTATCAGAGGTCAGAAGACACACTGATACTGTACCGATAGCACACCCCTTTATATCGTGCAGCCTCTCCTAACGACAGCGATGCATTTATCGTTACGACAAAGAAAAGAAGACAGAAATAAAACAGTGATTGTACCTTGCCGGTTGGATGACTTTTGGTTGCTGGGTACAGGAATATTCCGCCATATTTGATCGTCCTGTGCACATCGGCTACCATGGAACCCACGTATCTCGCGCTATACGCTTTTCCACTTTTAGGATACTTCTTTGAATGTATATATTCTTTGATTGCTGGATTCCAAGCATTTTCGTTGCCTTCGTTAATACTGAAATGATTTCCCCCCACCCCAAAAAAAAATCAGACATGTTTTCTTCGTATGACATATGAAATTATTTTATCATTTATTACCTGTATATTTCTCCTTTGTTTGGAATACGCATGTTTTGATCGGTTAAAATAAATTCTCCAATGGCGGGATCATAGGTGAAACCATTTACGGTTTGACCGATCGACAGTACTATCATTGTTGCAGAACCATAAAGCGCGTATCCGGCTGCGACCAAGTTTTTACCAGGTTGTAAGACCACCGATTCCATGGAATCTTTCACATTATCTGGCTTCTTGTAGATACCAAAAATCGAACCGATCGATACCAAACAATCGATGTTGGAGGATCCGTCCAAAGGATCAAAGCAGACTATGTACTTTCCACGTTTCTCGGTTTCCACTTCGATCACATTCGTATTCTCTTCGCTCACGAGGAGATACGTCGTGAACGAAGACGTCAACATATTCACGAACAATTCATTGCTTAAAACATCCAATTTCTTCACCTCTTCGCCTTGAACATTTGTATTTCCTGCTATTCCGTACCTGCACCGATTAAATTTCGATCAATACTGACGATTACGCTTCGAATTCGTTACGGTAAAATTGGTTACCACTATAGTGGTCGATAACGTAATCGGTCGGTAACGTTATCGACGAATATCGATAACATCGAACACCTCTACGAGCAGAAGCTCGTTACGCTTCCACCATTTCAAATTGATTTTTATGAAGTACAACCGCGGTGTTAATTAAATACTCACATATTAGCAATGCCGGCTTTTCTAACAGCTGAACTGACCGCCTTTACAGCGGTCTGTATGCTGTTCAAAAGTTGGCTAAGATCTCCGGTGGCTGTTGGAAATTTTCGTTGTTCCGCGAGCACGAACCTCGTTAGGGTCATACAATTAGAATCGAACGAGTGGCTTTTCGAAGCCATTTTTTTAGAATGGTAAACTTTACGCTGTTCGATCTGACGGAGTTTCAAGAAACAACTAACGCGAAATCGCTGCTGCGTTCTCCTATATAAAGTCGCGACTAGCTTATCTCACTAGTGAAAGCGATAATATGGAACATACAATCTTTCGAACCTTTCTTTTTCCTATTTATTTCAGAACACTTGTTAGAATATAATCCGACCAAACACGTTCTATATCCGTGTTACACACTAACTTCGCAACATTTTTTCTTCAAACAATGGTGTAATGAAAACATTATGTAAGGGGTTTTCCTCTAGTGCCGGACGGCATCTATTAACTACATCTACAAATTCTTTCAACCGCCAAACGTTTTATCCTCTCCTACATTCCTATACACCCCCTATATTCTATAATTTTAAAAATAAAAATATTTTTATCAAAATTTACTTGCACCATTTTACATCTCATTTTATGAGAATAAAATTTCTGTTGCAATATGAGCCTTTTTTTTTATAAATTCCGCGACTCAAAGTACACGTGTCGTAAGGAAATTTAATATTTATCTACTCTTATTTCGGTAAATCATCTGTTCACGCATTTGCCAAACGCCTTTAACAAACACACATATGTTGCAATAATTTTTTGCTAATCGAGAACTTGTGTAAAGTTTCTTGCCGAAGGAACAGAGATACGAGTGACCGTGATCAACTCCATAAAATGAAACTAAACTAAAAACTAAACGAAACTAAAATGGAACAAACTTGTAATTAGGGAAACTTGTTGTTCTATCTTTACAATGATATGAAACCTTCATTGATATGATGTAAACAACCAGTAGAATGCTTCTAGATTATGCACTAGCCTGATTTAATAATTTTTCAAAGGTTCAAATGTACTTCGGACTTATTACATAATATATTAAACAGTTGTTACGAATATATTAGATACAAAATTGTAACTACAATATTTCATAATATTTATATTCTTGATTATTTTGTCATTTGTAAACATACAAAAAATGTATCAAAATTTATCACATCTTAAGGGGGAAGTTAGACTATGGTAATGAAGATCGTCTCGAGGTCGTTTAAGATATTTTTTTCTTTTGTTTTAAATATCTTTAAAAGCAAAATAAACTGTGTTTAAAACATTTTTTAAAAAATAAACAATTTCAAAAATAATTATGTGGACCAAGCTTTTCTTTTTTAAAGATACTGGTATTTACACCATATTAATCTGTTTACAATGATGTAAACAATACTTTATTATCAATGCATGTTGATATGCAAAACAACTATTCTATATTGACGGTATAACTCAGATATCCTCATACTTATCTTACATATATTGCATTTATCATATATATAGAGAGAGTATTTTTAAGAAGGAGATAAATCTTTATAGAGATGTTTACTCATCTCCTTATTGAGAGCAACTATCTTGTGTAGCATTCATTATTCTCTTTAATTACCATCTATATCTTTATTAACAATTCTTCCTACAGCCAAATAGAATATTTCTTGTTAATGTATCATTTTCTTTTAGAAACTCTCATTTCCCTCATTTTATTCCCCATATTCTGATCTTTTTTTTCTAGTCAAAAATTTGTTTATTAGTGACTTACCCACTGCCGGAAAATTAGTCGATAAGTTGGCAAGTTGTTTCCGCTGTTTTTAAGTAGATGATGCGGGGTCACTTCTCTCTAGCACTGTATAGTTTTCTGTTAAAGATACCTTTCTAGCTATTTTCTAAACACAGATTAAAATTTAAAATTGTATGTCACTACTGTTTAAAAGTAATTCAATATATGAAATTAATAGAGGAACTACAATAAAATAACAAGTGAAATCAAACGAATTTACAATTATCATCAAAATTGAAACTGAAATATAAAGTTAGAATTTGATTTGAATAGGTAAGCTATGTAAACAAAGTATATATTGTATGTACATAAAAAACAAAAAAATATTAACTAAAAGATACAAGTGATATTACATTTAATAAAAGTTAATAAAAGTAATTCGTTTTTCTTTGCATTTAAGGTGACAATGCAAAGGTCTTTGAGATTAAAACGTGAACTTGAACGGTTTGCTCGGTATCCTACAGAAGGAATCAGTTGTTATCCAAAATCTGATAATCTTGAAAACTTTGTGGCAACAATTATTGGACCACATGGAAGCCCTTATAACGGGTGTATTTTTCAATTAGAAATTAATATCTCTGAAAGGTATCCGTTTGAACCTCCACGGATTACTTTTCAAACACCTATTTATCACCCAAATATTGACAACAAAGGTCGTATTTGTATGGATCTGTTAAACATGCCACCTAAAGGCAGTTGGAAACCAACTGTCAGCTTAAAAAATCTTTTGGATGCTGTACAATGTTTACTAGGAAATCCAAACCCTGCCGATCCTTTGATGGCAGATATAGCACAAGAGTACATATATAATAAGCAAGAATTTGAAAGAAAAGCCAAAAAATATGCAGAAAAAGCAAAGAATAATCTATCATAATTAATTATATAAGTATTTTTAGATATAAGAAGAATGCCAAAAAGATATTGTTCTCAGAAAGATATTATTTTGCATTAAAAGTTTGAACATTCCTCGTATTTCGTAACATTTATATACATCGATACTGCTTGTTAATTTTATTATTTTTTTTTTACTAATTGTGTCATTCTGTAATATAATTATACAAATAAAATTAACTACTGCGTATTTATAAAAAACCAATGAAATTTTATATACCACTCCCTCTATATAAGTTGTGGTGGGCTTTTTAAAATATCGCGAAAGAAGGATCTAGTAAAACTAGTATACCTGTATAACTAATATATCAGTAATGCTTTTCTAACAAATTACTGCCTTAGACGCAGGGAGGAATTAAAGGAATTTAGACATATTATTTATAACGCTAGACAATGGAATGAGTAAATAAATAAATAAGAAAAGAATTTTCCTCTTACCTTGTAGCGTTGTTGACAGCATTGGGTGTGGCGCCACACTGCAATGTTTAGATCGCCCTCTAGCGAACACAGTCACGTACCAACTTCTTCGGTAAATATCATTGAACGGGTCTTCTCGTCTTGCATCGTCTTGTCAACAGTAACGTACTTTCACATCAATTTGCGAATCAATAGCTTGCAAATGCAAATAATAATATTATATATACATATAAAGTAATTATAAGAAGATAATTTTGAAAGATTAAATCATATTAAAAATAAAAAGTTGCAGAAAATGTGGAAGTAAGACGGTTAATTCGATTTTTGTAGAAGTACCTTTTAGCTTGGAAGGAAGTTCCGGAAGTGAAGTAAAGGGAGAGGAAAGCCGCCATTTTGTGCTCGTTGAAAAGGATAAAGACTCCGTAAATGACGGGTTGATTTGGTCTGAATAATCTTCGTATAATTATTGTTCTTTTGTTTCTTTCTTCGTCATTCGTTCGGCTTTGCCGTGTTAAACAGCGTTGATGATTGGGATTCCGCGTGACGATCGACATAAGATCACGGTTAAAATCCGCAACAATATGAAAAGAAGCTCCAGCCGAGACACTCCACCTCCTCGCGTCAAACGGAGCAGGTCATCTATGGGACGGTAAGATCCCTTTAGTATTTATTCATTTAGATTGATTTATTTAGAAAAGAATTTTAAATAAAGTATATTTATACTTTTAGTGAAATTATTAAATATAATTTATTTCATTTCTTAGGAATTGAAAAGGGCAATGATAAGTAGATATATATTTTGTGATTGTTCAAATTTCTAATCCCTTTTGATAACAGAGATGTATCTTAGTATCGTTAAAAGTTGTTCCATTGATTTACAGATACGATGATTCTAGTGATGAACGAATAACTCCTGAAAGAATTCGTCGTCGTAGTAGTAGAGGTGCCAGAAGTCCCAGTCCCCCGACACGTGCCTCTTCTCATGCTCGATACGTAGAATCAAGTTCTCATAGGGATGATTACTTAAGAGCACCTAGAGAATTGCCTCCAGAACGTCCGTATAGTTACAAAGTTCTTTGTATCAGTTCAATTCATCCGAAAGCAAGCGACGAAGTGATTAAAGATACTCTGTATAGAGAGTACAAAAAGTTTGGAGATTTTTCTATTAGAATTTCTCACGAATTAGACGAACGTGTTGCATACGTTTGCTTTAGAAGTTCAGAGGATGCCAGAGATGCGAAACATGCAAAACCAAGAATCATTATGTACGACAAGGTGGCACTCGTTGAACCTGTCTACGAGAGACCCGATACTTATCGTCGTCCAAGATCGATTACACCGCCTGATTACGAAAGATATTATGCCAGAAGTCCTGGTCCGACGGATAGACACAGGCCCTTAGAGAGATACGAAAGAGTTTACGGACCTCCAGTTGGTTTACCTCCACCGCACAGAGAGATGAGACGCGAAGCAATTCCTCCACCTCATCACGAGTTTGTTAGACCTCCGATTCATCATGGACCCCCTCATGTTCACCCTGGACCACCTCATCATTACGGTCCTCCAAGACACATGATGATTCGACATCCGGTCCACGGATTCGAGCGTGTGGAAAATAAAAAAGATAAATTTCCCAATTATTTACATCACGTGTCCCCGGAAGATGATCCACTCGCGACTCGAACTCTGTTTGCAGGAAATTTGGAAATTAATATTACGGAAGAAGAATTAAGGAGAATTTTTAGTAAATACGGAATCGTCGACGATATCGACATTAAGAGACCTCCGCCGGGAACGGGCAATGCTTACGCTTTTGTCAGATTTCAGACTTTAGATATGGCGCACAGATGTAAAGTTGAACTCTCCGGGCAATACATAGGAAAATTCCAATGTAAAATCGGTTACGGAAAAGCTACGCCTACTACGAGAATTTGGGTCGGTGGTTTAGGACCGTGGACCTCTGTACCGCAATTAGAAAGAGAATTCGACCGATTTGGAGCAATAAAGAAGATCGATTATATAAAAGGTGATAGCAACGCTTACATCTTGTACGATTCAATCGATGCTGCTCAAGCGGCTGTTAAAGAAATGAGAGGATTTCCTCTCGGCGGTCCAGACAGAAGACTAAGAGTAGATTTTGCCGATGTTACTCCTGGATTTGGATTTAAGCCAAGACCGTATCCAGAAGAAGGTGGAGAGTTTAGACCGAGGCCGGTAGATTACGAACCTTCTTACGATCCTTACGGACCGGACAGTGACTTCGGTTACGGGCCAAGAGGATTTAGAGGTAGAGGATCTGCTCCGTGGCACGAGAGGAGGGGTGGAGGAAGAGGAGGTTATCGTGGAAGTTATCCCGAAAGTTATATCAAAGATGAAACTGATTGGTCTAGTCGTAGACCACCTCCGGAATTAGAATACGAGACGCCAAGAGGTTTACGTCGTTCCTTGTCAAGAGAACCTGGTGTCGATAGATCAAGATCGAGGTCTCCCCGGAGAAGACAAATTGATTCGGATTCAGATTCCGAGAATACTCGTAGCGGAATGCTATCTACTTCCAGAACACTGCCCGAAGTTGCAAGAAAATCTATAGCCGTTTGGCAGGGAGCATTAATCTTAAAGAATTCTCTATTTCCAGCTAAATTTCATTTAACCGACGGCGATACAGAGATAATCGAAGCATTGATGAAAGACGAAGACGGCAAACACATGCTAAGAATTACACAAAGATTACGTTTAGATCAACCAAAATTAGATGACGTTTCGAAAAGAATTCAAACTTCTAGTTCGCATGCTATTTTCTTAGGATTGGCCGGTTCAAGTACCGTTATTTCCACGGATGATGCAAACGTACAGACTAGACCACTGCGAAACTTGGTATCGTATTTGAAACAAAAAGAAGCAGCTGGAGTTATTTCGCTTCTTAATAAAGATACAGAGGGAACTGGAGTTCTATACGCGTTTCCACCTTGTACATTTTCTACAGAATTATTAAAACGAACCTGCCCAAGCCTCAGTGAAGAAGGACTCAAAGAGGATCACCTGGTAATCGTCGTTGTTAAGGGGGGTAGCGCCTAAGTTTTCATTATAATCAACAGTTTAAACATATACATGCATATACTGACTAGAGTGTTTAGTATCATCACATTAAAAACATTATTTACAGCTTCCAGAGGAACGCTTCATACGTAGCATTTTAATAAGCTTACGATACGAATCATATTTTATATATTACTTCGTTTCCATATATAAACATTTCATTTTAATATAATTTTAAGATTTCTACAAGTAAAACGGTCCTTTAAAGTAACGCGATGCATAATATGTACTATAATTTTTTTGTTTCAGAAGTAAAGACTAAACATAGTAAACTTATCAGTATCAAATAACGAATATGAAAGGAAAAAAGAAAATAATAATAATTCAATCTAATAAGTTTAGAATTCTAAAATAAAATATCAAGAAAACTTAAATGCAAGTAAACGATACTATACATTTTTTTTTAAATAGGTAATAAAGTATAAAAGTAAAGTAAAAACTAGAACTAAAAAAAGGAATGCTGTGAAAATTCACAACACAATTTGAATACAAATTATAGGCTATGTTAACTAAAAATTTTTATTATATTACTATAAAAAATCTTAATAGTACTACTTTCTAAAATTACAATAATCTTGTGTAAATAACTTTTTTTGAGTTATAAGTATTGCAAATAGTAGAAAGAGAAGATATTAAACACACAAGCTTGTATATGCATCAGAGACATTAAATTTCTATGAGCCTGAATTGCTTGAAGAAAAATTAAGTTGAAACAATAATGGTGATAGTAGAAAAAGTTAAACATCAAAGTACTCCTATTATACCTTTTTCCAATAATTATTTTTAATTTTTTTCTTTATTTAAACAACCATTAAAAATTTAGGATCCAAGCAATTCAGAATTCATTAAGTTTTGATGGAAACAGTTAATCAGGTTTCCCTAATTATCACAGGTAATTTGTAAGGATTTTAGACTTAGTTTATACTAGAATTACATATTCTTATGCGTATATATGCAGTTCTTTCATATTCAGAAGAAAATCTTTCAAAAAAAAAATATATACATATATATATTTTACTTTTAAATTTGATTAATCTTTATGATAACATTTTATATTGAAATATAATCACTAATCAGTATGAAGGTGGAATATGAAAGATCTGGTTGAACTATATTTGATACAATAATTAAGTCTAGATAATTGTAAAGTTGCATTTTATGAATCTATAGAATTATCTGTGTGATATATATATATGTATAATAATTACTTACATAAGTGAATTGTGCGGACGTGTTCTGAAAAGTGAACTAAAGAAAGTGAATGGACAACATCCTAAAATGGCCCTCTGTGCTTTTTTTCCCCAGTGAAAAGGGACAGAATTGTTTTCTCTGAAGGGACAGTGTTTGGTGATGAATATCTGAAAAGCATAGAAGAAAAGAAAAAAAAAAAAAACAGAACGTGTACAGTGAAATGTAAAGCAAATCCAAGTGTTTGTGCTTGGCGACCAATACTGTGACGCTCTTTTAAAATGCTATTTTAAAAGTGCGTTACAGTATGGCGCAATCAAAGGTGCAGTGGTTTAATCACACAGTAGTGTTGCAGCAACAAATAGATGACCATTTTGCTGAGTCAATGCATTCGTTATTCCTACTTCACCTACCAAAGTTTCAGTGGCGTCAAACGAGAAAAAAAAAAGAAATGATTGTTGCATTAGAAATGTAAATGATTTTAACAGGAAGATGCGTTAATAATTTCAGTGGTATTTAAAGATGTAACAACTAGTTCGCTAGAACAAAGAAATTTTTCAAGAAGAAATATTTTAATTAATTTCAGTGGGTTAAAAAAGAAAATTTGTTCGGTAGACAGCTTAGTTATGTCGATTTAAAAAAAAATGCATGCTGTGACTTTGGCATATAGTCACATGGGTTTTGAACACAAGTTTTCTCGTGAAGTTGATCGTGAATTTGGTGATGTGGTTTTTCTTGTTTTGTCAAGAAGATTCTTCCCATCTCGCTTAGATTGATTGTGCAATTAGTGTTTTCTGTGGTCTGTGGCCATTTCTGGTTTTTTTAATTCTTAAACAGTAACAAGTATAAATATTAAAAGAAAAAAACATAGAGTTTTCGCATCTTGATTTCCACAAAAAAAGAAAAAAAAAACAGTTGTGTCGAATTTGAAAAGTGAAGAATAGTCTGTGCTGTTTCAGTGTATTCTTTTTAATTCTTTTTAAATTCATGAGAACTTTTTTAAAACCATTAAAATTTAAAAAAACGAAAGATTTGTTTCAGAGCCATCGCGACGAAAGGATAGAAGGATAGAAGAATCCGTTTACCATCTGCTGTATTTTATATATTGTATTAATAAATCTCATAAATTGGCAAATATTTTGCAGCTCAATTTCTTTAATATCGGAAGAAATACGTAAAATAAAATTGTAATATATTAATTTGTTATGTACCTTCTTAAGAACTTATTTGCAATAACTGAACTAAATATGTACATAAATACATAAATCATTTACAATCTTAAGTTACTACTACAGTAATTAGCAAAAGGAGGTTAATCTATTCAGTTCCCCAATTTGAAAACTTTTAGGTTTATTAAGGAAATATAATTAATTTTAAATACAGAATTATTATTTAAAATTATAAAACATAATTTTCTAAAAAAATTTTTCATACAATTTCAATTCTATTTATTCTTACTAAAATGCTATTTACGTACAGGAAGTAACCTTAAAATTATAGGTTAAAAATGCTTGATATTCATATAAAAGAAATATTTTAATTGGAATTGCAATAATTTTCCAAATATTTAATTTTTTGTTTACTTTTTAGTTCTAATATTTAACTGGTCCTGTTAACGAAGAGAAAATTTTAATTTCATTTCATTCTTGTTACTTAAGAAAACATAAAGAACAGAGAAGTAAATTAGTACACTTTTATATAAATAACAGTCTTGTTTAACCTTTTTAACCGAAATCAAAGACCATATATATACACTTAAAAAGGAATTCATGTTAAATGCATAAATTTAGTACATTCCATTACCCACAACAAACGTATAACAATAAGCATATATTCAGTTTGCTTTCTATAAATTGTGTTGAACTCAGATTTAATTTCTTTGATTCTACTGTAATTCAAAATTTTGTGCTTTGAAAGTAATCATAGTATCGGTACGAATTTGATAAACCTAAAAAGTAAGACGTGATGCATAATACAGGGAAATATTTATAATAAATATATCAAACTTTTTGTATCTGCAATCAATATTTTCAACCATAATATTTGCTAACATCTTAAAGTTTTTTCTGATGTTTTCAGTTTCCTATATTAAAATTGAACCCGATAGATCAATTGCAGAAAACGATAGCAACACTTTGTTACATCGAAAATGCATTGTTTTTAGATGATTTTTTTCTTAATTAATATGTATATTTTTATGATCTAAATCAAGGAAGTTCTCTCTAGTAAAATGTCACAGACATCATTTTAAAAATATCTTACATCAATAAAATAATGTTAAAGGAAATAGTTAAAGTGAAAATATGGAAACCACATTATAAAGGTAACCAAATACTGATTGATGCGCATGATCTAACAATTAAGATGTGATTTCTACTGTGATTTTAGTATGTATGTATATGTGTTGTATACACAACGCGTGCGTGCATACACATGCACATCGCAAACACGCACGTATGTCATGTATATATGATACACTTGTATATCCAATTATTTACTTTCAAGGTTTTACAATTTAGGAAAAGTATCTAAATAAATATCAATGTTACTCTTTCTCTTATTACTTAAAAATACAGTTATGGCATCATATTATGACTGAATATCTATAAAAATTAGAGTCCCTTTTGGCATTCTTATTTTAATTGCAATCATTATAAAGCTTTCTCATTAAGAAAAGAAGCTTATTCTTTCCAATCTTTCTTAATTTCAAATGACCATTCCCACTTCAGATGTTCATGTTTGTCATCATCAGTAAACAAGGAGCTTACACTATAAGAACCACGTGCCATTACTCCAGCTGGTGCATCCTCTGTTGGAGTAGTATAAGACTGTACTTCTGTTTTTGGTGGATAAGAACCCACCATATGCATCATCTTATCCACTGAAAAATAATATAAGAGAAAGGTTAATAATTAATCTTTCGACATCCATAGATTTAGTTTGTATATATCAAATCTTAGATGTACCTGTTACACCTATTTAGGAAAGCATTAAAGAAAAACCATAAAGTAACAGATTACTCTTACTATTTAAAATAAACGTAATTTCAAGCTCTAAATGAAATATGAAAAATTGATCAAATTATGAGCATTCAATCTTGAACAAAAACCTTACCAGGTACTCCAAGGCGATAAGTTTTTTGAACATATTTCAGACCATGTACAATTTCACGTTGCACAATGAAGTCAATCCTGATTCTGTAACTAACACCTTCTTTTATTACAAACGTTTGTTTCTTTAGCTGAGAAAGATCACCTGTTAAATCTAATTCCATATCTGGTCGATCTGCCACGCAAAGTGCTAATTTTTTAACTATTACTTTTCTTGGATCATTTGGATCTACAAAAATGTTTAAATATTATTTTTCTGCTTATCATTTTCTTTAATTGAATTGTTTTAAACAATTAATAAAATGCCCACCTACAATAACACCTCCAGATTTTGCTTCTCCTAAAAGTGTTTCTTTATATTTACGTAAACTTTCATCCTCTTTGTCTGCTTCTAAAATTTGCTCTATCGTTTTTTCTGGTGGAGGCTTATAATTAGATTCTACTTCTATTTCCTCTTCTACCGAATCAATGTGATCCGTGTTAATCTCTGACATTTTTACTATAGTAAAAATATATTAATGAATCATTAATACTGTAGTTCAGTTACTTCGTTTCCATATGTTTATACATTTAAAGTACTTTCTATTAAATGTATCATGCAACAGGTGTTGCAAGAACTCTATTTAACTGATATAATTCTGTTTATGTTAGAAGCTTATTTTAGAATTGGAAGAAGAAAAATTGTTAACAATTATTAACCTTAAAAGTATAACAGATATGAACATTTTTAAGTAATTAGTACAACTCAAGATATTGATTTAATAACCAATTATTGAAGTTCAAACACATGTATACACACAGATAAATGACATTCATTGTAGCATACATAGATGTTTCCATAGAATATTTTTAGATGGATCAAATACTGGAAAATTAATATTAAATTATGTTTGGTTTAGCTGTTTTATATGATTCTATATTATGAAAAAGTCCCAAAGGCATATTAAAGGATTGTTAAACATGCGTAATCAGAAGAAAACAAGATGTAAAAACAGAAAAATGACAGGACGGTAAAAAGTGTTTAGCTGAACCTAGAAATCTATGAAAAAATAATAGTTAAAAAATATTTTAGTTACAAGAATGCTAAAATATTTAGATAATACACTTACTGTGACTATAAAGTAATAGAACGAAGATTGAAAAACGAAAACCTACGGAATTATCGGCAATTTCTTAATCCTGTTTGCCACCCCTTTGTGATTCGCTTCTCAAAACGAAAGACATGGACAATATGGCGACTTTAAAAGGGCGGGTACTTCCTGTATTCATAGATTTTAAGGTTAACGTTTATTATTTTGTATGGAAACAAAAGTACTTTGTTTATACATTAAACTTTAATATGTATATCCTAATTTATCTAATGTGTATTTTCATTACCTTCTTCCATTATATAAATATTAAATTTAATATTTATTAAACTATATACTCTTCATTATACATATGTGTATGACAATACATAATTTGTTGAATAAAAAAATAAATTAGCAACTAATTTTTGCGACATAAAGGTACCCTTGTTTAAAATAAATAAACATGTACACGTATATTTAGTGTAATTTTTAGTTGTAATTATTCTTTAAAATATGCTGGCAATGTTCTAGAAGTATCTCTATGTCTTTTTGATTTCTAAAATTTGTTTTACAATTTTGAAGTTTCTGGTACAATAACTCTGGATGCACTTTTGCTAATTCTTTTAAGCTACCTAAAACATATTTAGTATACTGTTATTGTGCATGCAAATGTGTATTTCATAAATTAATTTGTCAATATTATGTTGTTACCTAATATAAGATTCTGAAACTCATTTTCTGGATCATCTAAATATATTATAATTGAAGTATACAAAGTATCTATATGTCCTTTGTTAAAATGTAAGTTATAATCCTCAGGTATTGTATTCCAAAGTTTTATTAGAGCCTCTAATGAAGCTAATCTAATATCATCACACCCATCGTCGAGTCTTTTTAAAAGCACAGGATATATTTTATGAATGTATTCTTCTGTCTGATAATGAAATCTTTTTCTAATACACATTATCAAATGCATAGTTTGTAGAGAATATAATCTACTTTTTTTGGAATTGTCATCTGCAAGGCTAATTAAAGCAGGCATTATTTTATCAAGTATTGAACAAATGTTTTCCTCATCCAAATGTTTAATCTTTTCTGTAATCAGTTCTTTTTCATATTTATCCAATATGGCACATAAACAAGATAATGCAGCTGTGCGTATAGCTTCGGCAGCTCTTCCGGCAGACCAAATTAATCCAGGAAATATACAATCTTCTAAAAATTGATTGAAGCATTTTATATCCATAATTTCATTCAGTGATCCTTGACTGAAATACTCTGACAGTAAAATGAAATGTTTTAGCCGTAGTTCAGGATTAGCATCGTTCGTCATAGTTTCTTTTAGGATTGGTAACATAATGTCGATATTGACAATTAAAATCTGTCCGATGTAAGTCAAACATCCGCAGAAAATTTGGCTTTCTGGAGTATGAACTGTCCATGACTTACAATCAGGAAACGATAAAATTAAGTGTCTTATGTTTTCGTTGCAGAATTTCTCAACGTTCTCGTAGGAACTAATATTTGCAACAGTATTTAATAATTCTCTTGCTTCCAATTTTACATGATTTTCATGTGCCATCGATAAAACAGTAAATATCGTTATAAACAAATCCTGTGATATAATTTTACAATCCTGAAAATTATTCAATTTATTAATATAGAAAATAAGAAAATTTGTCGTCTACAAAAATATAAATTGAATAACATACCTCTTTGCATATTAAAATTAAAGAATGACAACATGAAAGTATTTGTTTCTGGTATGTTGTCTTTTTACTTTGACAGATATGCGATTGTTGTAAAAATTTTGCAATATCTTTCAGTAATGGAACAAGTGCGCTACGTTCGCTACCTTTTAAAATTGCTGAAAATACTTTTAAATGACCCACAGATAAAGTTTCTTCAAGAGTAGGAATGATTAAATGACAGCAGCTTTTTGGATGTACAAAATATCCTAAATATTCTGCTGCTCTTTCTACAGTTTCTACAACCCTGTAATCTTCGTCGTTACAAGCTCTATCGAACAAAGATGTGCTTATTATAAAGCTAACTTGATTAATATTTTAAAAACCACATATTTACCGATACATAGAAGGTAAAAGTTTTCCAATATGTTGGGTCACATCTTCTTCTATGTTTAAAATAAATACAGAAAGTAACTGTGCAGTTCGTACCCTTATATCGGCAATCCAGTCTCCTAATTCTAAATTTATTCCATTTATTAATTTACTAAAAGTTTGTTGTGCTATTACACGACATCCTAGATTTGGTCTAACAACTGCAACAAATTTGAAACATCATATATAATATTCACTTATTGTAATTTATTGAATCAACTTACCATTAGGATAGTGATGACGATCTTCGGTGAGAAAATCCAATTTATCTTTCAATTTTTCATCATTCTGATTTTCTTCTATGTAAGATCGTCCTACGGTATCCCAAAATTTGGCAGCCTTCTCTCTAATTTCTTCTAATTCATCATGAAGGCCTGTTAATAGTAATGGAAGGATTTTATGCCACCAACTATATCGGTCTTTTAATTTTAAAAGCCAACAGCCTGCTATCTCTATTACAGCTGCAAAATAACACATACGAATTATAAAAAATATGTACCATTGCGATAGAACAAAAAGACATTATGTACCTGTTCTAACCAGTCCATTTTGATCAAACAATCTTTCTGCTAAAGGTGTAGCAACTTCTTCTAAAGCTTTACTATTACCATACTGAATTAAATCTCCTATTGTTCTAATAGAGGCGATTCTAATTTTATAATGTTGATGTGCAAAGTTACTTAAAATTGGTTTTACCAAAGTTTCTGACTGTGTGTAAAAATATCTTGATAAATTTTTTGCAAATTCAGATATACAATTACAGCTTTCTCTTTTAACAAGTGGATAATTATCTACCACTGTACGTATCAGAATTTTGACTAAATCATCAATATACGATGCTAGTAAGTTTTCATATTTTAATATTATTGTTTTTAATAATACTACGGATTTTAATCTCACTTCTTCTGAAGTTTCTATTTGTTCAGAAGAACCTAATCTTCTGGATAAAATTGGAAGTAAGTACATAATATATTTATCATTAGGTGTTAAATTAATTATAAATAATCGAATAATTTCTAATGTTTGATCACGACAAACTTCGGCTGAATCGTTAAGAATTCTTAACAAAACTTTGTTTATAACATCCCATAATTTCAAAATTTCCTCCTCAGATTGTTGCAGTTCAAAGAACTTTAGAATTTCCTTTAGACCTTGTATTCTTCGTTTTTTTTCTTCCGATTGTAAGGCAACACAGATTCTCGTAAATTCGTAATTCGGAATTTCCATCGACATTTTCAACAACTTTATCTCGGTATGTTAATCCAAAGTAAGTTCAGAACTGTTTACATAGTTTATGTATTCCCATAGCAACATTTTTATTGATCTAATTGTTCTATTTCAAATGTTTACTAATTATATGTATATTTAAATTAAAGGAAGTAAAAGAGTTATTCTACTTTTTTCTCTTTTAATTTACACTATTACTTTACATTTTAAAATACTTACATTCAAAAATGCACCAATTATTTCTTGAATACGACACGTAAACTTTATAGATCATAGCATAGAATTAGAATTAACATGAAAGCTTATAATATGTATATCCAGTGTCAGTTCATCAAATAGAATGTATTTAATACGTCTATACAGAACCTTTGATATACGAAAATCTTGAAGCAATTTTATTTAAATTAAAACGGGACTAGCACGTTTGGTCCTTTGTTACGTTAAATAATAAAGAAAATTTGATAGATATGTCTTAAATATGGTCCCCGGCTACGGAAACTCTCAGTGTAGTTAAAATATTGGTTTTAATCTTCTAGAGTAACATTTTTGAACAAGTACGACATAGACTCCTTATTGTGAATACGTCTAATAGCCTCTGCTAGCAGAATACTGATATCAACAGTCTTTATTTTCGGACATTGCATCTTTTGAACATCATGAGGAACTGTATTTGTAACAACAACCTAAAAATAATAATTAAAAATTTGATTTATAAAATACCTCTACGTGTACAGTAACTCTTTTAATCGGATTTTATGATATCATTCTTATGTACCATATTACCTCGTCAATCGGAGATTCTTCTATTAATCTCGGAGCATCAGAGCTTAGGAGACCATGTGTGGCTAAAACATAAATTTTACATGCTCCTCTTTCCTTAAGAACTTCGGCTGCAGCTACATACGATTGAACATCATCTATCATGTCATCCTGTAATCGTAATTGCTTAATACTTTGTTATATAATCATTTCATGGACTCAATTCAGTTCCTACATTTACATACCACCATAATGGCTATACGTCCACCGACATCCCCTACAACATTAATCGGTGGCTTTTCTTTTGCTGGATGCATCGGAACACCAACTCCGACTTCCATAGTTCGCGAAGCCAGAGCCGGAGGAGAGTAACGTCCATCATTCATATCTGATTCCGCTTCCCTTTGTTCTCCATGGATTACCGCTATTCCCAATCGTAATCTTTCCGCGTAACTAGTTGCTTTTTTCGCACTGCCAGGATTTCTTGCGACTATCACTGAATTATGATAATCTGGAATCTAATTAAACAATATTAAAATTAGAAAATAAAAACTGTACTGTAATTAATTCGAGGAACGGCATTTACATACAGATTCTTGAATATATTGTAGTAAAAATGGACTAGCACGTAAATTATCAACTGGTACATCAAAAAATCCTTGTATTTCTTTTTGATGCAGGTCCATTGTAATTATATGAGTTAAACCGCTCTTGCATAGCATCTTTGCTAGCAGCTTAGATACTATGCATCCTCGTTTACGCATTTTGCACTGTTTAGAGTACGGCAAATAAGGAATAACACCGACAATATTTTTTGCAGATGAAGTTTTGCAAGCATACGCCATGATCAAAAGCTCCATTATGTTATTGTTCACATCCTTTGTTCCAGTTTGAATAATGTAAAGATCTTTGCTCCGTACAGAGTCTCCAATTTCAACCATAGTTTCACGGTTTGACTTGTGATATACAGAGCATCCTCCATGTTTAACACCTAATCGGCTTTAAATTAAGAAGATTAGATTTAACATGAAAAAATGTAATAAAATGCATATCTATGGGAACTTACTTAGCAATAAGGTTAGCTAACTCTGGATGAGAATTGCCTGCAATTAGTACAATATCTGATGATACTGGTTTGTCCATATTATTGTTGCTTCTGAAAAATTTTGGATAATAAAATGACTGTTATATAGATCAATTGAATAGATAAATTAAAAGATATACTTTATTAGGTAACATTTCATTTTAAATAAGGATAAATAAAGATTACATGATTAAGCAAACAGCAGGTTATTGTATGTAAATACTTTATAGGAGTAAAGTCCACTAGCGCCCAAAACGACCGCGATCAGCCTGTATTTACCGGTCCACTTGCTTGTAAACGTCACAAGATAAGCGAGAAGCAAGTGAACCGACCGCAATGAGCACGGTTGGTAAGTGGATTGCAAAACACGGGCGCTACGGGCGTTTTAACCGCAAGTAGTGATTTTATCGAGGATGTAGTGTCAGTCTAACCCAGTGTAATTGTACATACATAACTGTTGATACTACGCTTCATCACCCTTCATGTTTAGGTGGTATGGAAAGAAATGTTTATTTTTGCTTCATAAGATGAATGATATTAATAACAATAAATGTTATAAAATTATATAGTAGTATTTACAAATTATTTATGCGATTATGAACATTCTGAAAATATAAAATTAGAAACAGGTAACTAGTGTATTATGATTTTTAATTCATCCTAATTTATGTTGCATTCTATGTTCTGCAGATAAAATGATGCACGCTACAAGAGTGAATACTTCTGAACGTAGATTTGAAATACAATGCAAATTAGAGACAGAGCTTGCTTCGCTAGAAGCATTGAAAGATGCAGAAGAACGAAGTAGAAAATTAACTAGTAATGTTGTTGGAATTTTATCTTCTTTGGAACAACGTCTTGCAACATTACGTCGTACTATACTTCCTGTCTATAACGAAACAGGAACTCTTCAGGCACAACAACAAAGTACATACTACATTATTTTGAATTTTTAGTTCTCTCTTTCATTATATTGATTACTTCTTCTATTTTTTGTAGATATAGAACGGACATTGAATGCTTTAGATCATGCCATTGGCTACTATGGTGTGTGTCAGGAAGTTGAAGGAACAGTACGGGCAGGACCTGGAGGGTCTGGTGGTTTAGACAGTTTTCTGGAAGCAATGAATCGTCTTTACAATGCGCAACGTTATTTTCAGAAAAATAATCCTAGTTCTGTAGAATTAGAAAATGTAACGAGTTTATTTGTTATCGGATTGGATGCTTTGTACGCCGAATTTCATGATATTTTAACTAGGCAAAGTAAACCAATCCTTCCAATTGTTCTTTTGGATTTAATCGGTTCGGACGAAGACACTAGCGGCGAGGATGCTCCGCAATCTCTTTGTCATCTACCGGAAAGTATTTTAGGAGATTTACTTAAAATTGCAGCATGGCTGGAAGAGAGAGGACACCGTAAACACGTAAAAATTTACGCATCCGTGCGCTCTGCAATCGTTTTGAGATCATTACAATTATTAAAGGAACATCAAAGAAGCGCTAGCGGTGGCAGCACGCACGCAGGAAGTCCTCTACCAGTAAGAACTTTATTGTAACAATATTGCATTTCTTATCTCTTGCTCTCTTATCGGTTAAGTTAAATATCAATTTGCAGAAAACGAAATTCAGTAACAGACATTCGCTGGGAATTCAAGAAATTAGCGGAAGAAAAGCTTCGAAAAGATTACAGCATGCTCTTGAAAAAAAAGCTAGCAGAATGTTATTGAAAGCTTCTCAAACTACTGGTTTAGGATTGTCGTTAACCGCATCTAGAAAACCACCTCCTCAATTATCTGGATATTCTGTAGAGGATACAGCACCGGATGAACAAGAAATGGAAAATTATTTATTATTAACAGTTGGCCTTCACAAACTGATGCAAGCAGAGCGATCGTTGGTTGCGAAAATTTTGCCAACCAGTTTACAGGCTCAAGTTTTAGAAGCTACTGTGCGCGAAGCTATGGATCTTGTTGCTCACGATGGAGAGAGTATAGCAACTAGAGCTAAACGATGCATCGTACGACGTGATTTTTCAGCAGTATTAGTGATCTTTCCTATCTTGAAACATCTTGGAGAACTAAAACCTGATTTAGAACGTACAGTAGAAGGTTGCGATTATGCTCTCAGATCAAAATTCACCTCTGTATTGAATACACTGAATATAACTGTACGTTTCAATACATTATCATTCTTAAATTTTATTTTAACGTGAATAAAATTGTAACATTATGCATATTAAATATTATATAGGGAGCAAAAACATTGGATGATTTTGCAGAAAGTGTCCGGAATGAATCTAATTCAATTTTACCTAAAGATGGAACCGTAGCAGAAAGTACAAGTAATGTTCTAGTTTTTCTAGAACAACTAGCAGAATATGCTGACATTGCAGGAGCTGTTTTGAAACGTAATACCGATATGGAAAGTAGCGCGTCTACGAGACAAACAGAAAACATGTACAAAAGTGTTTTGGGTAGTTATATTAGTTAGTATCATTTATATTTGAAACCATTTTGAATTAACTACACAATTCATTAATATAAAACTTTCTATTTTTTAGAGAAGGTACTAGCACAATTGAATTTAGTGCTTGTAAATAAAAGTGACACTTCATATTCGGATGTTGCGCTACGAGCTCTTTTTCGTTTAAATAATCATAATCATGTTATAAATGCTCTACGTCGCAGTTCTTTAATGGATCTATTATTATTGGCTGAGCCTACCGCAGAACAGACATATCATGATCTTTTATTACGTAATAAAGCAAATTACGTCTCTACTACTTTTGCAAAAGCTCGAAGTTACCTCGAGCAACCGTTTGATGAACCAGGTTTGTGTTTATAAATAAAAATCCCGAGTGTTCAGTTTTTATTTGACTTTGCATATAAAATTGAATATTGTAAAATGAAAAAATGATTCTAGAACCAGGGGCTAAAACTTTAAAAGAAAAGTTTTTGGGATTCACAAGGGAATTAGAAGAAGTGGCCAAGTGTCAGCGTTCTTATTCTGTACCCGATGCTCGTTTACGAGAAGAGTTGCGAAAGGAACTCCAACAAGCTATCGTTCCTCTTTATACAAATTTTCATAATAAATATCGTGGAATTTCATTTTCGAAGAATCCAGCTAAGTATATCAAATATACTCCTGAACAGATATCTACATTGATTGATACATTCTTCGACACGACAGCATAATAAATAAATACAAAAATTTAATAAACACCCATTTAATAAAGCATATTTAGTTACAGTATTTATGATATTTTTTTTTTTATGGACTGAATCCCCATTCCCCGGATAGATTGCACAGGTCAGTGGATCTGCAACGATTGAAATAGATCTCGGTCCAGCCCCACTTTATATATATTTATAATATATATATAAAAAACAAGTAACGTTCAATTTAGATTTAGTAGCTTATACATGTAAAATGATAATAATAGGAATACAGTTTGAACCATTTATGTACAATTATTTGCTATAGAATAATTCCATCCTCTGTCTTTATTTCTTGGCATTTATATATGCATTCTTTTAAACATCCATTCACACATATTAATTTTTCTCCACCTCTGATGTCAAACTTTTATATTGTTTTTTCTTTTCTTTTCTTTTTTTTTTTAAATCTCTTTATCCATGTTATGCGTATCAATTACAGCAAAATTGCAGCAACATGAAGACACAAGCAGAGGCAGAGAATTAAAAATCACTCTTTTACCGCTCACTTCTAAAACTTACATGACTATCTTATACCATGGTATGTATGTAGTAATATCAACCAATTTAGTTAAAGGTCCAAGTCATTTTATGTTATTTGCGATTGTTTGTTTAATACGTAAGATATAAGTAAACAGATTTCAAGTGAAATCATTAATTGGAAAAATGCAATTCGTTTGAGATAAATGCTTGTTTATAAAAAATAGTAATATATAAAAAAAAGATAAACAAATTTTTCAGATATAAATTTAATGCTCGAGTATCTTTCTTCATATTGATACTATGCTATACTAACATTCTTGAAAAATAGACAAATTTTTCTACTTAAGATATACAATGCAAAATGACATAAAATGGTTTACCTCTTCTATTAAATTGATTAGTATCCAGTGCGTACACAACCGCACATACATAATAATGCTTAGTTCCTTACAATCCGTACGTAATAATTATATTAATAACACACTCTAATATACTGTACATTATCAGTTCAGTTTTCATTTGGCTTCCTTCCTCTCTTCAGAACATTTAGCTAATGTCCAAAACACTTAAATTGCGTATATGTTTTCTTCTATCCTTCTATACGCAATATAAAAATTGATTTGTGCGCTTTTATGGCAGATGTTTGTAGAGAGATGGACCGTATAAAGGGGTTCTTTTTTTTTTTTGTTTTAATCAAAATTAGATTTCCTGCTGCAATCGAGTCCGATCGGAGGAGGGATAGTACACTTGCACGTGCTCCACCGTCGTTGGACATTTAATATTACAGAAGGAAACATCTGCGTTTTGGTTTCACTTGAAGAACAGGACACAATACTGCACGGATCGCTTCGTCGAATACTGTTTTCAATCCTTTCTGAGTTAGCGCTGAACATTCTAAATATTTCACAGCACCGATCTCTTTTGCCATCGCTAAACCCTAAACATGAAATAAAATTTCTAAAAATTAAGATATTTATACGAAAATAAATAGATAATTAATATGCTGAAAAAATACATGCCTGAGGATACGTGATTGGTGCCAATTTTTTGTCCTTTAATCGTTCAATAGTCTCTTTGTCTTCGCGCAAATCTAGTTTAGTCCCTACTAAAATAATTGGCGTAGCTGGACAATGATGACGCACCTCTGGATACCATTTAGCACGAACATTTTCAAAACTGGCCGGATTAACAAGAGAAAAACAGATCAAAAAGACGTCTGTTTGAGGATAAGATAACGGTCTTAATCTGTCATAATCTTCTTGGCCAGCCGTATCCCATAAACCAAGATTTATCGGTTTGCCATCCACCATAACATTCGCAGAATAATTGTCAAATACAGTTGGGATATATTCTCCGGGGAAGGCATTAGTAGTGTAGCTTATGAGGAGACACGTTTTACCTACTGCTCTGTAGAAATTAACGAATGAAACAAAATTAAATAGACCTTATAAAAATTTAGTATAATCATCATAAACAAATCACATTGTATCATGAATTTACAATAATTACAATGAATATGAATTAATTACAATGTATTTTTATGTTGTTGTTTAAAAATAATGAAATAATAAAAGTTTCAGAGTAAATTGAAAACATGGGGAAAAGAAAGAGAAACAAGGAGAAGAAAAGGAGGATAATGAATGTGTAAGAAAAAGATTAAGGTGATTAATTATCTATAAATAGTTAATAACTTCAAACTGGTACAACAATTTTTCTATTTAATTGTTGAAAATAAGTAAAAAATGAGGATATGTACGTTTAAAAGAATAACGGGTGTGGTGCTTGCTTTAAAATAGTTCTTGATCATGAGTGAATCCAACCACCAAGGGATACACTGCTGATCATTTGGATCGAATGGTGCGAATGAAAAACAGGAAAAACAAAGATATTAAACAAGATCGTGAAAAGTTTGAAAATACTCACCCGTCTCCTACGACAACGCACTTAATGGCCTGCATCCTGAAGGTTGGAACCGTTCTCAAGTAGAAATATCCACGTAAATTCGCAGGAAGGGAGGCTAGTTCGATTCGACAAAGCAGGAAAGATCAAGAGAGACAGAGAAGAAGTTGAAATGTCGTGAAATAGAGAGAGAGGACATAAAGGAAATTGGTGCAAGAGAGATAAATAAGTAGTGTCAAAAGTAAGATAGAAAAAGATCATAAAATGAGGCGAAGCATAGATCAGAAAGAGGTAGGAGAACTGGAAAATTCAAAAATAGGCGTGTAATAATACAATAATTATAATGAACAGCTATGTATCGTAACGTGTCCTTGTTTTATGATGAAAATGCAGTCGGTGGGATCTTTCGTTGAAGACGGCACTCCTGACCTCAATATGTGGCCTCAATTATGATCGTGGACTGAGTTTTTTATTTACTCGGGAAGAATCAAAATGGTGCTTTTATGAACACGATCAATCATAACCAAATCCTTTTTTTAATTATGCATTTTTCTTATAAACTTCATTTTTAAAAACAAATTTAGCTTCGACATGCTTGTTTAAATAGTACATCAAATATACATATAAAATAATGGTTGAAATGATAAACAATGTAGTACGTAGATTTTCAGGGGAATTTTTACAAATGTGTTGAAATTTTTCAATATGTAATATAACTTATGATACAATACGTTAGTTTTTTAAACATCTGATAATAATATATTTCCTAAATTTACCCAACGAATACAATTAAAACAGGTTATGACAGAATATGATTTATTAAGGTTATAAAAATATGTAATGTTCAACTAATTTTTTTTCTTATTATAGTTAAATTCATTATAAAAATAGTAAAAAATACGTGATAAATTAAGAAATACGAATACTGTTTTTTCCGATTATTGTTATTAATCCATTGTCTTGTAGTTCTCTTAAAGCATCTTCAAACATGTCTCTGTTAATAAGCTAAAATAAAGATAATAATTTTCTTTATTATATTGCACAACATGAAAATCAATTATAAATTGTTTACCGACCATTTCAGAAGATTGTCTTATTTCAGCCAAAAGTTTTTGTTGATTAAGTATATGAATTTTATCCTTCTTTTCAATAAGCTTTTGAATCACATCGCACAACTCCTTCTTCCTTTTTCTGGCTACCGAAGATACACCTGTTGTTAAAATACTTATATCTATTTTACCGCTTAACGGATCGATGGCAGATTGTTTCAAAGCTTCTCTGTGTAATCTATTGAAACAAATGAAACGTTTAGAAGCAATTTATAATGTTTGTTGGTATTATTTTGTTCAATTACGAACCTCCAAGCTTCTTCAACATCCTGTGGCTCTACAATAGAGCTTAATCGTACTTTGGCATGCGCCTCGGATAATCGTATCAAAGATTCTAATTGTCTAGGATACGCTGTTATTTGTCCGCGTCCTCTTCCAACTCTTCTCATATCAACGTATGCTTGTATCAATCTCTGTTGGCTTTCTTCATTGAGAATAGGATGAACGTGTTCTTTCGCAAATGCTAAATAATCACGAACAACGCTTTTATCTATTTGTTCGTCCTCGTTTTCATCCAAAGTTGTATAATATAAAGACACCATGTGAGTTGCAAGTTTGCTATCATATGTATCGCATTGAGGATCCAATATCAAAAAAATTAGATCGAATCGAGAAAGTAGAGTATGCGGTAATTTTACATTTTCAACAACCTAGAGAATATATATGTTACATAAAAACATTGTGTAATTATGTAATGTAATATAATATAATAGATGCCGTTCCTTTTATGATGAAAATTTTGTATACATACTGTTTTATTTTTATTCCATTGAGATTCACAAGGATTAGCAGCAGCAAGTATACTGGTTCTAGCATTTAACTGACAAATAATTCCAGCTTTAGCAATACTTAAAGTTTGTTGTTCCATTACTTCGTGTAATACTGATCTTGCATTTTCATTCATTTTATCGAATTCATCGATACAACATATTCCATTATCAGCAAGTCCTAATGCTCCTGTTTGTAATATTAATTGTCTAGTTTCTGGATCTTTTGTTATATATGCTGTTAAACCGACCGCACTAGAACCTGTAATTATCACAGATTAATAAAATTGTACAGACAAATTTTTAACTACTCTAATAATTTACATTTATTTTCATCTTACTATACCTTTTCCACTGGTGTACTGAGAGCGGGGTACCAAGTTATAAATGTATTGTAATAATTGTGATTTGCTTGTGCCAGGATCACCGCATAATAATATATTAATATCGGGTCGAAAATGTTTACCATACACAATGGACGATTTTCTAGTTCCACCGAATAACTGCAATATAATTCCCTTCTTTACATCGTCATTCGCGTATATACTAGGAGCGATTTGTTTCGCCAACTGTTCATAAATATTGCTCTTTTGTGATAACGATTTCAGAACTTCAATTCTTTCTGGTGTAAAATTATGTTCTTTGCCATCTTCTTGATTATATAGTCTACGAATGATTTAAAGTAATTAATCAAAATTGTATATATTTAATTATTTTTCCTTACCGTTTAGAGTCCTGCTTTCTAAAATGAACTACGTCAATATGTGTTCTATAGATAGCGTGTAAATTATGCTCAAAGTTAGGCTTATGCGTCGATGCCCTAAAAATTCCAGTAACAGAAACTCTATCTCCAGGCATCACTGCATCTACTAAATTATTATGCGCAAACAAAACAGTAGTATATGGAGTTTGTCCTTGTGGCATCTCATCAGGTGCCTCTTGTAACTTTATCATTTGTTTATCAGAAAAGTGACTTAAATTGTGTATCAAAGTAAAAGAATATTTATGCGTGCAATGTGCGCATATTGTAGGTTCTTTGGTTTTTCCCTTTTCAATTTCGATAAGAGTCGTGAAGGCACAAACGCTGCATTTAAAATAAGCCTCCCGCATTTGCGGAATTAATGTTGATACTCTGATCACCATGCCAGGTATTGTAATTAATTGATCCACGTCGGTAGGATCTAATTCTCTCATGGTCTTAACTTTATCTACATTGAACGGACGAGATTGAATCTGATGTTCTAGAACTGCAGCAGGAAATTTTTCAAAGAACAATTCATTCGCTGCCATATCTAAAGTCGGTATAACTTCTTGAGGATAAGAAATTAATTGTTGATAAAGGTGACTGTCAAAAGCTTTTATATGAGCACAATTAACATTTAAATACGGCTCTTCTAAAGTATGTATTTCTTCTAATTTCTGAAGATATAAGGGTTCTGATAAGTTCATATTTTCCGGTAATTCGTCATTTTCCGCATCGGGGTCAATAAATCGTTGAAAAAACAATTTAAATTGTTCCTTGCATTGACTTATAACCACATTTGTTCCCCAAACAACTAAATGAGGCCCTGCTGTTTCGCTTTCTGATGTTCTTACAGCATTTGGAACTTCTGGAATCTATTATAATTGATGTTATATCATAGCAAAATAATAATAATAATATTAAAACTCTGTTTATAATGCATTTTCTTACTGGTTCCTGTAGCGTAAACTGTCTTAAATGCCTATCTGTATTAATGTCAGGTCTGTGTCGAATTGGAGTACCACGTATTCCGCTTCTTGGGGTACGAATTGATCCCAAAGAACTAGGAGTACCATAATTGACTGGAGAAGACAATTGTAAACCACTTTCTGATTCATTAATTGGTCCAGAACGATCCGTTGAATGATCATTGGAACCAGCTGCACTTTCATGTTCCGAAGAAGCAACAATTGTAGCAGCTCGATTTCCATTGTTTAAAACATTTTGTCTTGTACCATTGGTGCCCCATCGCAATGGAGTTTCTACATTATTGTCAGCTTCATTCCTAACTGCAGCACCTTATACGCAAGTTTAAGAAAATGAGTACAGTAATAGTACAGATCAAAGCAAATATATACAATAATCCTTAAAGAAAAAACAAAAATGCTTACGGGGGGTACCGAAAACAGAAGGGGATCGTGAACCCTGAGTTTGTCTTCTAGGAGTTCTCCGTGGGCTATCTCTAGCCGGTGATCTTATAGGACTTGACATTCTTTCTTATACGTCTTTATAATTTCTATAAGATAATTAACGAGCATCGAAGCTACTTTCCCGCCTTTAAAACGTTTTATTAATAAATGAACGCTAGATGGCAATTATGTTCCGCAAATATGGCGGATTTCCACGAAGTTTCGAATGCGATTAGTTTCGAAACTGTTTTATTCAAAACACATGTGCAAGATTTTCTATTCAAACCGTCCATAACAGTAAAATTCTAAAATTTATTACTTTTTAATCGTTTTGCAAACATCTCTAGCTTTTAATCTGACCGAGTAATGCGTTGTCTCAACTATTTATAATCAGACATGCCAAAGTCTAGAAATTTTCCACAATAGAAAACCAAGATATCTTTCGTACAAAACTTATAGATAAAATACAAATGCACACATTCCAGATAGTACTTTCCAAGATTTGGCTTTTGCTTTTGAAGAGGAAATCTTCAACTCTCAAGTGGATATGAGATTTAAGAAAACTCTTGAGAATAACTATCATAAAAAACTCAAGAAACTCTTCAACGGATATGTACTTTTACAAATTACATCAGTTTTATTTGTAAATCATATCTATGTATATATATGAACTTTGATGTACATCACTTATCACACAACAAGCGATAAAATTATTAGGACTTGATAAAATAAATCTAAATAGAGAAGAATACTTCTATTTTTAAATTTCACAATGTAAGCTTTTATGTAAAATTTTAACAGATATATACTGTTATACCTATAATACTTAAATTACTAGTTAAATGAAGTTCTACTTTTTATTTGTTCGAATACATAATATACAACTATTTACATATTATTAAATCTACGCTTAGCCGCATAGCAAGTCTTAAAATCATCATGAAGAATTCAATTCTCTTTGAATTTCTACCAAGGATTTACCTTTTGTTTCAGGAACTAATATATATACAAAGAGAGTACCAATGGCACTAACTACAGAAAACAACCAAAATGTAGGCCCCATATTCATCACTTGTTTTAAATCATCAAAAAATTTAGTTACAATAAAAGCTAGTAACCAATTTAAAACACAAGCACTACTCGCAGCTACACCTTTTACCTCTGGTGCAAATATTTCTCCCATCATCATCCAAGGAATAGGACCAAAACCAATACTAAACATAACAATAAAGATACATATAGATATTAAAGGTAACCATTGAATTGCACTAACATCCACTCTAATTTCTGTAAGATAGAAATACACCCCAAGAGCTAAAGTTGTTAAGCACATGAATATTGCTGATGCCATTAACAATATTCTTCTACCTAAACGATCTACAATCAATGTGCCTATAAAAACAGCTAATACTTGTATTATACCTATAATAATAATGGAATAACTATTATCCATACCACTACCAGTTTCATTAAAAATGGTACTGGCATAAAAAATAACAACATTTACACCACTTAATTGTTGAAAAAACATGAGGCCATACGAAATCACGAAACTTCTCTTGGTAGCTTTAGATTTAAGTAATACGAATAAAGAAGTTGTCTTTTTACGAGTTTCTTCTAGTGCTTCTCGGTGTACACGTAATTCGTTCTCTACATTGTATTGACTACCACGTAATTTAGTTAAACTTTTTCTTGCAGCTTCTTCATTGCCTTTTTTTAAATAATAGATGGGTGTTTCTGGCATGAACATAAAAATTCCAAAAAATATAAATGGCACAACAGCTGATATAATAGACACCACACGCATATCTACAGAACTTCCTAAAATGTATGTTAATGCAATGCCTACTGTAAGAAGTAACTGAAAATAAGATCCTAAACTGCCACGAATCTCATTTTCAGCTATCTCTGCTGTGTACATAGGTGCAGCTACACAAAAAGCTCCAACACTAAAACCCATAATAAATCTACCAATAAAAAACATAGCTACAGAATTGGCCAAAATTATAAGCAGCCAACCTATGGTAAAGGGTATTACCATTAGAAGCATGGTATATTTTCTTCCTATTACATCAGCAAGAATTCCAGTAGGTATACATATCGCTGCTGCTCCAAGTGTAGTTAACGAACCAATCCATGAAAATTCAGATGAAGTAATAGGTATATTATATAAATCTACTAATTTCTTTCCATCAGCACCAGCAACAGCAGTCCATGCCAATACCATACCAACTGCTAATGCCCCAAGAGTTGATGATAAACTGGCAATATACTGGGGCAACTTTTTAGCAGGTACATCTTCAGTATTGGAAACTAATGTTTCTTGTGAAATGCCAACGTTCTTTTCATTCATCTTCAATATTAGAAATCACTTCATCAAATGTCTAAAAATAATTAAACAAAATAATAATTTTTTGTGCAAAATAATCAATTCATTAATTAAATTTCATTTAAAGTTACTTTAATCTGTTTAGTTTTGTTGAAATTTATGGCTATGCTAATTTTTATTTCATGTGAAATCTATTTGTTTATCACTTATATTATCAAAAATTACACTATTATTAAAAATATATTCACGATAATAGAAAATAAAAAAATATTTTTTATCACTGTATGTTATCACTATGTTTTGCTACGTACCGTGCTGGTTAAATAAAAGTTTAAATGACTACTTGAAACGTTAAAAGAAAGTGTTTCGTTATTGAAGTCCGATCGTATATTAAAATATCTATTACTTGTGGACACTCGGCAATAATCACTACCTTGAAAGTATTTGTTTCTTATCAGCGATATGACTAAAGAGCGATTAATCTCGGTTTAATTGACAGGTTGTTTATTGCATATATACTAATAACAAACATGAATCACTGACCCTCGTTTGTAATCCATGTATTTTTCAGTATTGCAATATCTTCTGTTTTTTGATTTTCATTTTTTATGTGTTCAAATATATATCATAATTTCAATTCGTTTTATAAGTTATCATATCAAGAAATACTGAATACAATAAAGTAAATTTATATAATTTACACAAATAGATATATATCTTGATAAAATAATTTCTTGTTACAGTCATAAGTACCTTGGATCACTGTGTAATCTTCTTACACAGTTCTAAGTACACAGTATGATAATATAAAAGTTATAGATGTATCTTATCTTATATATTCATAGAATTCCTCAAAGACTTGCAGAGTTAATAATATCTTCCTCATATTATCTTTCATCATTATATTCTATTAGAATTTTGGGATGTAGTATATTCTGCTATTACATTTCCATTATTAACGAGATGTAATTTTATATTTAGTTGATGTTTCTTTCTTGATGGTATTTACACAATATTTTCCAACTATTACAATTGCTTTGTAATATTTTCCATCCAATGAATAATGAAATGGACTATGTACTTCGTTTTCAAGACAAAGAAGATCTCCACCATTTTCTAAAGATAACTGCAATACAATAACTCTACCCCATGCTGCTGTAACATGACCTAGAATTAACCCATACATTGATTTGACATCAGAGTTTCTTCCATGATACATACTTAGTATCACAAACGTATATCAAGTATCACATAAGTAACTTAATATCAAATTTTTAATCAATACATGTATATTGTTATACTCATAATACTTAAATTAGTAGTTAAATAAAGTTCTACTTATATTTGTTTTAGTAGGTAATATACACTTATTTACATATATGTACTTAAATCTACACTTAGTCTTATAGTTTTAAAGTTATCAGGTGGTATTCAATTCTCTTTGAATTTCTACCAAGGATTTGCCTTTTGTTTCAGGAACTAATACATATACAAAGAGAGTACCAATAGCACAGATTACAGAAAACAACCAATATGTAGGCCCCACATTAATCGCTTGTTTTAAATCATCAAAAAATTTAGTTACAATAAAGGCTAGCAACCAATTTAAAACACAAGCACCACTAGCAGCTACACCTTTTACCTCTGGTGGAAATACTTCTCCCATCATCATCCATGGGAGAGGACCAAAACCGACACTAAACATAATACCAAAGAGACATATAGATATTAAAGGTAACCATGTAATTTCACTAACATCCTCTCCAATTTCTGTAAGATAGAAATACACTCCAATAGCTAAAGTTGTTAAGCACATGAATATTGCAGATACCATTAACAATATTCTTCTCCCTAAGTGATCTACAACTAATGTGCTTATAAAGATAGCAAATATCTGTATTATACCCATAATACTAATCGAATAACTAACAAACATACTATCGCCAGTTTCCGCAAGGAGGGTACCGGCATAAAAAGCCGAAACATTTACACCGCTTAACTGTTGAAAAATCATGAGGCCATACGAAATCACAAAACTTTTTTTAACAGCCTTAGATTTAAGTAATACGAATAAAGAAGTTGTCTTTTCACGGGTTTCTTCTAATGACTCTCGGTGTATTCGTAATTCGTTCTCTACATTGTATTGAGTACCACGTAATTTAGTTAAACATTTTTTGGCACCCTCTTCATTGTCTTTTTTTAAATAATACATGGGTGTTTCTGGCATAAACACAAAAGTTCCAAAAAATATAAATGGCACAACGGCAGATATAATAGACAGTTCACGCATATTTACAAAACTTCCTAAAATGTATACAAATGACACGCCTATTGCAAGAAGTAACTGAAAATATGATCCTAATCTGCCACGAATCTCACTTTCAGCTATCTCTGCTATGTACATTGGTATGGTTACACAAAAAGCTCCAACAGTAAACCCAAGAATAAGTCTACCAATAAAAAACATAGCTAGAGAATTGGCAAAAATTAGAAGCAGCCAACCTAAGGTAAGAGGTATTACCATTAGAAGCATTGTATATTTTCTTCCTATTACATCAGCAAGAATTCCAATAGGTATACATATCAATGCTGCTCCAAGTGTAGTTAACGAACCAATCCATGAAAAATCAGTTGAAGTAATATTTATATTATATAAATCTATTAATTTCTGTCCATCAGCACCAGCAACAGCAGTCCATCCTAATACCGTACCAACGGTTAATGCTCCAAGAGTTGCCGATAAACTGGCAATATACTGGGGCAACTTTTTAGCAGGTACATCTTCAGTATTGGAAACTAATGTTACTTGTGAAATGCCAACGTTCTTTTCATTCATCTTCAATATTAGAAATCACTTCATCAAATGTCTAAAAGTAATTAAACAAAATAATAATTTTTTGTGCAAAATAATCAATTCATTAATTAAATTTCATTTAAAGTTACTTTAATCTGTTTAGTTTTGTTGAAATTGATGGCTATGCTAATTTTTATTTTTTCATGTGAAATCTATTTGTTTATCACTTATATTATCAAAAATTACACAATTATTACAAATATATTCACGATAATAGGAAATAAAAAAATATTTTTTATCACTGTATGTTATCACTATGTTTTACTACGTACCGTGCTTGTTAAATAAAAGTTTAAATGACTACTTGAAACGTTGAAAAAACTGTTTCATTATCGAAGTCCGAACGTATTTTTAAACTATCAATTACTTACGGACACTTGACAATAATCACTATCTTCAATGTATTAGTTTCTTATCAGCGATATTGGCAGGGAACGTTTAATCTCGGTTTAATTGACGAGTTATTTATTGAATATATAATAATAACGGACATAAATAACTGACCGTCATTTGTAATGCATGTATTTTCCTGTATTCAATTTTTTGATTTTCACGTTTTCTGTGTCCAGGTATATATCACAATTTCAATTCATTTTAGAAATTACCATATCAAGAAATACTGAATACAATAAAGTAAATTATATAATGTACACAGATAGATATATATCTTGATAAAATAATTTTTTGTAACAGTGAGAGGTATCATAGATCACTGTGTAATCTTCTTACACAGTTCTAAGTACACGATATGATAATATAAAATTTATAGATGTATCTTATCTTATATATTCATAGAATTCCTCAAAGACTTGCAGAGTTAATAATATCTTCCTCATATTATCTTTCATCATTGGAAAATCATTATCAGTTTTTTGCAAGACATATTTTAAATATTCTCTATAACTATGTTCTTTTTGCAAGTTTTCTTCAATTATACATTCACCTTTATAAATCATTCTATAAGTACCATTTTTTATATCATGTAATTGCCTCGCTTTTCTTTGTTTAAGAACTAAACTATGCAAATTCTGAAAAGTGATGCAATTAATTTAGTTTTTCAAGGTTTTGTTAATAATATAATATATATAAAAACATACGTGATATTTTATCTTTTCCAATTGTTCAATTTCATTCTCTATGTTAGAAAGGGGTTCTTTTAAATTTTGTAAAAGTTCCTGACAATTGACTATTTTGCTTTGAGTGTTTTTTATTTGGCTGTTTAATTTTTCTACCATATTATTAATTTGCTTTGTAACCTATTAATAATACAAATTATATTTCATTTGTTTTCATACAATTAATTACTTCAAATACTTACTTTTAAAAGCTGTTTAATTTTTGCTTGCTGACCAGATAAACGTTTACACATTACCACCTTCTTATTGTGTTTTTCTTTTGGATTTCTATTAAGTTTACTAAGAACTTTATTAATCATAATATCTCTTCTTGTAACACAGAGATCCATATCGTGGATTAATTTTTCCTGAATTTTTTTCAAATAAGACAGCCTTGTTTCCATTTTATGAATTTCACTTTTCATTAATGCTATATCACCAGTACTATGTTCTTGTTTCACATTTTGTATTGTTTCTTGTATTAACAGCACCTAATGTATATATTATATTATTATCATAAATTAACAGTTAAAACGTGTTACAACATCACTTACTTTCTTTTTCCATGATAAACTTTCTTGTTGTGCACACTTCAATTCTTCCTTTAACATATTTTTTTCACTATCTAAATTACTTAAGTCGCTTTGTAATTTTACGAGTTCTAATTCAAATTCTTGAAAGGATAAGATAGACTCATTTGTTACCCTGCAATTTTTATTTTCTAACGCTTTTTTTAAATCTTTTTGTATCGTCAAATTAGCATTCATAAATGATAATTTTTTATCAAGAAAAGCTATAGCTTTATTTGTACTTGTTTCTTTTTTTACTAGCATTTCTAAAGCATAGTTTAATTTCAGGTTTTTCTGTCTCATTATCATAATTTCTTTTTCAAGAAGGTTTAATTCACGTAACTGTGATTCTCTCTGTTGACTTAATGAAACGATAAAACCTTGTTGACGGATCCAAAACTGTTGCGTTTTTTGAATATTTTGTTCAATTTCTTGAATATTTTTTTCCAGACTATTAATTTTCAAATCCTGTGGGCTTAACTCTTCACCACCAATATTTGGTACAATCTGAAATTATTCATTTATATAGATAATTTTCAAACATAACTCTATTTTAAATTATAAAAAAGAATGACTAATACAAAACCTCATCGATAAGTTTATTTATTTCAAGCAATTTTGTTTGTTTTCTTTCAACCATAAATTCATATTTTCTTATCTCTTTTTCTAATTTGTCTATTTGTTTTTCTTTGTCAACATTATTTTGTAATAGTTCATGTAGCTCAGTTTTCTCATTTTGAACAAAGTTTGAAAGTTTTTCTAATTCTAACAAATTATTTCCATATGTATTTTCTATATGAGCAACTGATATTTCATAATTTAATACAGAATTTTTTGTATTTATTAATAATTCAGTTACATATTTTGCTGTTTTATTGCTTATAATCTTTTCTTCTAATTTTTCACATATTGTGTCTTCCAAATATTTTTTCTTTTCAAAAATTGTTTCTAACTTTCGATTTATTTGTTCTTCTTCGTGTAAACATTTTTGATATTTCTGAAATATTATCATTATATAATAACAATGATTAAATAAGATTTCATTTGTTAGTTATATTATTCAACATACAGTAAAAATAACATTGTAATCATACTGTGTTTGTTCATTAATTTTTGCGAGATTTATTAATTGAGATTCAATGTTTGTTTTTTCATTATACATTAATGTTACATTTGATGCAGTTTTAATATTATTTTGTAAACGAAACGATAAAGATGTTAAATGTTCATTAACTTCCATTTCTTTTTCCGTTTCTTTTTTAATTTTTTGAATTTCTGTTAATAATACATTATATGATTTATGTGCTTCTCTAAAAAAAAAAAATAGAGAAACTTCTAAATATTATAAGTTTGTACCTATGATACCAGATTTACAGTATCTATAATGGTATTTACTTACTCCTGTTCAATATGTAGTTGATCATAAACATCATTTCGTTTCCAAATATTATTTACTATAGATTTCCATATATTATGTAAGTCTTTGTGTTTTCTATGTAGAGTTTCTAGATCTGTATTCGCATAAATTATCATTTTATTAGCATCATCCTTTTCCTTATTTTTAATTTGTAATTGCTCATCTAGATATGCTATTTCTTCTTCAATTTTCCGTACTTCTTCTTTTAATTTATGTAAAATAAAATCTCTTTGTTGTTTTTCATTAATTAACATCCTATTTTTATTAGCATCTTGTAGCGACATTTGTTTAGATACAATGAGATAATCATTTAAATCCTTTTCCCATTTAGACAAGCAATTATGAAAAGCCAATAAATTTTTTAATTCTTGAGAAAGTTTTTCTTTCTTATTTTGCTCTTCTTTTAATTTAACATTATTTTCATCTAAAGTTTTTTTAGCATCTTCTATATTACAATTTCTTTTTTTCTTCAATAGTGTAATTTTTGTTAGTGCTTCTTTATATTGTTTTATCGTTACATGCTGACGTTCAACTTCTTGTTGAGTCTGATAAAGTTGTATACCTTCTGATTTCAACTCTTTCTCAGCTTGTTTTAATGATGCTTCCTAAAAGTATTATCACGCATAAAATGTAAATTTGAATATATTAATTTTGAATATATTAATCTTACAAGATTTAGTATTTCTTCAGATAGCTTATTGTTAATACGTGATAGATGTGTATGAAGTGTTGTTTGAAATTTCTTCATTAGCTTATCATCCGGGTCAAGAACATTTAACGTAGATGCTATGGGACACTCCATTTTATTCATTATTCTTCTAACAACTTTTTCTTGTTACTTCTTTATATTCTCCTACAATGGAAAAAAATAAATAATGAATACATATACTTTGTCAAACACGTATTGACTTTTCGTTCATGTTTATGAAATAGCGCGATGATCATGACAACGCTCATGAATTAAAGAATATAAGAAAGTAAAGTTTTTATTCTTGAAGCCATCCATAAAATTGGTATAAAAACCAACCATAAGGCTCAGGAAATCCTCATTGAGCTCTTTGTCTATCTAATATATATTCATCACTAACCTTATGCTGTAGTTACGTTTCATCTGATATAAATTATTATTTTTTCAAAATAAAGGTATTTTTAATAAGATCTGTATATTTAATTATGTTTTGTATATAAATTCAGTCGTGAGTTGTAATTGTAATATAAGTACTTTATAGTTGTAGGATATTATTTTGAGGGAATATTAGGGTTATGTTATCAAAATATAATCATAAATTTTCATAGTTTTAAATATAACTATTTGCAAACGTTTGATTAGTAGAACATTAACCAGTGTTCTTTTTTTGTTTTTAAACAGATGTATTATTCTGCATTATGTGTTACACGAACATTGAATGTATCTTGTAAACGATATTTGAGTTCTACTAAATTACCATCACAAATTGTTATACCATTAAGCAGAGATATGATTGTCTGTTGGCATCCAGAACCGAAATTCCCTTATGAATATTCATTACCATTACCAGAAGAGAAAAGAGTTTCATCCAATTCTGTTTTGTCAATTGGTGAAAAAGAAATCAGTGAAGTTTTTAAACACAAGAAACCTCAAGTAGTTGTCGAAGAGCTTGCTAAAATGACATATACTACAAAACATAGATGGTATCCTAAAAAGGACAGAAAAGTAATCAAGATAAAACCAGAGAGACCATATTTGTAGATGTAATTTATATATTCTAAATAAACCTAATGAAATACCATTGAATAAAATTAAAATCAAACAAGAATATCTATGATAAATCATTACAGTCTTTTCTTTTCTTCTTTATTTGTTTTCATAGTATTGCACGTACATATTTAAATATGAACACTTACAAAATAATTACAATATATATATATGTATATATGTATATACATGTATATGTACATTAGTCATAGAATAATTTACATAAACTTTGGTTTTTCATAAGAAAAAAAGTTAATTTTAAAAATCAAGAGTAGATATTTGTCTTTCTCCGTCGTGGATAAAAATCTTCATTGCTTGATATAACAAATACCTCCCAAATTTACGTTTTTCTTCCCTACTCCATGTTATTACTTTTCCATAGTAATCTCCACTTTTACAATTTTTTAGATTTTCCGTTCCTAGAGCCTCAATCATAGCAGCTTCTCGCGTATAAGCTTCCACTGGAATACGGTTTTGAAAAACGCGGAGACAAACAACTCCATATCCTTCGCTCCAAATGTTTAAAATATGTTGAATTTTTTTATTATCAGAACTTTTATGCGAAAACCATGTTTCTGAAGCTTCTTTAAGATGGGCGAATGGTCTGTTATGTGAACCTTTACCTATATAAAATATAGCAGAGAGAAATTTTAACCATTTTTCGGAATCTTTCATATTTTCTGCACTAGGTAAATCCTCAGTTATGCGTGGATCTAAGAGTAGATAATTAAAACACGTTTTATTTGTTCCTTCTCTCCATCTTCTAGAAGGACTTACTGTACAAAATTCTTCAAAAATATTCTTTTCAATGGTTTTGTATTTTGTCAAGTCATTCACCCAATCTCCATACTCCAGAAATGGTTGCATATGAAATTTAAAATTTTTATTTGTTTTAGGAAAAGCTCTGCAATGATTAGATTTGAGTCGCACAAATGATGAATTATTGTTCTTGTTTTCGAATTTTGAAAGACGTTTCAAATATAGCTGTCTTGTTGTATTAGTAATTGGTCCTGGATTATCACCAAGAGCAATTAACTTTCTTCGTATTGTTTGATTTGTTAAAGGTACCTCTATTGACAAATTTAATAAGTGGGGCCCTGAAAAAAGATTAAAGTCTTATTTCAAGAATTATATATTTAAATTATATAATTTTGCTTAGTCTTACAGATTTCGTCGATAGAAGTACTCCCAGATTTGCTGTAAAGAAATAAATACATATATCTAGGATCAACATTGCATATAAAGTAATGAATTTTAATATCTTACCATGGTGGAATTGTATAAATTCTACGTTCCCGAAAAGCCATACCTTCGTCTATATCTTCGTGCTTATATTCCTCTTGTACACTAATGTATGATTGTGATTTGAAACTGGAGAAATAATTAATTTATTAAATTTTAAATATTAAAAGTGTTGAAATTAGAATCACAGAAATTGTGATAATTAAATTTATAACACTATATTTCTCCAAGGTATTCACTGTACTAGTATTTGAATATTGAACAATATCCTGTTAATTAGGTCTATGATATAATTTTGTACCATTTTATTTTACTATGCACCGTATTACTTCCTGACTTGCAATAATGTTCGACATCTAACGATAAGATATCACTTTTTATCAGCGGACGTGACTAATATCAGTAATATTAGAAATTAAATCACAATAAAAAGACTTAAACCGTATAATTTTTTTTTGTAAAATTATTGAAAACAGTATAACAGTTTAATACCGTTACAGTGAAAACTCTATATATTGATTAACAATAAATTTACCTTGAAAAAAAAGTATTCGAATTTTCCTTAAAAGAATTTGAAATACTATTAATTTTCGATCTCTCTTCTGCAGTTAAAAAATTCTCTGGTGAAGTTATACGCTCTTTTAAGTTCTCTTCATATCGTTCAATTACATTGGTTTTTTCAATTTCCAAATTTCTAAAATTGTTATCGAGTCCTTCTATTGAATCGTTTTCATTTTCATATTTTTCATAATTTTTTTTATTTTCGTCAGTATTAAAGTTTATTAATACATCGTCGTCATATTTATTTTCATCTAATTTTATCGCTAGATTTTTACTAAGCTTATAATTCAATCTCTTGATACAGTTATGTTCTGGTGATAAAGAATTCGTTGAATCGGGACTTGTATTGTCTGACGATGTAAGTCCATTATTTTTTTTTAATTTTCTAAGTGACGAATATTGTCTATGAAACTGTTTCCTTCTCCTTGGAGTAGATCTTGCTACTTCTTTCTCTAGATTAAATTCAGATTGAAATAATTGATTTCTTGTCATACATGGCGTGAAAGCTTTAAATCTCATTTCCTTTTGTGATGATATTTTTGGAGATACGTATTTTCGTTGCTTCGCAACAGGTTCCCCTATTAAAAAATTTGGCGACTTACTTATAATTGAATCACCTGGATTATATACAGGTATTAATGAAATTTTAGCGTTATTTTGTTTAAAAATTTTGCGTCGATGCTTAGGAGTAATGGACCGTCTTCTTGTTTTACTTTTTAATAACAATTTCTCTCTCATATTACACATCATACTGTTATCTGTGCTTATTGTAGATGATGGACTTGTATCGTATTCGTTTTTTTCCGAAACCAGTCCATATTCATTATTGACCTCCTGTTGTTTAAAATTAGATTTCAAAGAATTTGAAAGTTGATTAATAATTTTATCAACTAACACTTTTTCTTTATTCGTTTCTTCATAAATTCGAAATTCTTCTGCATTTGCTTCAAACTGTTCATTACTATTTAAGCTATCATCACCATCTGAACCAAAGGAATATTTAACTTGAATACTAGTAGAATTTTGTTTGTCATATTTTTGAAATACATTTTCCTTCAATGGGCTTTCTATTACTATATTAGAATTTTCTGATGCAGCATATTCTGCTATTACATTTCCATTATTAATGAGAAGTTTATCAAAAGTAATTTTATATTTAGTTGATGTTTCTTCTTTGATAGTATTTTCACAATATTTTCCAAGTATTACAACTGCTTTGTAATATTTTCCATCAAATGCATAATGAAATGGACTACGTCCTTCCTCGTCTAGACAAAGAGGATCTCCACCATTTGCTAAAAGTAACTCCAATACATTGACTCTACCCCATGCTGCTGCTACATGAACTGGAGTTAACCCATCCACTGACCTGACATTAGGATTTCCTCCATGACGTAAAAATAATTTAGTAACTTCTTCTGCAAAAGCTTCAGAGTCATTACCTATTACTAAATGAAATGGAGTTACCCCATACATAGGAATTAATGTATTAGGATTTGCTTCTTTATTTAGAAGTAATGTTGTTACTTGCTTTATATTATTGTCTTCCAATCCATCATAGAGAGAGGAAGCCAAGAAAAGGCATCCTTTTGATTTTAGAGTAGACATTATGTTCCAAGTATAGCTGTTTGTGTTGTTTATATATTATGTGTACTTATCCCTGTAACACAAAAGTATAATACTTTAATTATCTAATTTGGGCAACCAACTTAAATGATAAAATTTAATTGTCAAAATGTACGAACATTGTATAAAAGTAATATACAAAGTACTATACAAAAGTGAATTAGAAATGTAAAATCAATTTTAAACCGTTATATTTTTGAAATATCTTTGATTTAAGTACCTTTGAAAATGTATACAATGGATCTTTATATGTAGAAGGTCGTTTTAAAAACATAGAAATTAAATAAGAAATAAGGAACGTATTAACTATTTGTACCATACTTTAATTAATTATTTTCTCAAGACTACATCTCTGTTACTAATATTTATTTTAAATACAGAAATTTCTAAAATGTTTCTTACCCTTTGTTTGCTTTTATTATTTTCGTGTTACGATTAGTATGTATATATATATACCGATTTATGGAATCTGTATTACCATCATCCCACCAAATTTCGACCGTAGCGCCATCTATACAAAAATGGCTCAAACTATTCAACAAGTTACCGGCCAGGTCCCTCGAAACAGAAGCACTAGCGCCATCTATCGGCAAATTGCGGAAACTAATCGACCTGTAGTTTCCGCGATTTGTGGATAGGTGGCGCTGTTCCCAGGGCCTAGACGGTAACTTGTTGAATAGTTTCAGCCGCTTTTGTATAGATGGCGCGACGATCGAAATTTGGTGGGACGATGGTAATACAGATTCCTTTTTTCTCCAGATACAAATACAAGACCCCTCGATAATAAAGACATGTCCAGCCCAGTTCAGTCTTGTTAGAAAGAATAGTTACTGACATGGATGAATGGATAAATTAGACAGTAGATCATGGTATTGGATATATTTGCAATCATAGTATCATACATGTAATCACTTCTGTCTGATAATCGTTAACAGATATCTAATGAATACTTGTGTTTTACGTATAACATTCCCCAGTGATTGAGATTTACTTAAAAGAAATATATAACCTCTACCATTTGTTTACACAGAGTTTTGTCGCAATATTTCCATAAGTCTCTGTGCGATGAATGCTTCAAAATAAAGTATGGAATATATGTTTATTACATAAATAGTAAACATTATTACAAAGGACTGACATTTTTAATGACAAATATGCTTCTTTTTTTAAGCACAAAGTGTTAGCTGTTTATACTGACAGTAGTTCATTGAACTATCACATGTTCGAAATTGAGCATGGTAAATGAGTGCCTTAAAAGATCAAGATCCCGATTACGGGCCGTCCGTTGCGAATAATGAGAAGCATCAACGAATTTACGAAGAAAATGGTAAGGAAATTTCAATCGAATCTATGTCAAGTATTATGCCTAACCTTATAAAGATATGTATGTAAGTCTTATAATAAATAGTTGCTTGATATGATTTATAGCACGTAGCAGTACTGCAAGGAAAATAACAGCTATAATTGAAAGAGAATTTTCGCAAGAAATTGATGTAAAGGAAAAAGAAGTTCTAGAAATTCAAGAGAGATTACATAGAGCATCAAAAGTTCTTCATCTTTTACGTTACGTCATTGTGGCTGATTTCTACAATCGCAAGCAGTGTCAAAATTCACAGAATGGAGAAGCTAAACAAACTCAGATTCATCCTGCGATAAAACAGTTGATTGGTAAATTACCAAAATCATTTGATAGTTCAGTTCCTACATCGTCGAGTAATGAAAGTTACTTTGGAACATCTAACGCGATAGATTGCGCTATAGTAAAAAAAGAAAAATCCGTAGAAGAAACAAGCGAACATAGCCGCGTAGAGAAAAGAAATAACGATGCGAACGAAGAATCAAGACCGAAGAAAATTCCTCGGTATATTCCACCAAAAAGTGGAATTCCGGAGTCTCAGTGTCCGTCGAGAGGCATCAGGCACAAAGTTAGAAAACGGATAATTATTGGAAACATCTCAAAATGGATTCCTCCAGAATGGAGGGAAGATGCAGCTAGTCACAAGTGGACAATGTATGTTCGCGGAAATAAAGAAAATCCTAATATCGATGATTTTGTTAGTAAAGTAAGATTCTTTTTGCATCCTAGCTACAGACCTAACGACGTCGTAGAAGTTACATCGGTGCCATTTTGTCTATCAAGACGTGGATGGGGTGAATTTCCACTGAGAGTACAGTTACATTTTAAATGTGCACTCAATAAACCAATGGATATAATTCATTATCTGAAATTAGATCGTACTTATACTGGGCTTCAAACTTTAGGTGCTGAAACACTTGTTGATATATGGATATACGCAGATCCTCGCAATTCCAAACGAAGCACCGGCAAAACAGAGCAAGATTTCATCGAGAATGAAAATGATTGTAAAGTAAAAATAGAAAATAATGTAGATTTAAATCAAGAGTATGATTTTATCAACAACACCGTAAACGAATCGATAGATAAAGATTGTAATGTTGTCGTGAAAAAAGAATGTTCAGACGACATCAGTGTTAATAATGAAATTTCAATAAATACCAAACAATTGCAATTGTACATAGATCTCGATCACGATTATTGTGGATCAAGATATCTTAACGATTCTGAAGGAAATTTAACTATTGATCACTCGTTAACAACGTCTAGAAGAACTGATTCGTCGTTGAATAAAGTTACCAAAGAAAACCAAGAAAACTGCCAACAAAAAGAGGAGAAAGTGGAAACGAGCGTGAACAGTAGTAATTCAGATTCAACTAAATCAAAGATAAAAGAAGAAACAATTAACACAGAGACAAATGAATTGGACCGAAACAAAGAAAAAGCATTTCCATTAGGTTGTACTAAACAATCAGATCTTCGCCCTTTACAAATTACCATTCCACCATTGTTCGAGGCCTCTGGAAGTAAACATGTCTTGGTACTAGAAAACAATCAGACAATTCCAGTGGATATCGCAGTTCCACGCACAGCCGATGATCAGATGAAATCAAAAATAAGTTTCACTGCTTCTCGTGGTATTAGTTTATTAAAGAAACCTTCGGGTTCAGAAACAACGATCCAAGTACGAAATCCTAATGGGACGAACGTTCAACAGGGATTAAAGCTTCAGTTATCTAAAAGTATCCTTCTGAATGTAAACTCTAATGTACCAGTATTAAAAATAGCTGAAAGAAGGAATTCGTCAAACGTAGAAAAGGAATTAACTTGCGAAATGAAAATAAACCAACATGAATTGAAAGAACAGAAATTATCTCGTCAGAGGATCACATTGGGCAAAGATAAATATAAACTCCAAAGTAGAAAGGAATTTTACGACGATATTCTTGAATCAATAGAAACTGCAAAAATTGCTAATATTCAAGGACTGCTGCGGTTTATTATTAGAAGAATGCCAATGATAACTAGAGACGCTTTAGACTATGATTACAGACGACTTCATCCTTATGCTTGTTCGAGCGAAGAAGAATTCTTTCAGTACAATTATGCTAAACGAAATGCTTGCGAATGGAATCGAGCCAAAATGATAAGAGGTTTCATTAAAAAGAGGTCGTTCACGGAGGAGGAATTATGGAGTATAAAAGAAATAATGATTTGGTCACGGTTACATGGTTACACACCACTTCGTTCAGATTTTCCAATTAGATCGCTCCATCAACAAAAGAATTTACCCGATTCAACGATTGTTAAAAGCATATTTACGTGTACCGAACCCGATACGTTTTCTAAGTGGCTTCAAACCTATCCAGCTCGACATAATGATCATTTATTTCACTCTAATTTGCAAGCCAACGAGATCGATACCGAGGTGGATGTTGTAAATGTCGACGACTCGATGAATAATATAAAAAGAGAGAAGAAAGGAAGTAATGAAGTTACTGATACGAAAATCTCTGCGATGAATCTTGATACTAAATCGGTACCACTTTATAATTTCGTTCATGAAACTGCTAGAGAAATTGGTGTTGAATTAGTATCCGAAGAAATTGTGCCAAATGTTGTATACTGTGCATCTGGTCGAACGATGATGAGAGTGAGTAAATTACTCTTTTTATTTCTTCCTACTATTATCTCATTTCGTTGCTTAATAAATCATTTTTCAATTTCTTTTCAGGCCGTCGAATGCCTCGTAGAAGATCTGGTTAGAATGTCATTGGCGAAAGCTTGGGAAAGATGTGGTGATGATGGGTAAATACTTGATCCAAACTATCAATATTTTCTACAAAATTAATGATTATTTGTTCACGATGCGAACGTCAGTAGATATACATTATTATCACAGAATTGTGACAGTCATATTTTTACTTTGTTTATAGATATCCGAAGGTAATCGTTTTGGACGATGTGCGTGGAGCTCTTTTAAATCGTGAAGAGTTTGATATTTTCACGAACGAAGGATTAGGTTCCAAGTACCGATTATCAATGATGGATTAATTGAAAAGCATAGAAAACGTAAGGAAAATAATGCTACCGTATTTAACGTTCAAGCGATAAAAATCTACTATGATTAATTTGCTTCAAGGCAGTGTGTCTCGTATTCTTGTACAAATTTATAAATTTCAATAAAGTATATGAAATTTTGTACGAATAGGTATATTCAAGCAAAAATTCGTCTTTATACGCTTCGTCTTTATAAAAATAAAATTGGTGAATCTATATAAGAAGCGGTTTAGAAAAAAAAAAATCAAAGTATCGTATAAAAAATATGGTTGGAACGTGACTTTATCAAAAATATGCTCACTGTTTTTTTCGTAAATCGTTTAACGCATAATAACGTAATCGCTTTCGTGTAGAGGTGTTTGTGCTTCTAACAGAGCAATATCTTTTAACCTAGGTGACATGGGAACATAATGGGACTCGTCCATTATTCTTTGAGGTACAAAAACGTTTCTTTCACTCTGCATAACATACTCGCTTTCCTCCAGAGCAGCTCGTGGTTGTCGATTCTGTAGACCGGTATCTATTATTCGAGGTGACATAGGAACATAATGAGAGTTATCTATTATCTTTTGTAATGCAAAAGCATTTCTTCCATTGTGCATAAAGTTTCGAGCTGATGTCATAGATACAATATTTGATCGAGACATTCGAACATTTTGAAACCTTTAAAAAATAATTACATTGATTAATTAATAATCCATGTTCAATAATCCAAATGAAAATTAAACGGATACAAACCTATTGCTAGCTACAGACTCTGAAGCACATCTTTGTCTTGGAGGTAAAGGTGGAGGTTCATCTGGATGGCGAGTGGCTAATTCTTCGTCCACCTCCATGAAACTTGAAGTAGCCGCTGTTACATTGCTGCTTCGTTGATCTGCAATTTCTTCATAAATTCCAGAGGCTATAGAGACATCAGAAATCCTATTCTTAGAACTACTTGGGCCACCTGAATTTCCTCCAATAAATGGAATACTAGGTGGTTCAAGTTGATAGAAATATCCTGTTGTTCTATTAGGAATTTTGCATTTTACTACTTCGTAATTTTCGTTACTTTCCCTTCTTCTGTTATATGTTTTCAAGTCTGTTCTTTCATTGAATACTGGATATCTTACCAGTGTTTCATTCTGTGTTAGTATTCTAAGATCACCCTCGCTTAAACTGAAAGGTCGTCGATTTATTTGTCTATTTCGTGGTCCACGTCCTTGGGTTACCAGGTCTAGTAATAATTTAGTAGCGTCTAAACAAAACACGTTAAGTTCTCCAACCCCGCCACGATATTCTTTAGTTGTGTGAATTACACAAATACATCTGACATCTTCTGGTCGACCTGCTGTGCTCAAATGAAACTGACCTAATTCTTTCCATTCAAAACTTTGTATTGTTTGACCTGTATGAATGTCTTTTATAAAAACTCCTAATGTACTAGTTACCAGATCGCCGTATAGTCCTGAAATATAGTATCAAATTAAATTTCAATGGTTAACAGACTCTCTGTATAACAAATAAATCATATACCTGTGAGGCCTGATGCTTTGGAATGTCCATTGTCAACCATAGATATACTATAAGATTCTAAGGTAAATTTATACTTTCTGGGTTTTAACAGCTGCCTGATATTTGCCATCCATCTTTGAGATTCTGTTTCTGAATTACCAGCTAAATAAAGTAATGGTTTTCTGTCTTTGGTAGGAAATATACCAAAGGCAAATTGTTTGGATCTAGATTGAGTACGATGAATGATAGCATCCAATGGTATCGTTATGGAATTACCATTATCATTCGGTGATATAGAACTACCACTGCTAATGGCATAATCAAGTTGTACTTTAACACCCAAACCAGGGCCTAGTTTTTTAACAGAGCACCAGTGCCTTTTCCATACTTTCCAAGGACCCAGTGTCCTTTTTTTTACTTTATGAACCTTCGATTTATTACCAAAAAATTTAACATCTAGAAATCCACAAATTTCAATATTTTCCTCAGCCATTGAACTCTTGTTTAATCTAAGAAGAATAAAAAAACATTTCAAAATTAACATTTCATGAAATAATAGTATTCAACGTTTTATTGTAACAAAAAAGAGTCTAGAAGTCGAGAATGGTTTATTTTAGTAATGAAATATTGATACACCATATGCAAATTCATTTTATGAATTATTTACCTTAAGCTTAATAGTTGATGTAGCTGAGGAATATTTTTTAATAAAATAAAATGTAACGCAATAAGGATCGTCTTCGATCTTCCAAGAAAGAAAGGTATGGTGCAACCAGCTACATAGGATTTCAAATAATAACGGCAAAACTTTATAAGTACAGAGCATCAGGTATGTTTATAAAAACGCCCGGGCATTTAACGAACAGTTTGCTCTTTCTGTTATTGTTTACTAATCTGTTTACTCGTTGATCTCAAATTCAGTACTACCAACGAGATACTATCCAATGTTGGCTACTACTGAAACTGGAACTCCCTCAACGAAACTCTTACTAGATATCAATTTACTATTCAAGATCTTGAAAAATGTGCATAATACAAATTATAAAGCAAGAAACATGCATAAAATTATTTAGAAGATCTCTGTTGTTATTTTGTTGCATTATAGTTTTTTTACATGTAACCGAATATAATAATAATATAATAATTGTATGTATATAGTACTTGTTTGAATATTAAAATACATAGACTGATGCGTTTAGTCTACATATTGAAATAGAAAAGCAGAAGGAGTTCTTATAGGAATCAATCTTCGATCACCATCCTGATCGGTGATCACGTAATAGTTTCTTCCATTAAAAAACTGTTGTTTCCCCTGTATCATGAGATTCTCAGCACCCGGACTGTTCACCGGGGAATTCCTACGTTTTTCGATTGATAAATTCTTTGATAAATGATTCTGAGATTTTTCTTTGGGAATACGAGACTTGTGTTTGACTTTACGATTCTTCACTCGATACGATATACAAGCACAAATTATTTCAAAGAGAAAGATAATCGTAGCGATAGCATATCCAGCTACGACTACCTCATATGTTAAAAGAAGATCAGTATTTTGCAACTGTCTTTCACTCGAACGTAGATCTACCGGACAGATTTCCGCTAATGGAAGATCTTCTTCCTTTCTGTGTTGTACAATACCGGTTTCCACCAATCTTCGCAATCTGTAAATTTAAAGATTGGTATTTTAAATTGCGCACGTTTTCAAATCATGATTTTTAAATTTACAGTCTATTGATGTATTTCTTCGTAGGTGAATCATGAGAAAAGGCAAAGGCACGATTTGTTGTTAAAATAGCTTCAGGCATGATCACGTAGGTGCAGCGCTGATTATGGTCCAATCGATTACGGGTTTTGTTCAGGTAATCTTGGAATAGTAAAGTTTGCAAGTAATGTGATTCGGCTAAGAAAAGTCTTTCTAAAAATGAATAATATCTTTTTACAGGCACATTTAGTATTTCAAATCGAATAAAACATTAAATATTCGATACATACTGGTGCTTACAGCATCTAAGATATCCTTTGACGGTTCATAGTATTTGAAAATACCCTTTCCTTGCCACTTACTCACGTTTAATAAACTCAAATCATTTTGATCATCCTAAAAAGCAAACGATACAATTAAATTGATAGTCTTAAGCATTAAAATTTTCTTTAAATCTTACTTGAGAAAGGAGAAAATCAACTATTCGTCCTTTGAAAGTGATCCAAGTGTATCCCATGTAAACGATATCTTGAATAGAACTAATAGATAATGTAAACTGAGGTTTCGTTAGAAATGCGGTGAGATTTGCTGTGTAGAAGGATGTTAAAATCAGTATAAAGATCCACCAAGTTGCGAATAGTATTCGTGTCGTGTCTACGATTTCAGAAAATTATAATTGTTAAAAATCACTAGCTACGATCAACAATGATCTGTAAAACCATGTCCTGTACCTGTTGCAGCAATAATTTCTGATCCCTGCTTCAAAAGTGAACTATAAGCGAACCAGAGGCAGGAGGATAAAGTAAAGTTTTCAGAAGTCGGATCGTTCCATAATTTTCTGCTATATTAAGGGTTAAATTATAAAAATTTAAATATTATTAAACATAGTATTTTTATAGGGAAGATTTTCAAATAAAAACATATATCATTGTAGAAGATTTTAAACACCTGATTTTGGTGAAAATATAAATAATCGGTCCTATAGAGATCAAAGATGCTAAAACTAATAACCAAACGGTTGTTTCGAAGGGTGCAAGAAGACCGGAACCAGTAGCCGACACCTGTGGCCTTTTCATCACAGCAGTTAATCTCGTCTCATCTAATGATGCACCAAATGAACAGTATCGTCGCATTTCTGGTAATACCGGAAGAAATGCAACAGCTACCTCTGCTTTCTGTTGAAATAATACAAGTAAATACCCTTTTCTTTGTTCACCTATTATTGTGCAACTTTATCATGTTTATTACTTTTTCATTTAGCAAACCCAAAACACCGCTTTTCTCATCACCCAAGATGTGCTCTTTTGGTGGGATAATAGTATACGTAAAATTCAATTTCGTACTAATTATATTGAAGATATAAAATGCGTATCCTTTTCCTACCCATTCTCCATTCTCCTGCACGATCCCTGAGTATGGCATATCCTATAAAAATAAAATTTACGAAGTGAGAATGAAAATGGTCTTCAAATTAAATTTAAATTATCGCAACACGCGTGATTATACACGGCATTCAGTATGCTAATGAAAGATAACAATTTCTATTTTCCTGTATTAAAAGCGTGCAACAATCTTCATTTTTAAAATCAATATTGCAATTTTACATAATTTGCAATGCTTACATTCCACGATGTAACTGTTATCTGCGACTGTAATAGATTTTCTTCTCTATCACTATCATCGTCATCTGTAAAACATTATAAAAAAGTGATTAAAGTAATAAAATATTTGTCAACGATTAAAGAAATATTTAGAGATCGAGGATCGACATACATTCATCGTAATCGTAACAAGCGCAACGCGGAGTAAATAAGAGCATTGCATATAGTAGATAGAAGATGCACATTTTTCGATGAAAATTACAATTATGATTTCAATTAATTGCAGGTCAATGAGGAGCGTAAATTATCAATTACGTTACTGTCACAACAAACTGGGTACCTAGGTGAATCGATACTAACGTGACGGTCACACATCCTGATTGACAGTGACCCGGCTGACACTTGCGTATATGACACTGTCGCACATTAACACCTTTCCAGTTCATCACGATCGATCCAATTTAAGAAAATCATTATCTTCATTCTTCGTTTGTTTTTTATCTTCTTAATGAAAAAGAATTCAGTTCAGTTGTGTGATCGTTCCATATGGTTAACATAAGAAAGGAAAGCTTGTTAGTTGATATACTGTTTCCGATCCTGACAATGAGATAAAATTTCTTCTATTTAATAATTTAATAGTATTTATGCAAGAAAAAGATGAAAATTTAATAACTTATAGTAGTAAAATAGCCTTATTCTTTCCAGTTTGTTAGACTCAAATATCACCTTACGCGCGTGCTAAAAGAGTATCGAATTAAATCGAACGTTCGATTTCGAGTTCTCGATCGAGTTCCAATACAGGAAGAAACGTTTGTTTCCTGTTTTCAAGTTAATTAGAAATGAATGATTATAAATGTAAAAACTTAGTAGTTAATTAACAGAAAAATACTGTACTGTATATAAATATTTAATAACATCGATGTCAGTATCGATACGTTAGTCGAAACGGAACAAAAAGTTAGTTTCTCAACCGTATATCGGGATAAATTCGTGTTGTTGGTTGATAGAGAGAAATGCAAACGGTGAACAGTGGATACAAATTCCCCATGAAGTTAGTTCAAGTACACTGAAATGACAACAAGTGATTGATATTATTGACGACGGTATAATGTGAGGTGAAAAAGATATTTCGGCGCGAACGGGAGTGCACTTTGTTGGTAAGTAACCCGACAAAGCATCCCGTTCGTGGAACTGATCGCATATTTGAGCCTTTCATTCAAGGTGTAAGAAAAATTCCCTTACGAATTCCCGTTAGTGAATACAGGTTATGTGAACTTCGAAACGCCTGGTCGTTCGCTGTTTCTCTCAAACACCGGCCAGGATGGGCCAGGGTACAGATACGTGCACGGACAGGCCTACAGAAGTTAGTGTCATCAGATTTGTGTCAAGGAATCGTACTATCGAAGAAATCGTACCGAAAAAGGTAAATCACCTGAAGGAGTCATTTAACGGGTTCAATGACCCCTAACTCAAAACAAATCGTTCAGCTTTTATCTACCTTCGTCAAGTTATTGCGCTCCAAGTTTAGAATTAGTTTGTAAGAATACGTTCGTTATTTGTAATAACAATGCAAAGAATCAGAATTAATTATACATTTTCATGTCCTGAATATGTTACTCTAACAAAACATCTAACTTGATATGTTTTTATTAAAGAGCTTTGCTTATAAATAAAGTTGATTTTGTATACCTAATCCATAAAAATTTCAACAAAACAATGCTGTATTTGTGAATGATATTAAGCGATTAAAACGTTTGATGATATCTCATATATATTTACATCACATTTCTAGGAAATATATACTTGTAAGCAACGAGGTTGTGGAAAGACATTCACCAATCAAGATGAATACAAAACACACGAAACTCTTGAGGCTTTAAAAATTAGATTCATGTAAGTTAACTATGTTTATGTAGGTGAAATGTATATAGAACTTTTGTAACATTATATTGATTAACAACAACTAAAGTCTGAATGGTTTACCTAGTTGTCGGGAACCAGGATGTGGAGAAGAATTATCTGATCCTGGAAGTATGTGGCGGCATTATCAAGAGTGGCATAACAATGAAACAAATGTATTTATATGTCCATATACAAATTGTGGCTCCTTACATACAACCAGTAACAATTTGGAAGAACATATCGAAAACTACCACAGACAACCACCAACACTGCCAACTGAACCAGAAGTAATATGTTTTGAAGATTCTGAAAATGTAATAGACGAGGAAATTGTACAAAGTACCGAGGAATGCTATGAAAATAGAAATGAAACTTTTGCAATAAAAGGGCATCATTACGATGACAATAATGAACAAAATATTCATAGAAATGACAATATACAGCAACAAAAAAAAGAAGCCTCCCATGATCAGAGCACTGGAAGCGATAATTCTAATAAGGAAGATTACTCATCTAACACAGAAAGCTTAAATGAAACTGTTACATTTCCTATGAATGAAAATTTAATGATAAATACAGAAAATTTTCTGCCCAATTATGAAGGCAACACAAAAAGTTCAGAATTGCAAACAGATCATTCCCAAGAGAAAGCTAATGTAGTTTATGTAAATGGTGATATTACCATTACTAAGAATTCAAAAAACGAAGTATGTAATATGAATGCAAGAAATCAAGAACATAGAATAGAACTGGATAATTTAGAAAGAATCTTCAGAAGTGATCTGGATCGTGATATTTCAAAAACCGAGGAGAATACCATGGAGACGAACAGTAATTGTTCGGACGATGAAGAATACACGCCAAAAAAACAACGCATGTCTAGATATAAACAGGAAATTTACAAATGTGCAGTCAATGGTTGTGGGAGAAAATACAAATACATATCCCATTATCGTCATCATCAAGACAGTCATAAATTATTAACGAACGCAATTAGCTCAAATTCTAGCAAATCAATAGTAAAATTGAAGCAAGGAAAAGCATCGGCAGTCAGTTTTTTCTTGTAAGTATTGTTTGTTAATTTTCATCTTACAATAAAATTAATTTTTCTATATCCTAAATTAGATGCAAGATTCCTGGCTGTAAAGCACAGGTGAGCAATGTAACGGGTCTATGGAAACATTACCAGGACAATCATGCTAATTCAAAACTGCCAGTAGTACAAGAAGCTAAGAGTACTGAAGTATTTCGGTAAGTTGTATAATAATGTATTCAGTTATTTTTGTAATTATAATTAACATCAGCAGAGCAATTATACTGGCATTTTACAGTATACCGAAAACATAGATAAGCTTGTTGTTGTTAGGAGTCTGTGTTGGTGTATTATTAAAAAGAAACAAAAATATTTCAGTTGCAAAATTCCTGGGTGTGAAACAGAATTTAGTACAACGGTAATGTTGTACAAACATTTCAATGAAGTGCACTCGAATGGTTCTGGCAATAATGCTAGCACAAACACAAAGACTGGGAATGGGAGTAGTTTTCATTATAATGAAATATTCAAAGATGATACTACCATCCTGCAAGGAAACTTTAAGACTGACTTTAAGGCAAAGAATAATATTAATGCAAATGACTGTACGAAGAATACTGATGAACAAAGATTATCATCAGCCGTTAAGAAAGAAACTCGAGATTGACTTGAGATGAACTAGTATCTATAAACGTGATGATAAATAATTGTAGCGATATGAATCAAGAGTATTTTACTAGGGCCGAAAGTATTCAAACCATCAAACGAATTATTGTTCCTCTCTCTCTTTAATGAGCGATTCCGCTCCTTCTTATTCTCCATCTTTTTGACTAGTCAATTTTTATTACGCTTTTATTATTGATTTTAAGTGTAAAGGCCCTTGTTAATTACTCATATCTTTATATCTCTAACTTTTAATTATAGGAATGCAAAAATCGAGATACAACTATCTTAGATCATTAGAGTTATTCCTTTATGATTTTTCAAGTGGAAACAAAAGCATTGTATAACGTTTTACAAGCTAATGCATTATTCGAACAATTTTCAGATTTTTTTTTATTTGACAATTCCATTTAAATCTGTAAGAAATGAAACAAAAAATGGTATTACATTTTACAACAGAAACATATGTATATTACAGTGTTCTTAAGTATACCTTATTATCAAAGCATATTGTACATTCAACATAATTTATTTTTACAAAATTATTACTAATACTATTTGAGGTAAATATTAAATCGATTCATTTATATTTACACATAAAAAGTTAATAATCATAATTACCTGGAAAGTATAACAAGCAACATAGACAAGTTTAAAGAACTTTCAATATTTAATAGATACAACAATGAATTCAAGGTAAAAGAGTACAGTTTTATAGATTAATAAGCTGGATTAATTTAAAAACAGAAGTCAAAGAAGAGAAAAAAGTTGCAGTAATCCATATACGTGTTATATAAAAACTTCTAACTTTCCATACTAATTTTTACTATTTTATATTATATCACTTTGACATAATTTATGTTAGGTATATCAATGTAGTTATTGTATTAGATATAGTAGAACTATAAGCATTGCATAAGCATTTTCATTTGTATGTCTGTACATTGAAAAATAAAGTGCAATAGTGAGTTAAGAAAACCTATCAGAAACAGAATATCCATCTAGCAGGAAACTGTGTTTAATCTCGCTTTACTAACCTAGCTTCATTGAAAATGTTTTTTACATTATATTTTATAAATTTATTGACTTGGTGTATAGCGCAAAGACAAAATTTTCTTTTAATAATCGTCGATGATTTAAGAACTGCTTTAGGTTGTTATGGCGACTCAAAAGCTTATACACCAAACATTGATCATTTAGCAAAAAGAAGTGCCATTTTTTCACAGGCATTTGCTCAGGTTAGTATGAAATGAAAATGTTCTGTTATGGAAAAAGCAGTTGACAGAAGTAACACTGTCATATGACTTTTTCCGAAGAAGCAATTTTTATTATTAGTTACAATTTCTGTCAAGATCACATATTTAATATATATATATGTATGTATCTTTTAGCAAGCTTTATGTGCACCGAGCAGAAATTCATTTTTAACAAGTAGAAGACCAGATACCCTACAACTGTATGACTTTTACAGTTATTGGAGAACAGATACTGGCAACTTTACAACCTTACCACAACATCTCAAGGAAAATGGATATATTACCAAATCAATAGGAAAAGTCTTTCATCCAGGTTTCTATTCTTTTACATAAAAGAATCTATTTTTTTATATTATATTCTCACCGATTGTTTAATAGGAATTAGTTCAAACCATTCTGATGATAGCCCTTATTCTTGGACAGAAGTACCTTTTCATCCATTTACAGAAAAATATAAAAATGTTCCAGTATGCCAAGCAAATGTGAGACTATCACCTACTCAAAATCTTGTAATATTTCAAATTTACTTTTTAAAAAAATGTTAATATTTGGCCCAGTGCAGGAAATTTAATAATTGATTTTAGATATGCCCAGTTAAACTTTCGTCAATGCCAAATAAAACATTACCAGACATAGAAATTTTGAATGAAGCTAAAAGCTTTATATTAAATCAAACAGGAAGTACTAGACCATTTTTCTTGGCAGTTGGTTTTCAGAAACCACACATACCATTTAAATATCCTAAAAAATATCTAAGTATATTTTATCATTATCATTTTTTATAATTATAGCAATGTAACATTAAAATTGAGAAAGAGATATTTTGCAGAGTATCATCCATTACATAAGTTTGAGGTACCTAATCCATATAAATGGTCAGAGAATGTGAGTAGCATAGCTTACAATCCTTGGAATGATTTGAGAACAAGAAATGATGTTGAAGCTTTAAATCTTAAATTTCCATGGGAAAAAATACCAAGTAAAGTTCAAGTAATTTATAAAATACAATTTACTTTTATATAATCAATACATTATAGTTCTGTTGATCTTGAATTTTTAGAAAGTTTTGCTCAATTGATCATTCAATCGTATTATGCTTCTGTAACATACATTGATGATTTAATTGGTCAGTTAATAAATCAATTGAAATTTTCATCACTTATACATAACACTACTATAATATTGATGTCAGATCATGGTGAGTCAATAGATTCTACACTAACTGACATTAATAATATCCACGAATAATTTATTTATCAAATTAATAAATACGTAGGATGGTCTCTAGGAGAACATGCAATTTGGGCAAAGTATAGTAATTATGATGTTGCTCTTAGGGTACCATTAATAATGTCAATACCAGGGCTTACATTCAAACAAAACAGAGAAAATAAAAGAGTTGAAGTTACAAATCAAGCAAGTGCAACACAAAGTTTATTAAACCATAAACAAACTGATGGTAATCAGCTAATACATGGTATATGTAAAAATATTTTATACGTAGTTTATTTTTTATATAAGTCGTTTATCTTTTCAGGATATTCAAACGATGTATCAAAATGTTATAAAAAAAACGTTTTCAATATTGTAAGTGTAAGGAACTCATTAAAGAATCAGATAATTATAGATTCATTAGTAGAATTAGTTGACGTATTTCCAACCATCGCAAATTTAGCAAACTGTTCAATACCTATTTGCTCGGATGAAGATACAAAAAAGGAAAATATGTTCATAGAACAAAGTAATCCTCGTGTAGAAATTGTCTGTAGCGAGGGTATTACTCTAGTGCCACTTATGAGAGCTGCGCTACAAAAAAAGGTAACATTACTTTAAAATGTTACACAATTTTATATATTTATTGTAAAAAAGAAATAATTTATTGAAAGCCTAACTTTCATTATTTATAGTCGCTATTATGGAAGAAGGCAGCATTTGGGCAATATCCAAGACCAAGTATTGAACCTTCCTTACATCCAAATAGCGATGAGCCACGTTTTAAAGAAATTATAGCGATGGGATATACTTTGAAAACAAATAAATATCGTTATACGTTGTGGTTACGATTTAAACCTGAAATGAAGGTACCAGATTGGAACGATAGTATTGCAGAAGAATTATACGATCACGGTGATGACGAGGGTGAAACTCGAAACTTAGCAACTTCGCAAACACATGCTGGGATAAAAAATGAATTGAAAATTATGTTACAACGCGGTTGGAGAAACGCTTTACCAGGTACACTTACCAAATAAATAATTCGTATAAATACTAGCATGCATACTCATACTATGAGTACAAATTTATTAAAGATTACATTACTATCTAATTAATAGTATTATACTAGTAGTACTTACAATGATATTGTATTACATCAATACTGATAATAACGAAAAAAATTTACCATATAAGTCGTATAAATGAAAAATACATAGTTCTTTAAAAGTAAAATATGCGCGATCGGCATAACAAAATATCAAACAGTTTTTTATATTATGCAGAACAATATAAAACTTATATCGTAATTTCTTAATTTTTTATATAACGTTTACTTTTCTTATCTTTTATTCATTCTTCTTTGCTTTTGCTTGTATTACTTGTTGTATTCGGAAGAATCTGAAAAGTACAATTGAATATTTTACATGATTTTCCTATATGTTTATATACAAATATTGAACATTACCTCTATAACATCATTATCAGTACTTGCAGACTTTGCATTGGTGTTGAGCAGTGCATAGGACGTTTGAGGTACATTTAGCATTTGTTGTGTTCTCATGACTGGTGCATTGGTACCTAAATTCTGTTATTTATAAAATCTCGATTAGATTCTATACGAAAAAGTAACTCGTTAAATAAGTTTTGACATACCTGATTAATTATTCTGTTGTTAGAATTAAAAGTCTGTTCCTCCCAGTAATTATACATATCTGTTAAGGCACGAGCAGTTAACATTTGTTGATACTCTGCCGTTGCATTTGGATACTAGAAAAAAATGAATTATCACGATAAGATAATCTGAAGTAATAATACACGAATGATAGTTATGTACTAACATCTTTTCGAATAAATTCTTGAAGTTGTTCGTAATCTGTAGCAAAGTTGAATGGTCCTGATAAATTCTGTTGTTGTAATAATAAGTTATTTGGGAAAAGTGCTGTTGTTGGAAGTCCTGGCATCAATTTCCCTGTCTTTTCTTCTTCGTATTCTAACCAAGCTTGCTTCCTCTCTTCCTCGTTTAATTCTTCTTCGGCCTAAGTTTACTCGGACAAATTAATTTATTGTTAATACAACAAAGATTGTAAAGAAAATGTTTTAAGGACTTTACTTACTTTATTTTCTAAAAGGGAATCGTGTTCGTGATAGTTCTCCACACATTTTTTATATTTTAAAAATATCTCCCTTAGTAGTCTATCTTTTGGCAAATTTAAAGTTTTCTCTTCGTTACTTGTGTTTGGTTCGAATTTATACAACTCGGATAGATCATTGTTGGTATAATGACGTTCTATTTGTTGTACATCAACAACTCTACAGGAAAGCGATAACTTTGTCACTTGTCGATTATAGATCTTCTCTTCCATTGTGCCAGCCGCTAGAAACCGATAAACGTAACACGGCTTCTTTTGACCGAATCTGTAAATTACATATATATATATACATATCTTAAACAATTATTATAAAATCCTTTTTCAAACGTTTTTAAAACATATATACCTGTATATACGAAATATACTTTGTACGTCGTAAGACGGATTCCAACTCGCGTCAAAAATAATTACACGATTTGCAGCAGTTAAATTAATTCCTAATCCACCTGCTCGCGTCGATATCAAGAATAATCTTGCTCTCGTGTTTGACGGTTTATTAAAGATTTTACACCAACAATTTCTATTCTCGGTCGATGTTTGACCATCCAGTCGAAAATAATCTAAACCTAATGTCCAGCTGCCAGTGTGCCCATCAATATATTCCAAATTTGTACCATCTTCTGTTGCAACGTCGATCTTCTTAAGGAATTTCTCAATTAATGTCAGCGAATACAATGACTGTGAAAATATCAATCTAAAAATGAAAGAATTTAGGTGTTATGATATAATTATAAAAATTCTAAATAATGATACACGTGTTAATATAACAGACTTACAATTTGTCCCCAATTTGTTCACACTCTTTTAAGATACCAAATAGCAGTCGCAATTTCGAGGAAACTCTCATATCTTCAAAATGTTCAGGTTGAACAAATTGCAACCACCATAATTCTTCTTTTGGTTCAGGATCATCAGTTTTTACGTTTGTTTCCTCTTCTACGCGTTAAATAAAAGAATATGCGCATTTTACAATAACGTAGTATTAGATTAACCAAAGTAAGATTTGTTAAATCTTACCTGTCTTGTTCTGTCTTGTATTTTTTTTGGAGAAATCCGAACTAATAGCTACGACGTCGTCGTCGTCATCAGAAGACTCAGTTGAAGTGGTTTCGCTGCTATCGTCATCGATAAAGTTTTTTAAAGAACCTTCAGAATCACTAGACAGCTTTTTTTCATTCATCTTGTCTATTTTTTCTGCGTTTAATTGTAAAACTATAGGATGCGTCCATATCCTTTGTAACGATTGAAAATCAGCAAACAGAAATCCACCTCCACCTCCGGTGCGTTTTTGTCTGAGAAAAAAGAAAAAAATATACTTATTAAAAGAATTATTTAAATTAAGTGATTACAAAGTTTTATTAAATGAAATATTGTACGTACCGTGCAAAGTTTTCCAGATAATATCGATACAAATTTATTTGTACTTCTGTTAATCTTACAAAAATGACGTACTCCTGTTTTGGCGGTAAGAAAGGCATTAATACCGAGTAATCGAGCCTCTGAACACAACCTTTTAACATTTTGTGCAAAACATAAGCACGTTTTTTCATTAATTTAACATCGTATTCAGTAGAATCGTCGAACTGGCCGTTAGTTATCGGATTTGCAAACCTATTCACAAATTCTTTCTTGGTTCCCAAAAGATTTGGTTTTATAAACTGTACCATGCAATGATCTGTAAAAAATGTTTAAATAGAATAGAACATAAAATTATCATAACAGCCAGTTGTTACTTAATATTAATAAATATTCACATTCTATTAAATTGTTTTGTAGCGGTGTTCCAGTTAGTACAATTCTCCTTAATGTTTTTATACGATTTATGCATTTGCTTAGAGCAGTGTCTTCATTTTTTAATAAATGACCCTCATCACAGACTATTATGTCTGGACCAGGATCTATCAAGCACTGTAGGACTGATTTTTTGGCATATTTTGGCATTCTGTTATTAGTGCCACTTAAATTTCTAAACATTTCATAGCCAATGATAAGTATACCACCAGTTCTCTGCCAACTTTCTAGCATGTATCTTCGTTCTGTGTTTTGCTTTAATCTTTAATAAATTTATCATCAAATATTACGACCATCTGTTTATATACGTAATTTAACTCTATGAATATTTATTAAACTTACCTGGTCAGTTCATAAATTTCAATATCATGTTCTATATTATCCAACCACAAATCAAATTCATTTCGCCAATTAAGTACCGTACTTAAAGGGCAAACAACCATAATTGTCTTCACATTAACGTCTTCATGCATTAAAAGCGTATGGGCTAATGCAATTACTTGAAGAGTTTTGCCAAGTCCCATGCAGTGTGCAATTATACATCCAGATCCAGGCGAAGTCTTCATTCTTTCGATTGATTCAAAACACGCGTCCCACATGAATTTTACTCCCTTAGCTTGATGAGGTTTCAAACGTTTCACTAAATCCTTGTCAACGCTTAGAAGTTTTTCTTTTGTTTCAGTATCAAAATCTAATACCAGCTCGTCTACCTTTTCTTCGTTAGCCAATCTTGTTTCATACATTTGATTATACTATAATCATAAAAGAAAAGATTACAAAGTTGTAAGGGTAGTAAATTCTATGTTGATTATAAAATAACGATATTGTACCAATTTTTGGCGCTCAGCAATACGTTTAAGCCTTTCTTCCTCTTCTTTGGCAGCTTGTTTTGTATCATTTGCAACTTGTTTGTCTTTCATTACTTTTCGAATATTCTTTCGACTCTCCTTTCCTTCTGAACTTTTAACTTTATCATTATCGATATCATCACTGTCAGTGCTTGCATTTTTAATGCGTCTCCTTTTTGGCTTAACTCTAAAATGCGTAAATGTAATGTTAACAATTACTCGCAACTTTTTCAATGTATTATCCGTAAGCTATTTATTTAGTATACCTTTTTTCTGAAAACGAGGTATCGGTATCTGAAGATTTACGCGTTCTACGTTTACGTGGTTTGTGTTTCTTTGTTGAAGAATCACTGCTCAAAGTCAAGCTATCTTTCAATGCAAAAGAAGAATCAGAATTCACTAATAGCGTGTCTGAATCAGAATCTGTAATTTTTCTACGGTTCTTCCTTTTACATTTTACTTTGGCAGCCTCGATCTCTGAATCTTCACTGTTTAAAATAAGATTATGGTTTATCATACGTATTACTTAAATTATCAAAAAGAACTGTGTTGAATTACCTACTTTTGATTTTCTTCCCTACTTTCTCGTAGTTTTTCTCGATTTATACTCCACTCTTCCCTTTTAGCATCAGAATCGGAACTCGAAGAAAATTTCATCGTCAATACCTTGTTTGTTCTCCAACTATTTTTTTCCAGTTTATCTTCATTCTTCTAGTTATATTCAAATAAACGCATCTTTTTCGTACACAATGAATACACAATTTTTTTTCATTTTATTCTTACCTTATCGCTGCTCTTTTTTGACTGATCCTGTGACATAGCGTTGTCCTTCTCTTTCTCGCTATCACCATTTTCTAAGACACCTTTTTGTTCCTCAGTGTCGTCTGAATCAGAAGAATTTAAAAGCATATTCTTTACAACTATGTCTGCTTCTAACATCAAATCATCCTTGGACTGAAAGGTAGTTTCTGCTTGTAGAATAGTGCTACTACCTTCTGAGTTTGTACCCTTTTCTGTATCCTCAATGATATCTCCATTTTTTACTTTCTCTAGGTGATCTAAAAGAGAATCTTCAGTTTCTTTTAATGTTAATTTTTTTCTATGAGAATTCTTTCGCGTTAGAGTGTTTTTTTCTTGATTCTTCTGTAGTTTATCTATATGAATGAGACTGCAAAACAATAATTCAAGTAAGATGATACAAATTTTCGTACGACGATAGATGAAAAATGTATTATTTCAACTTTATACCTTTTAATCCGTTTGCTTTCCAAATACTCCCGCGATTTTTCCAACGCGTTCGCATGTTTTACTAGAACACTTTTTGGTAATCTTTCAACAACAACCTGACAAAGTTGTTTTAGTTTTTCATCAGATTCAGAACTATTTGCTTTAGACAAACACAATTGCCGTTTTATCAACCTTTCACCTACACTTGATTCGAAATTTTCGGTGTCGTTAGATTTTTTCGAAGAAGTATTTAATATTGTACTTTCTATATCACCATCTATATCGCTTGAAAAACTTGAATCCAAGCTTTCCGCGTTTGAAGAAATCAGTAACTTTGCTTTTGCACGTGCTTCGTCGCTATTATCATCAGATTCATTATTATCAAATAGTTCATTAATAGAATCATCCGAATTTGAATCCAGATGTGCACGTTTAACACAATCTTTAATTGTTTCAAGTAACGAAGTAATTAGTTCCTTGCTACTATCAGGTGTTATTTCTTTACATTTTGATTTGCCTTTTTCGTTTGGACTACAATTTTGAGATTCTTCAATTGACTTTTCGATAGGTCCTTTGTTTATAACTGTTTCTTGATTTGAGTCTAACAGCTCCATTTTGGCTTGTTCTTCATCAAGTCCATTAAGAGAATTATATTCTTCATTCTTTTTATTTTCTTCATTCTCTTTATTTTTGTCATTTTCAACTGATTCTGATGTTCCTTTAGAATCAACTGATGTAGCAGTTGTAGTTTTTACTTCATCATCGAATAACTTTTCACTCTCAATTTCAAGATTGTCATTTTCTGTAGCTGCTGTTTCATTGCTCACTTCTTTAGATTCTGAACTATTGTTCTCTGATTGAAGATCATTCGAAGTGACAATTTCATTCTCGTTTGGTTTCGAAATGTTTGAAGCAGATACATTTTTCGTCATACTTTCCTCAAACACATCATCTACAGATTCGTTAATGTTTTTTTTATTTTCGTTAACATGGGACACTTTCAAAACTTTCTCATTTGAATCAACAGGTTTTGAATTATCTCTTACATTTACTTTATTATGTATTTTTTCCATCATCTTACTACCGAGGATAGGTGATGTAACCCTTGAAGAGTTTCCACTACTATCTTCACTCATTTTTTCAATTATTTTAGTAGTTGTATCGCTATCAGAAAATATTTCCTTGTTATCACATTCTGAAACTACACTTCCTTCCTTTGAATTAGTCTTTGATTTATTTGTTATTTCTTCCAGACTTTTACTTAGCAATACTTCTTTGTTTCCGCTTGAAGAACTGTCTTCATGATCCGTATTTTCTATACTACAATTTTTATTCCACTTTTCGAAAAAATTTACTAGTTTCTTATTCTGTGCATCAATTTCCATTTTAAGGTCGTTGATCAACTTTCTTACTTTCTTTACAATATAATACGCAGACTCTTGATATTGTAATTCTTCATTAAAATTCTCCCACTTTACATGTTCCGTCATTAATTCGTATTCGGAACACAAAATTTTAAATTTATTCAAAATTTTGATAACGTACGATTTGAAACGTAAACTTTGTTTTTTGCAGAGCAAAGTTTTTTTTCTTGAATGTTTTGTACCCAATGAATCTGAATTTCCACCTTTTTTAATTTCGTATAATTTCTTTACGAGATCGGTATTACGAGAAAATTTTGATTTTTGGAATTCTTTTCCAGAACTAGAATCTGCTTCTTCTTTATTCAATTGTAATATCGAATGCCTTCTTTCAGAATGTTTCTTATCTCCTGAATTGCTACATTTTAATTCTCTACTTTTATGAGCTTTCTTTCTTGTACTATTACAGTAAGCTTTCTTATTTTTTATACCGCTTTCCTGTTTGCCAGATTTTGATATTTGTTTATCTTGATCATTTCCATTGTAATCGTCAGTGTCTGAAGACGAAGTAAGCTTTCTCTGTAATTTTTTAGCTGAATCTTTATTGGATGATTCAGATTCATTAACGGTGCTATTGTTCCCTAAAAATAATTTAATTTCAATTGCAATTTTATTATCAGGTTATACTTTCTTTATTTTATAACAAACCTCTTAAACCTGTTTTATATAAATTTGTGTCATTAGGATTAAAAGAAGGCCTAATTTCTTCTGTGGATGTCGAATCATCCCCCAATGATTCCATTATTTTTTTTATTTTTTTCACTTCTACTTTATGTTTTGCTTTCTACATCTATACATCTTCTGAAACACATAAATTTAACGTAAGTTCATCAAAGGTAATCATGAAATAAATGTTTTGTAACACATTTAAAATTCAATGTTTTCATAAACAAACTTGTATGTTTTACTTTGGAATTTGGAAGTACTGATGTGACTTTTTTTTTTTTTTAGTTTCATTAACTAGTACAAAATCTTGTTTCTTTTATGCATTAACTATCTGAGTAATGTGCAGTATAAGAGGTTAGAACATATAAAACAATGTATCAGACTTTAAAAAATGCATTACCTTTATAATTGTTGATAGTTTAATTGTATCACGTTTTAAATATTATGGTACTTAACTCATGTAAAAATGATTTTTATAATCTCAAATTTGAAAGCTATGCTTATCATTAAAAACTATCATACCATCAATAAATTAATAATAAATGAATTGTGCGTCAGTACGGTCAGTACCAATACCATTCAGTATTATCAAAATTCTTATTCGTGTTTTTCCCTGTTCGTTACAACAAAGATAGCCGCTACTGCCCTCTGATGAGGAAATACGGAATAGGAAATTCAGGTACTATCGAACGTAACATAATTATTAAATATTCCAATGATTTTATATAAACATTTATTTCATAAATAAATACAATTCATATGTACATATAAATCAAGTATAACAGATCTACATTTTTTTTATAATGTAGGGAGTAATACAAAAATACAAAATTTACATAATGAATTACAGCAATGCGTTAAATGTTAACCAGCATTTCAGATTTCTTCCACTACTCTTTCCATTTCTTGATCCTCTGATACTTCCACACGATTATTTTGTTTGGATAAGCTTTTCTTCCCTGGAACATGATATTTTGAATCTAGTATTCGATTTTCCTGAAGCGCAGGTACATCACAAAAAAGACATCTTGTTTCTTTAAATTCTTGATCCAGAGATGAATGAAAGATTAATCTACATATGGGACATACACTATACTGGGCAGTAGTTATTTGCAAAAGAGTAATAGCACATCTAGGTAACATATGACCCTGAGGACATTTACTGACTTTCCATGATAAATCATTTATCGTTTCACCGCACAAATTGCAGGATTCAGTGCTATTTGATTTGAGTTGTGATGTTTTCATTAAAACATCTCTGACACGTTTAGAAAGTATAGATGCTTCTTCGTTTTCTTCTTTTGCGAGATACACTTCTAAATACTTTCTTAATAAGTTTATAGAACTTTGTTGTTCTTGAGATAAAGTGGATTTCTTAGCCAAATGCACGAGATAATTACAGGCAGTGCAAACAACAGTTAAAGGTTGTGCTTCTGATATTTCTCCAGCAATACTACCTATTCCTTGAATCACTTTCTTCTTTTCACAAATTTCCATCATTATTGATATCCACATTGACATTTGTAGCTCTTTCAAAGATAAAGATTTCAAATCAGATGGAATTTTTGGAAATACAGTTGCAGGTTCTGATGCTTTCGCTGCTTTCATTCTAATCAGTTCTAAACAATCCCATAATCGTTCAAATCTCTCACATTTCTGTGACTTTAAAACTAATAATGGATCCCACTGTTCACCTTTTAATTCAAACATGTACATTTTACTTGGTTCCCTGATTACTAAATGATCGTATATAGTATTCGGTGTAGTTAAGTTCACAAATATTACAGAATTTAAAGAATGACTAAGACCTAAATACCGTACACGAGCTTGTGGTAATTTGTTGTTTACTTGTATTCTTAACAAATTATTCTCCTGTGTATCAATTGCGAACATAGAGCCATTTTCTGTTGTAACCAATGCAAAATCTGAACTGATACAGGTTACTCCTAAAAATGATTAAAGTCATTAGTGTTACATTTCCTGACAATTTATACAAGAAAGTATCATGTTTTACTTACCTGAGATCATAAATCCTTTTAACTGTAAATGTTTTAAGTATTTGAATTTACCCCCTACTGATAAAGACAATAATAGTAGAAAAGTACCTTTTGAGATAAGAACTTTTATGTTTGGACCATTTTGAGGAAATATTTCTATAGCGCTAGGAGGAATGCGATCCTTATAATCATAATACTTATCAATGGATTTCATTTCAAGATTATCATTATGATTTTCAACTGTCAGACCATAAATACGTCCATCAGAATAAGCAATAATAATCACATGTTCCTCTGCATTAGTAGTAATCCAATGCAAAGCATTTATTTTAACATATTCTTTTAACTTTATTGTTCCTACAATTTGGGGATCTGATATTTCATTATAATTTAATATCCTTGGAAGTTTGTAAATAATTATATCTCCATTATGATAAGCAACAGCAAGGTATGCAAAATTTATAAAAAGCTCACTCCAAGCAAAACAAGAAGCTTGTAGTGCTTTCATATTATTTTTCAATGTTATCAATGAATGTGAGTTATTTATTAATCCTATATCAATTTCTTTTTCTATAGCATCATAGCGTATGGAAGGTAAATCATACGCAGAATACCACTCTGAAGAAACTTTGTAGATTACTATAGCAGCCCCTGCTGAAGTTAAAATTGCAAGAAGGCACTTGCTTGGATGTATTAAATTCTGTGGTGACCAGGCTAAATCAACTATTTTTGGAGCCATTTCTTTAACATTAGATATTTTTGGAGTTAAACTTTCTTCCATCATAAATGAATAAAGCTGTTCGTGTTGCATGTTCCAAATTTTTGTCTCCATTCTATTGGTTATAACTTGTGTTGGAAAAATAGGAGGTGGATAAATGAAAGATCTAGAAAATTTGATGCTTGAATAAGGAGACATCGGAGAAGGTATTATTTCCTGTACACAACAAAAACATTATATAAGATATATTATCTTGGTTGTATTAAAATTATCATATATCATTTTAAATAACATAAACTTACAAATATATGAACTCCTTTTTCAGTAACAATTGATATATGATTATCTTGGGACCACTGAACTGCAAACCTTGATAAAATTGGTGGAGAGATTGAAAGATTATAAATTTCTTCTATCTCCATTAGGTATAAATTAATTCTTCACATGTATGTACAAAACAAATTGTTCAGGTTCTCTTCCTTTTACCTATAAAAATCTATATATGTACATGCAAGGTATGCAAAGTTTATTTATTTATAACTAGTATAAAATTTATAGAAATATAGACACAGAAAACTAAATTTTACAAGAACTAACCTATCAATTTTCATTAGTCTGCTTTTGAGTGTTAACATATCTCTATAGAAGGAAACTTTTCTAAATGAATGCATGTTTAATTACGAGCATTTAATTTGCTTTTACATAGTATATACATATATTATATCGGTTAAGTACAAATGAGATCAAATTTTATGCACAATAAATTTTCAAGATTCAAGTGATTGCACCCCAACGCCATCGCAATCAATCTCAATCATCTTCAGTTATTCCATATTAGTTATGATTAGAGATTTTTAATTAATCTAAACAAATATTGAAAAATGAATAGCAAATATGTATATCATATATACATAATATATAATTAATTTTCACAAGCTTTTAACTTTTTAGAACGATGTCGTTCAATATTAAAAATTTTTGCACATTTTACATAATATATATAATTAAAAACTACATATAAGTAAGCATTCACAAACGTATACATATAAAACTTATTAAATATGAAAGACGAAGGGTGGTTTAGTTTCGAAGAAAAGCAATCCTTTTGTTTTACAAATGTCAAAATATAAAATCTATGCTGTTAATTGAAAATTACAGCATGTTCAAGATTAGATAACAAAATATTCTATTCACGCTATCGTTTTAAATAAAATAAACGTGGAATAAATATTCTAAGTATAACATTGATATTAAGAAAATAATAAAAGGATATTTTAATTTTTCTCAGTTCGTTTGCCATGCTTTAATTAAAAGTGCCGCAATAGGTGCGCAGCTCCTCTGTTGAGCAAGACTTTACACAACATTCCTCATGAATTCCCTTTGTATATCTTCGGAATCTTAACATTTTTCTTGCATTCTTGATAGACTTATAAGGATGCACATCGTAATTAAATGCGTAGTCGTCCGTCTCCATTTCTAGAAAAAGCCATTTCTTTAGATATTCAATTTGAGACAACACTAAACTTTCTGTTACCCTCAGTGATGTTTATACCAACTGGCGATAACGATAGATAATTTTTATTTGAATTCAATTTTATGTAACTTACCTTGGTTGCTTTTCTTAAACCGTGAATTGTAATTACCATGACAGATCATATGTAAATTGTCCGGCAAACTTTGGCCGCAATATTGACGTGGTTCGGTTGCGGTTTGTCGTTTTTGCCTTTCCTGAAACACGTCTGATCGTGCATGTTCCGTTTCCGGCATTAAGATCGTTATCACGATCGTTAAACACATTAATGCGTGTAGCCGGTAAGCAAACATCTAGAATTAGAATAACATTTTCCAAGTATCTTCATAATCATTGCTTGATCAAAATTGAAATTACCATAAGAACAAATCAATATACATGTATAAAAGAAGATGTATTCTCTATGCATTTTAACGAATACTGATTAATTATTAATAAAAATTTCTCTTTGGCATTATCATTTTGATAACGATAGCGTGTCGAAGAAATGAATTTTTCAAATTTAAAAACTAACACTTGAACGGACGAACTCAAAAATCAAATATCATAAGTGAATCCTCAAGTGTGTCTATTTAAATCGCTTTTATTAACCTTTATCAGAATTTATCAATAACGATGCCCCATGCTGATGCGTACCAGTCAACGAGTAACGACCTATTTTTAGATATCATTTGTTCAAATATAAATCTCGTGCTGTAAATCTTCTCTTGTTAAAGCTCTGGCGTGCGAAAGGTTTACAAATATCCCATAAATTGTACGTTGTCTTCGTCGCTCCACGCGTGATTAATTTTGAAGAAATTTTTCAGAAAGAAAACCTGCATACAGAATCGGAAAAAAAATTGTGTGTCGTCGAGGCATATTTCTTTCGAATATCACTATAGAAATAAAAGACGGAATGTTTAATTATATTCGTTAGATAAGAGATACAATTTCTCTTTTGGTATTTCTTAGCGCGACTTTATAAATAGAAAATTAGGTAGACAAACTCATACGAGATTACTGATAATCGTTTGAATTTTATAATACCACCAGTATTATCATACTGTTGAAATGATTCATGACTAATGATAACATACCTTCTTCTGTTAGTATAACTTCGTTTTCCAGCACAGATATTATTTAATTATTATTTTCAAAAGGTGCAACATTTCATTCGATGTTACAAATATTTTTTCCAAATTTTTTTCTCTTCTTAAAGCATGAGTTATTTCACTTTTAATTAAACGTCTTATTTTGTAAGTCCTATATAAGATAGTTTCTTAATATTATTAAAAATTAAATAGTAAAAAATAGAATGGTAATTAAAATGAATCACTTACTTATCATGTGTTGGTAAGGCTGAGATCAATAAAAATTGATATATGGTATCACTATATGTATATCACGATATAATATCACAGGCCGGTAGTTTTCTTCTTTTTCCTTACTTATGGATCATTATATTAATAAAAATATAATATTTCAAGTAGCCTAAATTAATGGTTGCTGTTGAATTTTATGTATCATTAAAACAGATGTAAACAATTAAGAATAAGGTTAATGAATATGTTTATCGTAAAATATATAATCAGAAATAATAGAAAATGAAAAAAATTGAATATATTAACTTTGTGTTATAACTCTATTACGATAAATTTCATTTAATTATCGATACGTAGTAAACGTGGCAATTATAGAATTTTATTAACAAAGCGTATGTATTATTAAAAAGTTACCCCTCTATTAATGTTAACAGCAAACGAAGAATTCTTCGCTGAGATCAAATATTTATATTCTCTCGAGTACGTCAGTATTTTCTTCATTATTTTATTTCACTTGTTCGAATTCTATCCTTGTGATCTTAAATACATCAAAGTGAAGATTGTTCTTAATTCATCGATCCGATAAATCGAAACGATTTCCTTCGATAGTTAGTTCTCTAAAATGAAACTGGTAACGGTCGGTTTTCGGATCTTCCTGCGTTGATATTGTTCTTGAATCGTTGGGTATATTTGGTGTTCCTTGAACGAGAACATTCATGCTTCCGCAATTTTCAAGTAAATATGTTACACTTAAAATAAGGAGAATCGAAAAATAGAAAAAGGTATTTTTTTCGTTTGTTTGTCTTCATTTCAGTTCAGTCCGTTAATTCAACGAAACGCATTCTTTGTTCAACAGTATTTTGCATTTTTCTAGTGTAAGTATATTATTAAGTACCTAACACTTATTACATATAAAACATTTTTTTTTTAAACTGCTCTTCGTTACACCGTTTAATTATATTTTAACGCACTTAATTTTTCATTCATTTTTCAGTAAAGGAATGCAGAAGAGGAAAAGGAAGATGAAGAGAAGAGAGAAAACACTCGTCTGAAACTCGTTACTCCGATGACTAAAGTTGTTCTGCTCTATATAAAATAACAAATCACAAAATACGTAGGTTTGTTCGTCTCTCGCTAACGCGAGTTAATCGCAATGCATACCGTAAAACTGCTTTTCTTCTTTTTTCGTTCCTTACCAGAGCGTATACGAGACATATTCTTCCTCGCCTTATCGCATTACTTTATTATCTATTATTACCGCTACTTATATTATTATTATCGTTATCCACAGTTATTAACAAGGATTCCGCTTACTGCGATAAAGAAACCTAAGTTTAGTTTTAACACTTGAGAGGTGAACGCGAAATCTCACTGACCTCAGATTATTTTTATTTTTTCTTGATGATTTTTTTGAAATTTTTTCCTTTTTATTACATCGGTTAGAAAAATGAAGATATTGCAAAATAATCATTGATCATTGGGAACGAAAAACACGTCCGATCAACAGTAAAATTCGTAGTGCAACCTAATTTCAATAGTGTATCGATGAAAATCAGACGAAGCTGCAGCCCTTGACGTTTCTTCTTTCTAATTAATAGAAAAATGAAAAAGAAAGAAGGAATTATTATAAAAATAAAACAAACAGAATTGCACATTTTTTAAATATATTTTACAAAATGTTCTATTCGTACAGCATATAAAACAATACTCTGTATTTATTTTATATTCACACATTAGCTCTATACGACTGTACCACCATATTCTCTCGTTATACGTAGAATATAACTTTATACAGTATATTCGGCAGGGTCTTAACGTCAATACTATGAAAGTGCGGTATCCTTTGTTTGACGCGTGGTGGTTCCAGCATTCTTTTTCCCACTCGAAATGATTCGCTTGCTTTCATCGGAGTTCATCGTTTTGCCTGCACGTTCCCGGTCGATTGTCGTCAATTCCGTTGCATCCGCGTTCATGCCTTTAGAACTTGTGTCCGTCTTCAACGGCCTATCATTGTCGTTATATACCTCCTGTACTTCCACTTTAACTTCGTTCAACGGTGTAAATCTTGGAGACTTCGACGGACCCTTCAAATGCATTATATGATCATTTAACGAGTCCGTATTGCTTTTCTTATGCCCTATGTGACTATGGTGATTCGAGAAAACAGAGTCTGTTTGCCCTAGAAATTGGCTACCGCTATTTCCCATGTTTCCAGGACCATTCGCGGCAGCGGTACTACCAGCAGCACTGCTCGAGATGTCTCCCATGTTGAAGTTCCTCTCCTTTCGACCGACTTGCCAGAACGAATCGTCGAACACCTCGGTGTCGCGTTGTTCCGGTGGTAACCTACTGATACGAGCCTTCACGATGGCCAGGTGTCTATGTACGTAATCCTGATGAGGTGCCAGTGCCGCAGCGTGCTCTAAACACTGAGCAGCAAGGCCTAACTTACCACGTTCCACCATTACAACACAGAGATTATGAAGACCTTGAATATTACTTGGATCCAACTGCAGTATTCTACGGTAACACTGTAAACCGATTCAGAAATTTTGTTCGATCTTCCGTGTAACCGTAACGATTCATATTTTTTTACTTACATTTTCAGCAGCGTCCAAATCTTTTATGTTATTTATATAGATATCACCTAAAAGGATTAATCCTTTAACATGGTCCGGGTGAAAACGAACTAATTGGTTTAGAAAAGGTGCAGCTTCCAGTGGACGTTGTTCGTCTGCCAATAAAAGAGCTAGATTGAATAGCGCTGATCTGAAGTCTTCCTTGAGCGCAACCGCATTACGGAACCATCGTTCTGCACTTCCGCTGTCGTGATCGTCCATGGCCAACATTCCAAGATTGAAATGCACTCGTTCGTTATTAGAATCCTGTAAGTATGTATCAGTTGTTTCATTCGTTCAGAGTATGTTACAATTAATAAAGAGGAAAGTACTTTTCGCAGGAGTTTTAGCAGTCTTTCTCTGGCTACTTTTCTTAATTCTGCGCGTCCCAATTCTTGAAGTAAGATAGCTGAATTTAATAACGCTTGTTCGTGTTCGGGGTCAAATTCTAGCGCTTTGTCCAAATATGCCAGAGCTTGAGATGCTTTTCCTTGTTCCAGAAACACAACGCCCAGCTTAAAAATAAGAAAATTGCATTATACATTCAGTCATTGCTCTACATATATCGATATCAATATAAAACTTACATTGTAATAGATATCTGGATTGTTACTATCATAGAAAAGAGCTCGCTCGTAAACTTCCTGAGCCTCTTTCGTACGATTAAGTTTAATCAAAACATCACCTCGGTTGATATACGCTTGCGTGTAATCAGCGCGCATACTTATAGCTTGCCTATAAAGTAAGTCGGCTTCCTCTAACCTAGTTGCATTTTTCGCTATTAAATTCGCTAAATTTACAAAGACATTCAAGTGGTTCGGTGCTATTCGTGCCTGGTAAGATTCCCCGGGTTTTGCTTTTGGTAGCAAAGATTTTGCCTAAAGAGAAATATATAATATTATTTAATGGTACTCTGTCAATTGGATGTATTATTTCTACCTTTAAGTATGCATCTTCAGCTTCTTTAAACATTTTCAGATGATTGTAAGTTCTGCCTACGTTGATGTGTGCACCAATATCATCACCTTGAACCTGTACAGCCATGTTAAAGAAGTTTAACGCTTCTTTAAACCGACCTTGGCTTTCCAATGCGTGACCGACGTTATTAAATAATTTGGCATTGCGATCGTTTACTTTTAATCCTGACATAAATATAGAATATTCATCCAGCCAATCATAGTTTCTGATAAAAGTTTTTGTCGAATGAGCTGCCAAAAGCGTTATTAATAAAAATAGTGTTGGTTTCTTGAACCTAGAAACATAATACGAACAAAGTTAGGATGTATTTCATACAAATGTTTTAATCCTTTACAGGTATGAAGATTTACTTTTTGTCGCATAAAATGCTCCAGCCGTAACCGATAAGCATACAAAACCCCATAGACGGAGCATATAATACTCTTTCGGCAATGACAAATCCAACCGGGAAGAAGAGATTCGAAGCAGGCAAGAACGGAAGTATCATCATAGCCAAACTCTACGAAATATATTCAAATATAACAATGGCTATGGTTTAAATACAAAAAGAGATCATCGTGCTATCTCGTGCTAACCATTATGAGAACGATCGAGGTTTGCCTGTTAGGTGTTAAAATTGCTGTCATCAATAATCCTAATATGGTCATATGAGTTGCTATCGTAGCGAGATTACGAGGATCTGTAAAACTTTCTATCAACGGTATCGTTCCCATAGTCCAATCACAGCACAAATCGCTTGGAAGAAATAGCAGTCTTAAATTAACCGCTGCGAGGTAATTATATGTAAGCTGTCTTATGGGCGTTGGGGCCACTGATGCGGGATTGTCAAATCTAAAATATCATTATGAATTTTTCTATAATTACTACTATTTCATAGATACAGCACAACGAAACGTGTATGTTCAACAAGTACCTGGTGAATACAGGTAACTTTGAGCCCATTACGTGTAGCCGAAGAATGAGTAAACTAAATGTGACAAGTGTAAGGACTGTCAGTCGTTTTGTACCTTCGCTGGACCAAGCAAGCGATATCTTTTTCCCACCAAAAGCTGCCTTCAATGTCAGGAAAATATCCATTGCTCTTACCTAATCAGATAATACAAATAAATATCGTAATTGGTATCGTAAGTAAGTATATTTACCTTTTGTACAACAAAAATCTCATATAACACGCAAACAGCGGTGGCTGTTATTCCTTGTTCTTTACATAACATGGCAGTGAAAACAAATGACATAGATAATATCAAAGATCTCCATCCTAAAAGAAATTTTAATACAATTAATGTTTCTTTACAGATTGTAAAAAGAACCATTGGAATATCTTACCTGTTGATCTTCTACTTCTGCAACATTTAGTGTACGTGATTAAAGCCGCTAGATAAAATAAAGAGGACAATGTTTCTGCTCTTCCCACCACTCCTGTAACCTTAAGACACGATTATCCACTGACAATGCATCTAAACGCGAACTAGGAACTACGATGCGATCGATCGCTCGACGTCGACCCTTCGAATCTGGTGGATACAGTATCGAGACATTGTCGCCGAAGGGAAGTACAAGGACTAAAAATAATTACGAAATAATATCCTCGTATAATTTCAAGGTAACGTCGATCGATTCGATCGATTTTCAAAGCAGTTTCAAACAACTTACTGCTTCTGTATGTATAGGATGAACTGCAAACAGGAGAGAAGACACAAAAGTTGCAGAATCGGATAGAAACATCAAGCATGTCCTGTAACGTCGATTAAAACATTCTTAACTCGATTTATTACAATACTAGAAATGTAATCTCTATTGCAATAACGTTGCTCTTTTGTAGATGTTACATAAAATATCTAACGGAAAGATCTAAGAAGCAATTTCTACCTGAAATACAATAAGCACACTCCGACATGTAAGATAACATTAAGCAAATGATATCCCATAGGATCCAATTGATGAATCAGGTAATTCCAACGAAATGTAAGAACGCACAGAGGCCTGTATGATTTGTGCGATTGCTCCTATGTGAGAAAAAAAAAAAATATTTCATATTATTTAAATTGTATAGCATTTTCTAAAACATAAATTTTCCAAAACGTAATTTATATTTTTTTTAGGGTGGTGGAAACCTAAGGATAGAGGAAAATTCATTCTATTTTAAAGAATCTTAATTAATCGATACAACAGACTATAAACTTGAACTCGACTATAATTCGGTAAGATTAAATTAGATCGAAGTAAATCGTAAAGGAAGGAAAATGTGAAGAAGAGTTGAACGGATCAATACAGAAGAAGGTAGAGAAGAGTGAAAGGGAAGGGGAAATGAAAGCGCCTCTATCGTATCACCCACCTTGTGCATAGGAGTACCCCAGAAGTCATTGTAAAATACATTTTTCAGGGGTGTATGAGGCCTTAAGTCTCGATTATCCTTTATCGCTGAAATGTCATCAAAAACGAAACCACAATTAAGGCTATTTAGGTAGACGACGAAAGCGCTTATGGCGACGATCGCCGCGAGTGCTCCCCGCGCAGGCACTCCCATCACAAATAAGACATCGATCGGCCGTCTTTTCTTCTCGATTTCCGATTTAAAAACCCTGTCGAAAATTCCTTTGCTCTTCTCTTCAATGGTCTCTTCTCTCCTTCTTTTTCTATCTATCTGTTCTACCTATCTATCTATCTAATCGTCTGTCGAGCCAAGAGTTTAACCCTGCGATGTCCAGAAAAAGGGCAGGAATCTTATCTCTAGGCACGTAGACGTAGATACGTTCCTCTTTGAACACATTATCACGCTTATGTGTCTAGTATTTCCAGATACAAACGCGCCTTTTCGCAGATCAATCCTCGAAACATGATGGGAGACATAGTCAACGGCAGGCAGCTTCCCGTTAACGAAAAACCTTCAACACCAAGCAAAATATTCGACAAAAGTATCAACGATTACCATGCGCGCGCGTTAATATTGAACTGTCAAACGAATAGACGTGTATACCATTGTATAGCAATGCACGCTACGTATCATGAAACGAGTACTACAACGCAAGTACGATACTATGACGGCGACGACGCGGATTTGCTTTAAGTCGAGTACGCATGCTTGATGTTAGACTAACCGCGAGCTACCCAATTCCATAAATTGTACGTATTCTATAGAACGTTTCTGCAATTTACACATGTACATTATATTATAAACATTTTCATTTTAGGAAGACGATAGTTTTATGCTTCCATTTCTAATGAGAAATGTTTATAGTTTAAAACCACAATAAAATTTAATGAAGTCATAGAAAATATTTGTGACAAAGGTAAACTTTTTCTTGCATATCATGCAACAATGTTTTATTAATACATATAATTTGCGTTCATTATCAATAAATAAATACATTATGTTTTTCCTTAAATGAATGAAGCTTAAGGTTAGGCGTCTTTAAAGCGAAACAATTGCGCATGCGCAGAACCGACCAATAGAAGTTCAGGATGGCCATTCAAAATTATGAGGGGAGAAGCTTCGTCTACGAGTCGTACGACGGCAGTCGAGGTAAGGATGCGTTTGGCGTCGTTTTCAGTGACAGTTGTGCTCTTTTAAATCATTTTGTGATAGAATCTTGATTCGAATTCGTGTATCATTTAATTATTCATCGAGTGATCGTTACTAAATTAAGATTAACGTGCTCTTATTGACACTAGTTAACCTTCCAGTGTCTCTTCGGTATATGGGAAAGGGAATCCTTCCGCGAAATTCATTGGCGGCGTCCTTTCTGAGTACCCTTCGAAAAGCGTAAGTGTGTTTACAATATCTTTTTTACTCTATTTCGTCGACAGTACCATTCATTCGATTCGTACAACGAGAAATAAATTGAACCGAATCGCAGATGAACTGCCGGCTTGCGAAGGTCAAACAATCCGTAGCTTATTATCCTACAGAGAGAGGTGGCAATTCATTAATCGTAAACAAAAGAATCCATAGTAAAGCGTTGAAAATTTTTATAATTAATCTCTTTGGGATATATTTTTTGTAGGGTGTTACGATAATTTATATACTTGATACAATGAACTGAGAAAAGATAATTATACATATATGTAATATACATAAATCATGTCAGCGAAAGAGAAAGTTACAAGCATTTGTTTCGGTAGTGCACGGTAATATCGGAGTACTGGCGAGTAAAATAATATAAAGGGACGTTGAAGGTAGGAGGGAAAACAAACAAAAGGAATAGCGGTATAGTTCTACCGGTGAAATTTGTTCGATCGAATTTTTAGGTGAAGCGAAGGTCTACGATCGCCAGCTGCTGCGTTTGTATAGAAGGGGACTAATAAATTCTAGTTTAGTGAAGAAATAATAACGAATATTAGCTGTGCAGTATTAAATTGTATTTACATTGTATAAACATTATTTAAACTATATGATAATTGTCAATATTTCAATTTTCTTGCAATGCATGATTTAGGTAAATATTTATGTAAAAAGAAATTTATTTGTTGTAACGATACGTATAATTACATTTTTCATTACTTTGATTTTATATTATTGATCGTAATATCAACACGGTGTTAATTGAATAAACGTAATTTATCGACGAGACAGTTCCTACTGTCAGAGGAATAAGTCAGGTAACTATGTACAACTAGAGGCAATAGGCTCAGAGAGCAATGCCATTCGATCGATCGGTTTATGTCTGGGCGTCCCGACGCCAGCTGCAATGTTTAAACGTACATACAGGGTGATCCACATTACGATTTCCTTGTGCATTAATTTCTTTCACTGTATAATAAACATCCAACAACATACATGTATATTCTGTTACTTGTATTCTTGAATAATATATCATATATTTACTTAACTTCTAGAAATAAAGAATGAGCGAGGGAGATCAAGAGAAGAGCATGGATAAGAAGGAAATAGCAGAGGAGGAAAGACAGAAAATGCTGAACGCTGAAAATACGAAGCACACGGTAGAATCGACCGCTCCAGACACGGAAACCGAGGAACCGAAGCCTAAGAAGAAAATTCCTATCGGTGGTATTAAGATGCCCGGCTTTTGTCGTACAAAGAGCAAAGAACCTTGCAAAGTAATCACAAGCTATTTCCGTTCGTTACTAATTTCATAAGAAACCTTTTATATTAATTTATTAAGTTTATCACATAATTCGAGAACCTGAAGTAATTAAAAGAAATAATCTTAAGCTTTAAAAGCCTGTACAAATTGTTCTTTCATTCATGAAAAAACGCAGAGTCGTTTGATCAGCGTACATTTATTGTTCAAATGTATTCATTCAATTTAAGTTGAATTTGTATAATGCATCTGTTATCGGTCACGCGATCTAGATGGTTCAGGTTACTTTACGTTTTAATTATTTCGATTGGATCCGGTTACGTGTATATAAACGGAGGAAAGAGCAGCAGTTCATATGTTCAGTATCCTTTGGTTGATTAACGTTTGTTTACGTCGAAACAACGCTACTCAAAGAGCTCGAGTTCCTGGGGCACCATAGCGTGTTCATAAAAGGGTGCTCATAGCCCCGTAACGATTTTTATCCAACATTAAACCAATGGATGACGTCAGGCAAACAGTGCACCTGGAATTATTGATCACGCGTCTTTAAAATAATAAGTGTCCCTATAATAAATAATGACGATAACCATGATCATTGGACTAAATTGATACAAAAGAAATATATATATATATATATATATATATATATATAACTATTCTTGATTTTGAAAAATGATTTTTACAATCTATTTTTGATCTTCACTTTTAGGATGATGAAAGTAAACCCAACGAATCGGGCGATGGCGAATTACCCGAGAAAAATGCTAAAGAAAATGAACAGAATATATCTTCTGAAAAGACAAATACACCAAGTAAGGAGGCTAAAGAGAAAGAAGCTCGTAAAGGGATCCTTGATGCTATAAGATTACCCTTAGTCTCCGTTTTTCCTCGAAAAAAAAAGGTGATTTATTTAATATTCAACAGTTCAATCGATGGTGATACATATTAAACTTAAGTTTTATTATAAGTTTCTTCTTGCCGATTTGAAAATTCTTTATCGGTATTAAAAAAATAAAAATATATAATTGATTGGTTTGATGGTAAAAATAAGTTAACATGCGAAGCCCTGTAAGACCCTAAGACACTTTGGTCAACACTCGAGCACGTACACGTAGCCTTTTCTTAAGATACTCCTCTTACTATTCATAGATACTTTCCTCCTTGAACGTCTTAACCGCATTTTGCCCAAGAACATTGGCTAAGTTTATGATTATATTGGCAATTTCATATTAAATTAATCGAGATAACGGTACCCGTTTTAGGAAGGAGAAGTAGAATTAGGAACTACTGGAACTGCTGGATTAGCCAGTGTAGAGACACTTGACGATGGTGCGACAGAGAAAAATCCTATTGGTAACGAAGATGGAATGGAAACTGTCCGACTCGATGAAGATGCTCCGGATGGTATCGAATCTCCTAAACAACACTTTCTTGTCGCTTGTATATCCGCTGCAAGAAGAAATTTATTTGTACTGGGTACGCTGTTATATTCGTTGTACTATAATATAGAAAATTATAAATCTACTATAAATTCCTTCCTATATGTTAAAACAGTGGCCATGATGTGTATCACGATATCAGTGATAATCATCATCTGTATTGCTTGTATTGGACCAAGAAAAGGTGGTGCACAATTAATGAAGAATGGAAACTTTATCAAAGCTGTTACTTCCTGCGGCCCTGTCCAAGGCATATCAGAAGATGGTGCATTCGCGTTCCGTGGTATTCCTTATGCAGTTCCACCGTTGGAAAATCGTCGTTGGCAACCGGCAGAACCTTTACGAAGAATCGAACAATGCTGGACGGACACTTATCTAGCGCATAATTCTTCTGAAGTCTGTTGGCAGCGTGATGCTTCGGGTCAAGCCGTTGGAACCGAAGATTGCTTGTACTTGGATGTTTTTACTCCTGAAGTAAGATACGATTCACCTTTGCCGGTTGTCGTTATGATCGGCGCAGAGACTCTTAGCGATGGCTCTCCAGGTGTAATGCAACCATCGGCGAAGTTGGCTCGTGTTCGTGACATGGTTTTTGTTAGACCCAATTTTCGGTAATCATCAACTAGCATCGTACTAGTTTTCTTTTGATTAAAATTTTAGATTTCCTCGATATACTTTCTTCACATTTCAGGTTGGGAGTCTTTGGTTTCTTAGCCGCTGAACCGCTTTCACGAGCGACGCATCCACCAACATCCGGGAATTACGGACTTTCAGATATCATAGCGGCGCTCCAGTGGGTCCATCTTAATATAGAAAACTTCGGTGGTAATAAAACATCGGTCACTTTATGGGGCCATCGGGCAGGAGGAACTCTCGTTACAACCCTGGTCGGTATACGTCGAGCGAGGGATCTTTTCCATAAAGTTTGGATATCCAGCGGTAGCGCGATATTCCCCGGAAGGGAGTTGGAGATCTCAGAGAAACTGAGCGAACAGTTTTTAAATTCTATACGGTGCAGCGACGCCGCTTGTCTACGGACTAAAAGCGCAGAGGAATTAATGGATTCGGTTCCGGAAACTTGGCATTTAGGAAATGTTGGACTACCTGAAACTAGAGAGGCAACGTCGAGAGACAGGAGACACGAGTGGCTGGTCCTTGACGGTGCGATTCTTCAGGAACCCGTAGGTCAAATTTGGGCAAGAGATGAGTTTCCAGTTAAAATCGTAATGGGAACCACCGCTCATGCTGGAGCTCCTCATAAATACCTTCATTCGAATACCACTCTTAATTCTACTCAAGTAGAAAAAATTGTAAGGGAATCTTTGTTAGGAACAACTGGCTTGGCTGATGAAGCTCTCAGGTTAAAATAAACTTTGAATATATCACCGTATCACCAAATAGATTTTTCATTAATATCTATTTTATTTTTTAGGCGTTACAATGCAACATTCAGAGGTTTATTGAGTATGATATCGGATATTCGTGTAGTCTGTCCACTTCTTACAGTAGCCAGGATGAAAAGTAACATTCCGTTTTATGTGGCAACTCAAGCACGAGGTCAGTTCGCTGATCCTGATAGCGATGCTACTGCGATACTCGGATCCTATGCTGCACGTACACCCTCTGAGAAAAGGCACGTATCCGCGATGCAACAACTTTTCAATCACTACGTTTGGCAGGATGAGGTAGCTCAAATGGATCCGAACGGTGTGAAGCGAGTTTTTATTGTCGGTCAAGATACATTACCTAACAATGATTATCCTAACTGCGACTTTTGGATTGAGAAAGATATCGTCCCGTCTTATGGTCGAGTTGATTGAAATACTTTCCTCGTTATGTGTTCAACGACGATTGTAGGAATTCTACCAAATCCACGATGTTCTGTACAAGTATGATTTCTCCCTTACAAATTTCTCGAAATTTTGTATCCTTTTAATGAATTTAAAACAAGATAAACGAATGGAAGATGTTTCAAAACATCTTACTGACTGACCAAATTGATAGGTCAAAATTACGAATTTTTACATACATTTTACTTAAAAAAACGTAAAGTTTGCAAGTGGATAATAAATATTTTGATAAAAATATTTATTAATACAATTTTAAGATGTCACTATTTAAATAACATGTACATCTTTTTCCAAAGTATTGCTTCAATAGAATATAAATTCAATGGATCAACGAGTTACGAAAACTTCAGGTATCGGACAATATAAACAATTTCAATTATTCCACTAGTCTTTTCTGCATAAGGATGAGAATAACAATCGCAATTTTTAATAAGCTGCCAGATATATCTATACAGGAAACATTTATCTATGATACTCATCGGATTTTTGTCTTTGTACATATATTACTGTTGCTCTGTTTTCTTTTTTATTTCAATGTACTTAAAAATATTCCTGCTTACGTAATATTATGAGCAGAGAAAAGTATATATGTATCAGATCTGACTTTTAAACTGTAAGACTGATTTTATAAATCTGCATTTCATTTGCGTATGAATGTATTTTATATTAGTTTTAAATGAAAATAGCTTTATAATATAAAATACCTGTCTCGTAGGCAGAGTTTATTGTACTGTAAGTTAAAAAAAATGTGCAAAAAATATTTCTTTAACCATTGTTTCATTGTCAGTATTGATGTGCATTCATTAAGTACATGGGTCACCGTCACGTTTTCGTAATATCAATATGCACTGTCGCACATATTTATTAATTCTATCTAAACATTTTTATAGATTTAGAAATGTTATTTTTACTCTTTAAACAACTGCAGTTACAATTTGAACAAAAATAATAAAAATTCACTTTTTTATATGATATACATATACAAATTTCAAATATTTCTAAATCTATGAAAGTTTTAAAAAATAAACTCATCTTTAAGTTACTGTGCATTTGAATGTTTGTGTTGTATTTGAAACAAAATAAACTAATATGTCATTCCTATTTTAAATTAATAGCTTAGAAATTATCATTTTTTATGATAATATTATTTATTAATATAATTACTATAGTATAGGATATTTTTTAATAATTTAATTATGTCCTTTTTTTTACTTCTTGTTAATGTATAATTACGAATTTAAATGTTAATATAGTTTTTAACGCCGTTAAAATATTTAATCGTATATGTAATTGAATACTATATACGTATTTCTTCACAAATTTAGTTGAAAGTAGCAACAAATGTGACCAAAGTAAAATTATTAAGACTTTAGCAAAAGTGGCCTTAGGACAGTTTTATAAAGTTTACTAACATTGTATTAAACAAAACATCATTATTAGTTATATAGTAAACGTTTTTAATATATAAACTCATATTAGCAGAAACATTCATATAATAATATAGTATGATTGTAGATGTTGTTTTATAAAAAACGCTAATACCCCTAAGAATAAATGAATGTCAGTATTAACGTTTACATTCTTCAAGATGTTCATATAATATTTTGTTCACATTTTTTTTATGTCTATAATAGACATTAAATTTTATTATAATATGTCTGTAATAGAATTTCAAATTTTCCTAAAATAGGCTACGGTTTCTCACGTGATGGAACCTTAAATATGTAAGATTATAATTTAAATTGTATTTTGAAAAATTGATAATTTTATATTTTAAAATAACAAGAACTTGAGGATCACTGAGAAGAATGGCAAGGGTAAACGAGAACCACTGTTTGGAATTCCTAAGTACTTGGTCGACACTCTTACATTTCAGAGTTAGTGGAGCAACGTTAAATGTAGTATTGGTATGTGTTACTCTACAAGTTGTCTCTTGAATCAACAGGTAGATTAAGTAGAGTTTCTTTAAAATTAATTAAATTATCTTTTCTTGAACATGAATCAGTGAAAAATGTATCGATACAGGGAAAAGAGAGCTCAAACTAAGGATAGCCAGTGAAAAAAGATTATATTTTTGAAAGCGTCTGTGAAGTATACGAAGAAATTCCTTGCATTCCAACGTTGGTCCAGGGTCTCGCGAGGCCAGCATCTAGATGAGAATGTTACTTTTGTGATTACTCATTCGGTGACATCTGAGGAATGTGGTAAGCAAATTTCTTTCCTCCTACACTTTACAGACTTGTTCTTTTTACTATATTTTTACAGTAATACTTTCTTTAAATTTCAGTATTATCGTCATTTTTATCGTCTTACTTCCCGTTAAGTACTGACACATTACAAACGTAGTACCTGTTGCCATCAATTCAAATATGATTTAAATATACAAAATTTTTATCAATGAAAAATTTATAAAATTGTTTGTTTAAAATGGACAAAATTGTTGTACGAATTTATTTTAATGTTTTTAAAAATATTTTAACAGTTTTTTCTTTCTGTTTGTTATATAGAAGAATTTCTACACTGTGGCATGTGTGGCATAGGTTGACAGAAAGATAAGGTGCTGGATAATCCAAATGGATAACACAAGCCCATTATGGCCCAGCATCTGCAGACGCAACATCAACACGAATTTTTACCACTTTGCGATGTACTATTCAATATAATATCTCTTGCTTCATATTTTTGTGACGTTGTTTTTGACTTTGCAATGGTATATGCTCTTGCGCATCATTCTATTGCTCCTCCAATTCTTTTTCCCTTGAGCATTATTCTTATAGCAACATCATTAATTATTTCTCAGGTCAGTATTTTATCTTAACAATCTTTATTTATTATAAGCAATCTATTTGTATTTCTTATTGTTAATTTCAGATTATTAGTATACGATGGTATTTATGGGGTGCCAGAGGCAAATTAACTGGTAATACTATATCAGATTGTAATGAGAAAAAGGAAAGTAATAATTGGACAGTATGGTGTGTCTTATTACTTCATTCCACTCAAGTAGGAGTATTGTGGAGATACTTCAAATTATTTATTCCAGTTAATTTAACTTATGTCAAACACGAGGTAAGAAGTAATAGGAAAACAATTCAAGCATTTTAATTCTTACCAAATTTATATCTTTACATTAGGTGAGAGAACTTTGCGTATTACGCCTTATTCATGCGTTCTGCGAGGCCGCGCCAATGTTACTCTTGCAATTATATCTATTATCCATTGGGGTCAACAATGAATCAAATACAGATGTTGGTAAAGAGAAAGAAACTGAAAGCAGAGACAGTGACAAACTGGCGAAATTGACTGCGGTATCTGCTGGTCTATCTTTGTGGAGTGTATGTTGGGCAGTTGCTAGTTTTAGTAAGGGTGCAGCGCGTCTTCGTAATTTAGAGCGTTTGGTACTTACATGGCTAGGTGTGCTGGCACAACTAGCATGGCGTTTGGGAACCGTAAGCGCTAGAGTAGGAGTATTGGTAGCATATGCTTCACTCTACGGTGGACAGTGGCTCTTAATTGTCATGGCATTACATTGGCTATCAATGTTGATGTGGCTACTGCTTACTCCGGATGGTCTTTTTCACGGTGGTGAACATTTACCTATTATAAGGAAAACATTTTTAGCCTCGCTTCTTGCGTTTGTCTACATATTTGCATACGTAAATTTGCACGAAACGAATCATCGTCAGAAAATGGTAAGTTTTCAATCTATGTATATACATAATATGCTGAAGTAATACTTTAAATGATAAAAGATTTTTGTAAGTAAGCTTAATATGTTTGGACAGGTAATTTTTTATACAGTGATGTTCTTGGAAAACAGTCTGCTCATAGGTGTGTGGATAGTGGGTATCAATAGAAGCGATCTCCTTCCACACCAACACCACCCAAACCCTGTAACTTTAGTACTTACATTTTTAGCTTTATTCTTTGGTGGTATGTTTTTCATGGGTCTTTATTATAGGTAACTATAGAAGTAATTGGCTTTATCCGTTCAGTTTTATGAAACGTACATTTTATTGGTATTAATCATTGCTAACTTTATATTTTACTTCAGGTTTTTTCACGTACGAAGATTGAGGTATGAAGCGGGTGGTAGAATGACAGCTTCAAATCTAACAGCTTTGTCAAATCAGGTAATAAAAAAAATAAAAAAAAATAAAGGTAAACAATATCTGACAAAAATGACCGTTAATACAACGATGAAATAATATATTTGTAGGATAATTTGGAAGAGAAACAAATAGAATACTCAGAGGAGAAAAAAGTAAACGCAAATGTAGGAGTGAGAAGAGTTAAATTGAGTAACGGTGGCATACCAGGGGTATTTAACTGTCGTTTTGCTAATCCAGCTGTAGTTAATCCGAATCGTAAGAAAAAGAAACCAACTACATTCGTACCTCCACCGCCGCCACAATCACAAGCTGAAGCTGTAACGACTTCTATAAATACACTAGGAGATACGAAACAATGGCTTGGTGTAAATAATAATTCACGTCAATTAATACCATTCTGGAAAAAGTCCGTAAATTCTAGTGTAATCTTGGTAATACAAAATTATTTTATTAATAAAGATAAGAGGAATGTGATGAATTATCGTCTTTCCTTTAACTTATATTCAGATATTCATTATTTTGAGGTAGAGTGATCACTCAAACGAGCAAAAAATCGGAGTAGATGTTGGAACAACTGGATCCCTGAGTGTTAATTTGATAAGAGAGAAACTTCAAGAAAAAAAACAACAGCAACTGCGAGAATTAAGAGCTATCCAAGAAGAGATCAAAGAAGGAAAATTATTTCCTCCACCCTCAGCTTCGGCATCCTCATTCTCATCGTCACCTGCATCGAATCAACAACCACCACCTAATACAAAATTACACACTTCTCCTAGTTCTCCTTTATTTACATCTGCACCGATCACTTCGGGTGATCAAAATGGTGGAATAACGTTATCCTCATGGCCACCGGTAAAAATGCATTGTCTTCTACCTCCACCACCTTCCTCCTCCTATTATCCAAACGTCCATCCTTCGAATTCATGGAGAACGACGCAGAGAGAAAGAGCGGATACACCGGAAATCTTGCTCGCACCACGTTGTCTTCCTCATCATTACTCTCATTGGCCACCTTCCACCCACATTAATCATCGGTAATTAAAAAATAAAGTATAAAAGTTGGAATACAGTATATACATATATGTTATAAAATAAATAATGAATAAATCGAAGATTACGTTTAAGCCAAAACGGTGGAGAAGAAAGTTCCAAGGGCGAAGGAGAAATTGAAGGAGAAATAAGCGATATGGAGGGTAGTCAAGTATCGTTACCACGAAGCTATACTCTTCCTCGCGAATTTAAATACAATCATCCAAATAATATTGCCAGAGATCGAGAACGACGAGTAGGAAGTAGTAAGGTGACATCTTCACGTTTTTATTTACCTTCTACCAATAGCTCTGATGGTAGGTATTTTTTCAAACTGTACTAAAATTTATAATTATATCTTATGAAATGTATTACGTCAATTTGTTTCTCAGGAGATGTAGATAGTGCGGATAACGAAGATGAAACAGATTCCGAGGTACATTTTCGTATGAAGAACAATCACAGGCATAATACTAATGGTGAAACACAGCAGCAGCAACAGCAACAGCAACGATATATATTCGAAGATAGTAACAAAAATGAATTCTTGCACTCTAATTCAGACTCTGTGTCGGCTGTTATCATTTCTGGGAATTCATATCTGAGTAACTCTCAAGGATTGTTGCGACCAAGTCAATTATTCAGAAACAGGGTTAAACACGAAACGAAGCTTTGAAGTTTCTAAGTGCTTCTATTAAGAGATTGTATAATAGCTAATTGAAGATCTGAAACAAAAAAGACTGTATGTGATCTATTTTTATAAAATTTATACTTTTTTTAATCGAGATTGACATTCCTAGGGTGCAGAGCATGTTTGTACATAAAGTAACAACGAAGCAACGAAGTAACATTTTTTAAATAGCACCGTTTCATTTGTTCCTTGTAAATGATGGGGAAACCATGTACAAATTTAATATGTGTCGATTTACCAGGTATGTTTATTTAAATAATCAGTTTTACAATTTAAGAACTTAGGATTCAAAATAATTAATTTTAGTATTTTACTTATTATACAAATTCTTTTTCAATAAATTATTTGTTTTCGCAATTGTATCGTATAAAAAAAAATACATAGCCTAAAAACTGTAAACAATATCACTTTTTTATACTTGAATATTTGAATTTATTGTATTTTTTATCAGTTAGGAATTTTTTAGTTAAAATTACAATCTTACACATGTAGCAAAAATATTTATTATGAACTGTTTAATTTATTGATAGCTACAATTAAATAAACCGAAATGAATATACAATACAAATGATATAAGATACTTTATACGTGTATCTTTTTGTATTGTATATGGCATATTTTCATGTCTATTAAAACTATACAAATCAGTAGTTATGTACAACAAAATCGTTATATAAAAACCATTTACATCTGTATAAAGAATTTATAAATTTATATGTTGTGCAATACCAGTTTGTTGATAAAAAAATACTGATCTTTGTGCTGACATAACTATTTCATAAAGTAATAGTACGATATATATACAATAAAAGTTAACAAGGAACAATAATGAAAGTATCATATTTTTGATACTTTGATTGAATTCAGATACCTTTTAAAGAATAATTTCATTCTTAAAATTTCTTGTAAGTTCTTTGTGCGGTAAGACGATAGAATTTAATATAATTTTCTCAGCTGCTAAACGTACACTAGTACCTGAAATGTAAATAATGTAGCATTATCTTTCTTTTTAAATCGTTTTTTAAATTAATACATTACTTACCGAGAATTGTTATAGAAGGATTGAGCTTGCCATTAGTATTAAATAGGGGCAAGTTTTCCATTTTTGTAAATGGCTTGTCAGGATTAGGATCACATGGTGTTCCCTCTATGCGCGCCCATTCACCTACATAGCTGCTTTTCCCAACTATGCTATGTAAAACAATAGAATGTGCTTGGATGTGCGCATTAGCTAATATAATTGACTCTCTTAATCTAACACCAGGAGCAATAACAGCATTTGGACCTATGCTCACATTTGGACCCAACTGTAAATAATGTTTTCCAATTTATATCCAATGTACATAGTTTAAAATCACAAAAATAACAGATATTTCTTTACCACTGCTGTTGAATGTACAGTAGCTGAAGGATGAATATATACATCACCAATAATCTGACATGGTCCATTAACTGTAGTAGCAAGGCGGCTTGGATGTTTTGCTTTATAAAGAGCCAAATAATGTCGATTAGCATATATAGCGGAACCTGCTGTTTTAACCTGTGACCACCATCTCAGAACAGGTAAGGCAAATAAACGGCCAGTTCCGGCTAGACGTGTTAATATATCTTGTTCAAAAGATATATGAGCTGGATCTTTACCATTACCATTGAATTGTCTATAAAATAATTTTACATTGCAGCATTTACATCTGAACAAATAAGTTTTAAGAGGTCTTACGTAAAATTCTCTTGATGTTGTCCTGCATAAAATGCATCAGCCATAGTTTGGAAAATATCTAATGAAGCAAGATAAATTCCACAGTTTATTAGAGGTGAAACAAATGTTGATGGTTTCTCCACATAGTGAGCAACTACTCCTTCTTTATCCAGAACCATGCATCCATAATTCAAAGACTGCTGTCTTGTTGCTTCCGTGGCCATGATAGTTAACAGTGCCTGTTTCTCTGTATGGAATTCAACTATTTCTTGCAAAGCAAAATCAGCACAGACATCACCATTCATTACAAAGAAATATGTAGGACCACCGGAGCGTATTTGATCACGGAAATGATACAAGCCTCCTGCAGTTCCCAAAGGTGTAAATTCTTGAAGATACCTGATGATTATATTATAAGTGCTTGCCATTTCTTGAATGAATTGAGATAAATCGCTGGCAAGGTACGATCCAATTATTAATATTTCATTAAGATTCTTCACCTTTGAACATGCTTCTATGTGGTGCTGAATCATTGGCAATCCAGCAATTGGAAATAATGGTTTTGGTATATCCAAAGAAAGAGGTCTAAATCTGGTTCCTAAAACATATGTTATTATGAAGCATTATAGAGTCAGTTATTATCATTTGTTATTCAGCCCACTGAATATCAAATATGTTAGCAATTATGTTTAAGGTTATATTGTTTTATAGATTGTAACAATAATGTTAGAAATTAATTGTAATATGAGATAACAAACCTTTTGAAGGACCTCCAATTAGTATGACACATTTTAGTATCATTTTTCTAAATTATACAAATTTTATTATGATTTTAAAGAACTTTTGTATTACAATGATAAAAGTAAATTGCTGATAGATTTAGGAACACCTTAAAATTTTCCAGTTCATGAATTCCAGTTCATTAAACAGGATAAGATAAGAGCTAGAATTTCCTGGCAAAGAACAGTAGAGCAAACTTAAACAAACCCGGATAAGAAATTCTATGATTGGCAAATGAGTAGATGTATACAATTATTATACAAAATATGCAAAATAAAAGAATCTTTAGAATATAAATAAATGAAATAAAATTCATACAATTAGGCATAATATTTTTATTGGATTTTAATAAAATAAAAATACAAAAAATGAGATTCCACAGCATAAGAAAGTAGTTTAACAACTGCTACAGTCTTTATAAACTAAAAAACAATTTGTATAATATTAATAATTGGAAATAGATACTGTTCATGTTGTTCAATATTTGCAATTATATATTATATAAAAATATATTATTGCTTAGGCTATCTCACAATACTGTAGGAACACAGTTCACACAAATGTGTCTATACGAGTAATTCGTTTAAGAAAATTATCAAACATTTACATTATAGGCCAGGCGCTACTAGATTTAATAATTTCATAGCAAATTCAAATCCGAGAAAGCATGCTGCATTTGCCGGGAATGCACGAAGCATCACAGGTATACATCCTTTGTAAAGTGCTTTTGGTCCTTCTTCTTTCATTAAAACTATAAAGGCGTCGCGAATTCCACGTTTGAAAGTTCCCTCAGGAGCTGGAACAGAATGAATAAAATTAAAAATAATATTCATTCATATTAGTCATAAAGAAAAGATAATAATATAAAATGTTTTGAACGATACATACCACTTTGTAGACGACTTTTTAATACATCAGGTGGCATTCCAACAATCCAGTTAGCGATACCAGCAAAACCACCAGCTAAAATTGTAGCTCCTATTCCTAGTTTACCTCCTTCAGGAGTCATCCAATTTTTCAAACATTCATATGTCATAAAATACATTCCACTGGCAGGAATATCTGAAAATTTGAATAAAAAGTTATCAGGAAAGAAAAAAAGGTCCACCTGAATCTGTGTAATCAAAACATGGTATGGAAACGTTATTTATAATTATAAAACAAGAATAATGTGTGTAGGTTGCTAGATAGGAAGCATCCTGTTTGATAGGAAACATCAAGGCAGATAGATAACACTTAACAAAATTCAGTTTCCTTCAAACCAGCGTACCATCAGTGGTTTTAAGTTCTACTTTTCTTCAATCTTTAAATTTTAAGGAAACTATGGCGGTTATTCTAATTCTTTTTCTTACTCTGTTGGTACATAATTCTTTTCTTTATTTAAAATATACATAGATGCAAAATGACAAAACATTTATCTTATAGTATACTTAAATTCGGTACAATATGTTATTAACACACTGAATTTATTTGAAGTAATATCATGTTTAAACTTCATTGAAAAAATATGTGTTTAGAATGAGTGCTTTGGACAAATAATCGATATTGGCAATGTTTGGGAAGTAAAATGTCCACCAGGATGTTCTTGCGAGGTTCAAAAATTTGCCGATTTATCTTTACACCGATGGATCAGAGCAACTCAAGATCAGGTATGATTACTAATTTACCCTTCTTTTCTTGCAGGAGAATTTAACAGACTTTTTTCTTTAACTAGAACTTAACCAGTGATGACAATTTTGAATTTGGTTTAAATCCTGATCATTCTATCTTTTCTGAATTTCTGAAAGTAGCAATCTGTGTCGTCGCTGAAGACCATGAAGAACTTTTAGAAAAACTTCCATCAGATATACAGGTCGTTATTATAAAACTGAACACTGTATCGTTTTAATGAATTGTAGGCACGAAGAGACGATAATAAAATATATCCTTCTTGTAGGTATTTACAATACTTCAGTCTGGTATGGGAGACTTTGAGATTCTTTTACAGTCTACAACGTTTCAACGATTCACAGATTTAATATCATTAGATATACAAGGCATAGATTACAATGAAGCAACAGGAAAGAATTTAAATATTGAACAGAAGAAACAAGGAGGAATTATGTTGTCTGTAGATTCTTTGTATCCATTAGGTTTGAATCTTCTTTACTTGAATCTAGAACGAGTGAAACTAACCAGCTTGAGTCCAACGAAAAAAAATAAAGCCAATCTCGTAATTAAACCAATGAATACAGTTACCAAAAATGAAAATCGAAACAAGGAACTACTGAATAATACTAGTCAAAGTACAGGACACAGATTAATATTGTTAAGTCAACAAAATAATGGAGAAAGTGACGACAAAGAAATACTTCCTTACGACGTTTATAAACAAGAAATGGAAGGTTACAGAGAAACTATGGGACTTTTCACTGGTTTAGGAGCTTTAACTCATTTAAGAGTTTATGATTGTGACTTGAAAGATATATCATGGCATATGTTTGACGGTTTGGATAGTCTTGTTCAGCTTTCACTAGAAAGGAACAATTTGAAATTTATTCCAGAATTTTGTTTCTATGGTACACCTAATTTAAAAGTACTTTCACTCGCAAGAAATCAATTGTTAACCCTTAAAAGCATTGACTTAGCTGGTTTGCTGATGCTCGAGGATCTTGATCTAAGAGGGAATAATCTAACATTTTTATCAGAATTATCTTTTCCACCTTTTCCAATGTTGAAAGTTGCAGATTTTCGGGAAAATCCTTTGGATTCTATATTTCCAAGGTATTTAAATAATTCACTGAAAAATAAATTGTTTTATGTAATAATAAGATATGCAATTATCTTTTGATTTTAGTACTTTCGAAATTATGAATACAACGCTAAAACTCTATCTCGGAGGTGAAGATTCAAAGCTATATTTACAAAAGAATTCCTTTCTTGGACTATATCAACTTCAAATCTTACACCTATATAATTTAGAAATACCAGTCCTGGAACGCTTTGTACTTCAAGGGATGCCAGAGTTATTTGAATTAAAAGCACGTGGAAATATTTCAAGCATTGAATTCGACGCGTTTGTAGATTTAATCAAACTAGTATATCTCGATCTGAGTCATTGTTATATTCGTAAAATATCCATGGATGCCTTTTATGGATTAGAAAATGTTAAACGTATAGATTTATCAAACAACGAGCTAGAGTCTATTCCACCTGGTTTGTTTGGGGTACAACAGCAGAAGCAGCTTAAAGAAGTTATCCTATCGAAAAATAAACTGACTTCGCTACCCCTGGAATTTTTCAAAATGTTACGCGGACCATATGAACAACCACAATTAGCAACTATCAGACTAGATGGTAATCCATGGGACTGTACTTGTTCCATGACTACATGGAACCCTCAATTGGCAAGTGCAATGAATTTCTTTTACTTAGCTTTTAAGAAGTGTAGCGTTAAAGCATTAATTTTATTAAACTTTAAAATAGGTCAGTAGATTACGTGAAACTGCACCAAGATGCTCAACACCAAAAAGGTTGCAAAATTGGGGAGTTTTTCACGCGTTACGCAAAGGTGGTTTGCAATGCAGAAGATTAAATAGAAGACATTTAAAAAAATCCTCAATAAGAAAAACTAATTATGAAGATAATATTATCAGTTAGTAAATATATATTTTTTTAATTACGATTAATTAATGTATGTGTATAAAAGAAGAAGCAAAATTAAACAATTCAGCTTTCAATTTCTACAAAGTGAGGATTCGGCGACAGAAGAATGTAATTTTACGTACCTCTCAATAGAGTAGCGCAGGTACCTTTATAAATACTTCTTATTCCTCCTTCTTTATAAAGTTGTTTCGCACAATCAACTGGTCCTTTATACTTTGGGTTTACATCAGATTGTTGTATCTGTAGAAGGCACTTTATTCTTTCACCAGGTGCCATTATAATGGTTGTAAAAATGCCACTAAATGCCCCAGCATAAAATAATTTCAAAGGTGTTAATTGTTCATTATCTGATTTCCTAATTAACTGTTTACCAAGTCCATATCCATAAAAACTTATAGCAAATATTGGAGCTACTCCACATAAAGGAGCACCCATACCTAAAAGAAAAAACATTACAAAGAATGATACATTTTTTTTTTTTTTATTGTTTGCTACAATTAAAAAAAAAATCAGTTTTCTTCAAAGTGTAACTGTCTAAAACATTTCATGTATGCCAGATAAAGCCAAGTTGATTGCTTTTAATTATATTTTACAGCACATAAATTATCTAACTGCTATGAGATATATTATTTATACAAACCCTTATATAAACCACGTATTCCCTCTTTTGCTATTGTTTTTCTGGTACAATCCAATGTTCCACTATATAAGGGTAATTCATTTGGGCCTGGTACAGCCATAGTTTGGAGACGTACCTATTGAAAGAAAATTTCTAATTAGAGCATTTATTATTATGCTAAAGTTTAAAAGAATAATTCAAATAAAAAATATAATAAAAATGTCTTAAATAAGGATTAAAAAAAAGCTATATTTTTCAACCTGAAAATTTTGATTTATGGTTCTATTAGTTTCAGAATGACATTAGTATAAATTGTTTTTATTACAATGAGTTGCAACAGTATATAAATTGTAACAAAGACAATATTTAATAACAATGAATGTAGATAATAATTAATTCAAAAATGCAAAGATTTATAAAAACATAGATAGACAAAATAAAATTTATGGACAAAACTAAATATTATCTGCACACACATTTTACCTAACATTTCCATTATTAGAGCCAGTCCTCTTCAGGGAAAAAGTATTTCAATCCTAAATAAGATTTAATAATCCTATTTGGATTAGGTACAGCTGAAAAACGGGGGATGATCTTTTACATTGAACCTTATAGCTACTTTCATTCTACCCGATACTTCTGTTTATTTGTTACAATTTAAAAAGTAATAAAAATATACTTTCTATTTTTTCATAAAAAATAAAATTACAAGCATTGAATTAAAGCCTATTGTTAATATACATTTTGTATGTTATTGACAAATGAGTGGTTTTTGGTCCACAGTTATTTGCTAGTAAACAAAGTAATCAATGTATTAAATCAATCAATTAATGTAACCTTACTTTTATTGTGTCTAGAGGATGTCCTGATACAACAGTACATATTCCACCAAAACCTCCACTTAAAAAATATTTAACTGGACTCTCTGCATCTCCCATTTTAAGGTAATTTGTTTAATAAATTTTAGTATTGTTTAAAAGTCAAGGTATGAAAATCAGTTCATCAGGTGGCTAGTCTAATTCAGTCCAATTACAGAGTTCTGTCCTGAACCTGAACCTAAATAAAAAATAAACATAGTGGATATACAAATGTAGATCATAAATTAAATAATTTATTACAATGATTGCAATTGACAGGTATTTTCATTTTTAATTCAATTTTAACTTTAATTCTATTTTCAGTTCATTGTTTTCAAAACTTGATACCGAATTTGGATGAAAAAGGGCATAGTGGTTGGAAATAAATGAATAAATTTTTTAATTAATTTAAATTCGTAATACTTGAAAACATTCGAAACACTGTGAAACATACGAAATATATAAAAGTTTCAAATGCAATACATATAATGGGAGATAGAAGAAATGAATTTATATATGCCGCCAATTTGATTTTAGTGTCATACGCAGTGTCATATGCAAGCGTTAAACATTTTAGTTTTAATATTTTTTTAAGAGATTTAACACTGGTTTTCTGTTCTTCAAATTATGTGACAAATGATTTAACATACAGTATTCAGTGTCTGTATAGTTGTATCTTTGATAGAATAAGTGTCAGAACATGTAAATAGTATCAGGTGATTGAAGTCATTAATTGTGTCGCACCGCAGTTCGCGATATAGACTTTTCTTTTTCATATTTCCATTTTGTCATTGTTTTTATGTAACAACAAGTTTATGTTTACAAAGATTACTGAATTAATGTTAGTGAATCACTTATGATTATTCTAGTTGACCTTGCTTTAAACATTAATAAATGTATTAGATTTATATAGTACAAATAGGTAGTCACATTTATCTTTTTTCGTTTAAATTGTTCCTACAATTGTTTCTAATTTATTTATGTATTACAGAGATATCAACAATGTCAGAAAAAATTCCTACTAATCAACCACAACCTATCGTTAAGATAGGTCATTACACACTTGGACAAACATTAGGTGTTGGTACATTTGGTAAAGTAAAAAGTACGTAAGGAATTATTTGTTTATGTCAGTTTGTACATACTGCATTAAAATGTGATTTAAACTATGAATTTTAAAATGAGTTATAACGCATATATACTTTTTTTGTAGTTGGAGAACATGTTTTAACAAAACATAAAGTTGCTGTAAAGATTTTGAATCGTCAAAAAATTAAAAGTTTAGATGTGGTTGGAAAAATTCGAAGAGAAATACAAAATCTTAAGCTTTTTAGGCATCCTCATATTATTAAACTGTAAGTATAAATGACATTATAGTTTATGACTTTAAGGAAATGTTACTTAAATTCTTCTCCTTTTTAATTTAGGTATCAAGTAATAAGTACACCTACAGACATATTTATGATAATGGAGTATGTATCAGGTGGAGAGTTATTTGATTATATTGTGAAACATGGCAAATTGAAAGAATACGAGGCAAGAAGATTTTTCCAGCAGATTATCTCTGGGGTTGATTATTGTCACAGACACATGATAGTTCATCGTGATTTAAAACCTGAAAATCTTCTCTTAGATCACAATCTACATGTAAAAATAGCAGATTTTGGTATTTGAATATATACATATTTATTGGATAATTTAATCAAAGATACACAAGATATCCATTACTATGTATAAGTATCTGTTAATAAAATTATAGGCTTATCAAACATGATGATGGATGGAGAATTCTTACGTACTTCTTGTGGTTCTCCTAATTATGCAGCACCAGAAGTAATTTCAGGTAAACTGTATGCTGGACCTGAAGTTGATATCTGGTCTTGTGGAATAATACTTTATGCTCTGTTGTGTGGTACGTTACCCTTTGACGATGAACATGTACCGACACTCTTCCGTAAAATTAAATGCAAGTATATTTACAGCTTTTTATTTTTCATATTTTTATATAAAATTTAACAGAGAAATTGTGTTTAGCCGGAGTCTTTCCCATCCCAGAGTACCTGAATAAAAGTGTTGTCAGCCTTTTGTGTCACATGTTGCAAGTGGATCCTATGAAAAGGGCAACCATTGAAGATATCAAGTACATCAAATTTTATACAATTATCTCTTAGTTCTTTGATGTAGTCAGTGCGTCAGAGAAAAAACCTAAATTCGTATGTACTCTTTGAATCTACATAATGTGTAAGCAAAATAACAAGTGTTTTATCTTATGTTTTCTATTCTACGCACTGCCTAAGAATTATTTAAACTTCCGGAATTTTTTTTTTTTTTTTTTTTTTTTTTTCATTTTAATTTACAACAAAATCAGAAATTATGATATTGTTTCAGGAAACATGAATGGTTTCAAAAGGATTTGCCTTCATATTTATTTCCATCACCTGTTGAACAAGACTCTTCTGTAATTGATATCGATGCGGTAAATGAGGTTTGTGAAAAGTTCAATGTAAAAGAAGCAGAAGTTCATTCAGCGTTATTAGGTGGAGATCCGCACGATCAATTGGCAATTGCCTATCATTTAATAATAGACAATAAACGAATCGCAGACGAGGCTGCTAAGGCCGAGTTAAAAGATTTTTACGTAGCCTCTAGTCCGCCTCCAGTTGCTTTTAGTCCGAATGATGCAAATAACAGCCCTTTGAGACCGCATCCAGAAAGAATAGCACGTACGTTTTTTTTTTATTGATTTTCTACTTATAAACGTATATTTACGAGTTATTTAATTTACTTGTAAAATTTCAGCATTCCGAGAACGACAGAGCTCTCTAGGAAGTACATCGTCCCAGATGCAAGGTCCTCGTGGTACTCCAGTAAAACGAGCCAAGTGGCATTTAGGAATCCGCTCACAATCTAAACCTAATGACATCATGAATGAAGTTTATCGCGCTATGAAAGCTCTCAATTTTGTAAGATGTTTGTTTTCCTATTAACTTTCATAGAAGTTTAACAGAATCTACTTTATTTTTATGAGTACAATAACATACTTTTATTGTTTATTTTTTTTTTATTTTTTTTAAATTCGAATATTAGGAATGGAAAATCATAAATGCCTATAGTGTCAGAGTCCGTCAGAAAAATAATATAACTGATAGGTATAGCAAGATGTCGTTGCAACTTTATCAAGTTGATTATAAAAGTTACTTATTGGATTTTAAGTCTTTATCAAATGAAGAAGAAGATATTGGACGAGGTAAAGATTGGAATACATTTAATACATGTTATCGTTATTATTTATCAATTTTCTTTTATAAAACCTTATTTCAGATCCTACACTTCCGCCACCTCAAGCGACCGGTCACCATACAATGGAATTTTTTGAAATGTGTGCAGCATTAATCACACAATTAGCACGATAAATTTGCTGCATGATATGAGTCATCATTTTTCAGAATTATGTTAATATTGTGTTTTATTTCTCGTTGTACATACTCTGTGCAACATGTATCATGCGATTCATATGATAAAGGGGTCATTTGGAAAGAATGAATAACAGTTTTACAAAGAAGACAGAAGAAAAATAATAAACCTGTAGAAAGTGAACTAACATTTTTTAAAACCCCATCGCTTAGTATTTTATGAAGCGTTAAAAAGATGTGTGTATGTAGTGTATCTATATGTAAATATAAATTTAGCGATATTGACGAATTTTGAAAACTGTTTTCAAAATGGAAGCTCTTAGTTCCTTCATTGAGATGTCAGATGGCGATAAATTTAATTTTACCGAGGGGTCTTCGAGTTTCGGTTCTACACACTATATCTGTGAGATTGAAAAACTCGGACGAATTATTAGTTTCTGTTTTTATAGTAGAATTGAGTAGAATATGCTGATTACCATTTTTACAGAAGTACAAGTTTGGAGAGTAGTTTTTCAAGAAACAGTCGTACATAAATAAATGTATCGCATCTTTGTGTAGCTTTGAAAGAGGAGGAATAGAGTGTGCTACGATATTCGTCGTAGGGTGGCAACTCAGAACGAAAGAAAAAGTAAGAGTTTACTTGAAACAGATACGGAATGAGACTCTCTTTTGACAAGTGATTCTCTCTTCAGTTGATCAGTGATTAATAAAGGTTTTTGAACGTATATATTATTTATGAAGAGATAGCACGTTCTTCCATTTGAAGACTTGACAATTCAGCTTCGAGCTGTTTTATTTTTTACTTCGAGAACGGTGCTCTTTGATATTGCAGGATTCACAGGAAACAAGGGCGCGTTTTATTTGTTGTGGCTACCAAGCCCTCCCCTTTGTTGACACTTTTTGCTTTTTCCGGGTTCTTTTCTCACACACGTAGGAGGAACCACTCCCCAATTTTGACGAATTAATCTTTATTACTCATATGTAGGAACAGAAAAAAAAAAGGCGTTTCCTCCCGTCTCGGGATCGTCTGCCAGACTCATTAGTGGGGCTGATAACAGACGATCCCTGCCCCAGATGCCAATAACCCCGGTTTTCGAAACTCGTATATATTCGAATCGCGTGCCGGGAGACCGCCAGCGAGAACAAATTTAATCCCGCTGCCACCTGGCGGTCGCCGACCTGAGCTAAGGGCGTCCGGGGAGACTCGCCGTCTTTCCTCTTCCACTAAAAACGCCTACATACAAAACAATGGCTGCTACTTTCGATCAATATGACAAGTCCAGGTAAATAAAAATATATTTTTATTATTTGTGTCACTTTATCGTTCCGATTTAATTTCCGTTGTGTCGTGAAATAATAGATGTCGGTTTATTAATTGACTAATCGTTGCAGCTACAACGCGATAATTACGTATTTTTTCGTAGTTGATGTTAGATGTTTATGAAATGATTTCTTCTTTATTATGATACATTTTAGTTGGTACTTTGGTCCAATGTCACGTCAAGAAGCCTCGGATTTACTGATGGGTGAAAAAGAAGGTGGTGTATTTTTAGTACGTGACAGCACATCGATACACGGGGATTTTGTTCTATGTGTACGAGAGGACAGCAAGGTTAGCCATTATATTATAAATAAAATTCAGCAGGGTGATCAAGTACGTTATCGGATTGGAGATCAAATATTTCCTGATATTCCCAACCTTTTGGCTTTTTACAAATTACATTATTTGGATACAACACCATTGATCAGGCCTGCTCCTAAAAAGACACAAAGGGTGATAGCAAAATATGATTTTGAGGGCAACGATCCTGATGACTTACCATTCAGGAAAGGTTTGTGTAGTTTATTTTTCATTCAATAATGAATACGTTTAACCAACTGGTTTATGAAATTGTACATAGCGGTAGAAGCTGGAAAATAAATTGATGTATACGTTTTAAAAAATAATGAAATACTTATAGGGGAAATTCTCACAATTATAACAAAAGATGAAGAACAATGGTGGACTGCCAGAAACAGTCTTGGTCAAACTGGTTCAGTCCCAGTTCCGTATGTTCAGAAATACGAAGAAGACAATCATTCAGTAATGGAAAACAATTCTCGTCCGGACAGCGGAGGAAGTTCAACTATAAATTCAAATTCTGTTCAGGTTTCTGCTTCTCAGTTGTCGTATCCGGAAGGTGGACAAGGCACGACACGCAGGTCTAACATTCAGCGAACGTTACCTGCGTTTGCAAAAGTGAAACAGGCAAGAGTACCAAATGCATACGATAAAACTGCTCTAAAACTAGAAGTTGGAGACGTGATAAAAGTAACGAAAACTAATATAAACGGCCAGTGGGAAGGTGAATTGCACGGCAAGGTTGGCCATTTTCCATTCACACATGTTGAGTTTGTGGATAATGAGACTGGAGAAGACAATCAAGAGATTTAACGGAAGTCTTCCAAGTGCGATGAGTAATGAAGTTGACTTGGCAATTTAGGTTTATATTAGCAGTTATCCTATGTACTGGTACATAGAATCAGCCTAATTAAGATTTCTGTATAGAATTATTTGTTTTATAGCAGTCTTTAATCGATTTTAATAATCGTTAATAATTTGTATTCGTTTGTATACGAGTTCAAACATATTAAATCTATATACACATTACACGTATCGGGTAATCGCATATATTTTTATGGGTTACCAGAAAAGTAGGTTTTTTAATAACAGTTTTGTACCGGTACATATCATGCTGTCTAGCCATAGGTTGTGCCACAAACGGAACAACATTTTCTACTAGAATATTCTATTTAATAAAGAAGCTGTTAACCATATTATGATTGTAATTATACATGAATTACATTAACTATATATTATTAGGTAATTACATAAGTTGCAATTGCTGAGTAACGTTTTTAAGACAGCAGAAACTGTGAATTTATGTTTCTAAGTGCACCGTATTATATCGTCATGATTGTAAGTTACGCGGATTACTTGTTAATATGTAATTATACAGATCATAAGAGCATTTAGTTGTGTAAAAAAAATGGTAGCAACTTTAAAGTTCCGCTTTATACTATGTATACATTAATTTTATTATAATAGCAGTCATACATGAGTTACTGTAAATTATATATTATTAATATATAATTATATAAGTGAACTGTATCGTGATTTTTGTTGTAAGAACAACTTCGAAAATTACTTTAAAGTTCTGTTTAACGTAGAAATTAGTATAAATACAGTTATGTATGTATAAATACATTTTAATATATATTTACATATTATTATATATTTGTAAAAATTGTAATTTTATCGTACATTTTAATCAATTGTTTTTCAATATTTTTATATGGATACAAACTGGCAACTTCAGAGTTCTACTCACACTAATATGTATTAATTGCATTTGAGTATAATTATATGTAAGCTGTATGTACGTGATGTACAGTCGTTTGGAAAACACTGTAACTTTTTGCATTTCTACAAGTATTTACAAATTGATTTATTTTATTTGTAATTTAGTAAAATTATTTCTACCTTGAAATGAGAAATTTTATAATTATGGTAATATATCAATTATGTATATTCATATATAATTATATAATTTCGATTTAATTACTTTATGGTTTTAAGGAATGTTCTTAAAAAAGTAATTCATTTGTATTATGGAGGTTCTGTTAAATTTTATTATTAAATTGATTGCAGTTTCACATGAATTGTACAAACAATTTTTCGATTAAGAATACAACTAATTTATCAGTTCCTACATAAACACGAGGTATTAATTATGATGAATTTCTGTTTTGTTAATATATGTAAATTGCATTAAAATTAATGTAAGGATACTATTTTAAATTGTTAACAAATCTTTACAAGAGGATAATATGTATTTTAAATAAATTCAGATCAGATTGAGAGAAACAGTAAAGGGAGATCTGTTTATGTAATTATATATATATATATATATTGAAAAAGTAAGTATAAAACTCATAAATTTTTATATATGAATTTGTAACATTTTTATACATTTTAATTTTATAATATATAGAAACCCAATATACAATAAATGGAAAAGTAAAACAAGATTTATTGTAGCTATTATAAGGGAATAAAGTAAATTATTTATTGTCCTGTAGTTTATCTGGTAAATAGTAGTTAATTTTATCAGGTAAAGTTTTGTAAAAACGATGAACATGAATGGTCCATTCGTTGGCGCTAAAGGAAATTACCAATAAAAGAAACGAATATGCGCATGACATCTAACTTTCTTTTCGTTTCAGGTTTTGTCCGCCATATATTTCTACAATTTATTCCCGCCAAATTTCTGTACTTGATGCCAACAAGTGGTGAAACAGAGCAGTACTGACAAGCGGCAGTTGGGGATGGTTTACTGCAGTTTGTTTGTGCTCCATTTAATATTAATAAGGTAAATTCAAGTATTTGTCAATTGTAAATTGTACTACTAGAGAAACAACACAAGTTCTCAAAGTTTTAGGTATTTTTGACTAAACAAATCCATCAAAATGTACGTTAAAGTAAGAACAATGGATGGTAAACAGGAGGCGATAATAACTATCTCCAAATTAACGGAGGTAGAAAACTTTAAGGTAATTGAGTCATTTTTTTTTTCTAGATAAAAAGAATATTTTTGTATTTCTGTGGTTAGTATTATTACTTGTTTAGACTAATCTTTACAATTAAGAAATATTGATTAGGACTCATTTTAGAAAACAGATATGCACATGTAAAAATAAATGTATAAATTTATATAATTTTTTAGGATGAAATTGAGAAAGAATTACATATAAAAAAAGATCTACAAAGATTGTTTTTTCGAGGCAAACAATTAGAAAATGGTTATAAACTGTACGATTACAATGTCAACTTAAATGATGTAATTCAGTTAATGGTGAGAATACAAATGGATGATATACAAAGTATAGCTACATCTAGTAACAGTCTTAGCAGTAGTTCTGATTCTGAAAAAGAAGTTATAAATAATTCTATCGAAGATGAAAAGCTGGATGAAGCTGAAAGCTTATATTATAAACCTGGAGATGCTATAGACTGCCTTGATCAAACTTATGGAGCTTGGTTTGAGGCTATGATATTGAAAATATTTAAAAAGGATGATAAGCTTCTTTATAACGTACGTTGGGAATTTGATGACAAAGCTCCACCTTTTAATGTACCTGAGTCATCTATAAGACCACGTGCAAGCAAGCTTATACAATTTGATAAATTAAAAATAGGTCAAAAGGTAATGATTAATCATAATGTTGATGATCCCAAAGAAACTGGATTATGGTATGACTTTACAGTATTAAAAATAGATAAGAAAAGGAGGGTACAGGAGCTTGTTGGAACATTGCACATTGGAAGGTAAAATGATACTTGATTTATAATTCACCTAAGAAGGTCATTTAAATGATACCTTTTTTTTAATACAGAGATCAACTGCTTGAAAATCGTAAAGTAAATCCTAAAGGTGAGATTTTTGCAATTGAAGAACCGAAACTTCTTAAAGATAGAACTGAGAATGATGAACAGCGCATGGCTAGTAATGGTAAACGAAGACGAGTACAAGCTAATTGCAATGCATGTTTAGACGATCCTCATAAGAAATGCAAAGAATGTGGTTGTAGAATCTGTGCTGGAAAGGAAGATGAACACAATCTTTTGCTGTGCGATGAATGTAATTTTGCGTACCACTTGCGATGTTTGAATCCACCCTTAACATCTATACCAGAAGAAGATTATTGGTATTGTCCAGAATGTAAAAACGATGAGAACGAGATTGTAAAGGTTAATTATTATATGATAAAATTTGCTTTTCTTAATACCGTTACAATTGTATAAATGATCATTTTTTAAAGGCAGGTGATAAGTTAAAGCAAACAAAAAAGAAGACGAACGAGAACACGAACAGTAAACGAGATTGGGGTAAAGGAATGGCATGTGTAGGAAGAACAAAAGAATGCAGTATCGTTCCACCCAATCATCGTGGACCCATTCCAGGTGTAGAAGTTGGAATGTGCTGGATGTACAGAGTGCAGGTGATGAAAATTTTAATGTAATTCTTGAACTTAGCAATTTCTATGTATTTACATGAAGAGATAAATGGCAGGTATCTGAAGTTGGAGTACATAGACCGCATATAGCTGGAATTCATGGAAGAGAAACAGATTGTGCATATTCTATTGTATTATCTGGGGGCTACGAGGATGATATTGACAATGGTGATGAATTTATGTACACTGGTTCCGGAGGAAGAGATTTGTCAGGAAATAAAAGGACAGCCGAGCAAAGCTGTGATCAAACATTGACTAGAATGAATAAAGCATTGGCAGTAAATTGCAATGCGAAACTTAATGCAACTGTTGGTGCTACAGCCGAAGATTGGAGAGGTGGTATACCTGTAAGGGTAGTAAGAAACTTTAAGCTTGCTAAATATAGTAAATATGCGCCAGAAGAAGGCAATAGGTATATAAGTCATTGTTAATCGCGTTTACCATGTTAAATAACTATGTCTCACCGTAAAATTTAATTCTAGGTACGATGGTATATACAAGGTAGTAAAATATTATCCGGATACAGGTAAAAGCGGTTTTCGTGTATGGAGGTATTTATTAAGAAGAGACGACCCTGCTCCTGCGCCTTGGACAAAAGAGGGTAAAGAACGAATATCCGCTCTTGGTTTGAAACCAATGTATCCGGATGGATATTTAGAAGCAATGGCAAAAAATAAAACAAACAAGAAAAGAAACATGCCGGCGAAAGTAGAAAAGTCTTCTAGTTCAAAGAGCGAAGAACCGCCAAAGAAAAAACAGAAGCGTGAAACTTACGAATTAGAAATTGAAATTGTAAAATTTATCGAAGAAGATCAAACAAATACAAAATTATGGGACGAATGTCGTCTTACTTTAGCAGGCGGTAAAGCCGCATTTTTACAACAGGTTTCAGAGAGGTATTACATCGTTCTCTTTTGCTTTTTGTTGAATATATTGAATTTCAATTTTTAATAACTTTTAAATTACAGATTTACGTGTCCCTGTTGTTTGGAACTCGTTTATAATCCTGTTACAGTTCCATGTACACATAATATTTGTCATACTTGTTTAAAACGTAGCGTTTCATCAGGTGTACATTATTGTCCATCGTGTCGTTTCCAATTAGACAAAAATTATAAGATGGAAATTAACAATTCTTTATCATCTGCTCTATTATTACTTTATCCTGGATACGAGGGTGGAAGATAACATTAACTTTTATAACGTAATAATTATCTTCCAGGAATTAATTAGTACACACTTGGACTGTATTACATAATATTTTTAGGTACAATTCATATTTCAGTAAATGGACTACTGGAATACAATAGATTTGTTACATTATATACATATATATGTAACAAAAATATAGGGTGGATAATATATTGTAGTAAATTCTCTTTATTTAGAGGTTTGTTAACAAGTTTCATTACGATAACAATAATTAATGTTATATCAATACGTTATTTAGAATCATTGATAGTACCATAATAACAGAATAATGAAATTTAATTACTTTTTTACTGGAAGAGGAAATTGTAAAAAACCGAAGGAAATATATGAAATCATTAATTATTGTACTTATATTTATATTAATTTTTTATTTGTATAATTATCAATTTTTTATTTGTAGTGTAGAATTCATTTATACATATTCATATATATATATATATGCAGCTATACATGTGTTCAAATTTATCAAATTATAATGCTTTTAATTTATATTTTAATGAACTGTATTCTTTTTTTAAGAAAATCATAACTCTTCGTAACGGAAGTTTAGGAAATGAATCATGTTACTTTTGGACTATAATAAATGTTATTGTAATTACAACATAAGTTTCTCTTGGATGAACATGGAATGGAACTCCTTACTTAGTTAGAACTCCTTTTATCAATAGGTGGAACCACTTCGCTTATCCATTGAAGATACTTTTCACTTCCATTCTGAATCTAAAATATAAGTAGTATTTAATTATTTTACATATTAAATTACATGTACACTACATAATCATTAATTAAAATCATTAGTACTTACAGGTAAAGAAATTACTTCACAAACTTCATATGGATGATTTTCCCTATTTTAAGATTAATTTCATCAGTATTAAAGAAGTTTTGATTCAATATTCTTATCAACTATTAAACATTAAACCACATACTTAACATATTTTGTAAGAGCATCAACAGTATCAGTCCTGGTTTTTATCATCTAAAATAAAAATAAGGTACCAAAGATTCATATTAATCATTACAATATGAAATTTTATAATAAATTTATAATATTACCAGTAGCAATTCATTATCTTCGGCGATCTCATTTTTCCATTCATACCTGTAATAAATATTATCATTTTTAGATTACCCTTACACACATGCTTGATTAATGCCAATACAATACTCACACAGAAGTAAGACCTGGTATAATATTAACACATGCAGCCAATTTACTTTTCACTAAGCCACTGTAAAATAATTAATAACATAATTACATGGAAAAAGAATTATTAGAGGGGAGGTTACATGTTATCCTTACTGTGCCAATTTTTTAGCAACATCCTGCGTTGGAACAGTGACATAGGCAACAGAATGAACCCCTGCCAAGCTACTCATATTTTTATAAGTATTAGCGCTAATACTCCTAGCTAAACAAAAGAATGTAACAAATCCAAAAATCGGTTTACACGGTGTAAATAACATTTGTCAAAATTTTTTGTAACCGGCACGTTCTTCGATGCCTTGAACGTTGCCGTAGAACGTATGAACATAAACATGGCCAGAATCGATATTTAGAATTGCCTATTTGAAGGGGTAGATTAAATGTCGTAAAGCTTTATTGCAAAAAAGGTTAATACCTTTTGTATTCCTTCAGGTATTTATATCATCTACTTGTTAAATGACAAATGGTTTATCTGAGTAACAATTGTTTGTAAGTATATAGCAAAAAATAGATTGACAACTTTATCTATAATGATATCGTATTTTCAGTCCTTTTTGACGGATGCTAATCGTTTAAATTGTGTGAAGCAAAGGAAGTACAAGTGAGATTGTTTGTACGTCTTGTATTTAAATATAATGATCATATACAATATGCAGATTTACATAAATTATGGAAGACACGGATTTTCGCCTTACTTCGTAAAATCACATAAACATTAAGTGTTAGTTAATGTTCTTTTTTCTTCAAAAAAGTTCCTAACTATACTTACTATACTTTATTTAACATACGATCGTAATACCTACATACGGGCATGCGATATGTAAAGTTATTCCGATAATTTACTTACGGTAAACTTAACATATTTATATTAATAATAATTTAAGTATCTTTAAGAGCGTCATAATTTGCGTAATATCATTCGAATTATTTACATAAAATTCCAGAGTTCGTTGTAAACACAAATGACGAAACAATCAGTCGATAGTCAATATAATTGCATACGAAGGAGAGTCAGAAATTAAACAAGATCTACAACAACCAACAGTCTAATTTTAAACTAGGAATGGATATATTTTAGAAAATAAGTGGATGCTTAAAACATCGAGTAAGATGAATAAATGAAGGTCAGAGTCAAGGACGTTTTCAAGGTCACTTATCATTTTTATCCAATAAGTTACAATCAACGAAAAAGGAAAGTTTTTTTCAAAATATAACCATTCACGATTTCGTTGCTTTTGTTAACAGAAATAAATCATTTAAATATTCATATATTTTTTTTTTTTTTTTGTAGAAAACGGAAACTGATTGCTGATTTGATTCTCCCTTAGGTCCCTCCCATTTTTGGAGGATTCAATTTGGCAAATAGTATTCCCTCGGGATGTACTCTGGCTTCGGACTACTCGGCTCAATTCCGAGCAATTCTCCCATAAATGCGATGTAGGTAATCGCTAAACGTAAAGTTTCGATCCTCGAGAGCCGTTTTTCATACGCAAAAGTTGGTACCTAAACGACGAAAATTATTTAAAGTTATCACAATTAATTACAATCTTCCTGCCATTAAAATATATATTTTCTTAGGTTTTGATGCTGAATCGAAGTAATCAAAAGCTTATAAGACTAGAAATTATAATACAATACTCATAGTATTGTAATTAAACTCTTGTTTATTTGAATACCATCTCTATCGAGCTCAGGAAGCGGGCAGATTGTTACGTGCCGCAATGTTTAACGAGCGATCATTTAATTTTATTGCAATAAAAAATATTTTTGCGAACGACTCACTTTTCTACGTAACTTGTCAAAAGCTTCGTTCAGATTAAACATTCTACGCCTTTCACGGATATTCGCGGCTCTTCTTTGCGAAACGGTCGCCACGCGACGTCTTGGTTTCTTTGTGGTGGAAGATGGAAGATTAGGGGACCTACCATTAGGTGTGTATCGACTGAAATTATTTTCAATTGTAAATTGTAACAGATTTTTTAAATTTGTATTGCTAATATTGTAAAATTTATAGCGTTGGCCATCATCGTGTTCACTGATCATCGTGTAAATCCACAGGATTCCACTTACCTTTGATGTAGTAACGCACAAGGCTGCCTGTACAATCCGTGCTCGTTCACATGAGTATGCGAAGGAGGTGGTGCTTGATACAAAACGGAACTGTCCCACATAGGGTAGCTTCCTAGTTCACCATTAACATATTGCGACATGTCCGCTGTAATCACCTATTTCGTCCACACACTGTTAATTCTTATTTCATAAAATTAACACGCTGACTGCCGTGGAGGAATCACGGGTGAGCACCGCTTATTTAATGCAACCGAACAAGTGAAAAAAAAAAAGAAAAAAAGAAACATGTAGAACAACAAATTGGTAATAAATTGTTTCTGTTTCTATTACGACAGTCAGCATTGAAGGATATTATTGCTTCAAGAAGAAGAACTATACATTTGTAATATTATTATAAAGATGACTGTTTCTGCTGTGGCGATCAACGTGTTAAAAACCTGATTCATGGAAAATGGAATGTTCATTAACAATATCACATTTAGTGGTTTATTTTCAATTGTTTATACCCACTGGTGCTTGATTTCCATTGATCTCCCACAGCGGTTCGGTGTAGCTCATATCCCGGGTTCTGTCCAGCGGCGAGCAAGCTTAGAGGGACACTTTGTTTATTAATTAAAAAAAAAAAATAGCGAGCACGGATTGCAGAAATAACACTTCGTCACCGACACGATGTCACCTTCGATCTGAGGCTACTCCTCGTCCAGGGAGAGGATCTCTCACCGCTTGAACCCGCCCCTTTGCAAAGCCACCCTCTGGAAACCAGATTATTCACCACTCTGCGAACGCCTGCGTCGTAATCGTGATTTTCATTGGAGCAGTTCACCCTGAATGGGATCACCGTTATTGGACAAGGGGTTGCGAATGGGCGGAGCTTTGGAACAACCCTTATGGCTCTGTTTCCGTAGAAGTTGAAGAATGATATCGGGGATTATCGACCGTGATATTTTAAAGATGAACAAATTATTTGAAACTTCAGAATTCTGTTTGCTTTTATTTTTACTTATAACAATAATGTAACATGTATGTTATTTTTCTTAAAAGTTACTTATAGGATCATTTTGCTTATATTTCATGGTTTGTTTATAAAATCTTTTCTTCACTTTTTCATTAGAAATGTATTATAACTTATTGCAGTATTATTTTCACAGGTTTCAGCAGAGCAGAAACATTCAAACAATTTGCTGATCATTCGAACCAGGAAATACATTTTAAGAATGATTGACAGATCTTCTTTCATACCCCTTCCGGAAGTTTCATCCGACACGTGTACTTGATGAAGTGTAATCATCCTATCAATGTATTAGATACAGCTGAATTAGAAATATTTTAATTCTTGAAAAGGTACACGATATGATATTAAAATCGTTCCTACAATCATTTTCTGCGAGTGTGATAAACAGGGTTTTCTCTAATTTCAGATATTACGTTCTTGAAGCATCCATCCCGAGACAAATTGCTTCATAAATCGAGCCCGTAACAGGATCACACTCAAAACACTGTGACAAAATCTTCTCAGAAGGGTAACATATTGTTGGACCGAGGGGGTGTGCTCCCCTAAAATTAATTAAATAGATATTAGTCGATTCACTTGACGCGAACTTCCCTTTGCTAACGCGTATAAACATCGGGCATACTACGTGCGTGTCAAATCGCATTGTGTTTGCTTCGAGAGCGAGGGGTGCATAAACTTATTAATATTCAGCCACGAGCAGTCATTCTAATAGGATCATCCCTTTCTTCGTGTCATTCTTTCGCTGTGTTATTGTTGCTCTTTTAAAGCATTATAAACCTTCTTACGAGGGGTATAGATGGTTATTTTGGCTCAACTACGAAAATAAAATATTTATTTGGGAAGTTCGTGTGAAAAATAAAATTGGTGGTTTTTTTTTTTTGGAACAGTCTGATATGTATTTGGCAGATTTGTATCTGTTAACTCTGTCGGTGGATCTTTAATTTGAGCTTGGTAATATGCACTATATCCATAACTGCAAGCTGACGCTTTGGATCGATGCTCTGAGCGTCGGCGCTGAAATGTTTCATGGCTGAATTTCAAAGCTTTTCTCGAATGAAAGATATTCAACGTGCCGTGAAATCAAAAGCTACATTTCATATTGTAAAATACAGAACAGAACAAATCAATCATGATTCTATCAAACTGATTAAAAAGCAGTAATCACTGATTATAAGTAAAAGAATTCTTCTTCACAATAATTTTGTTATGTAAATTATAATAAGTATAAGTAATAATTATCCTTTATATTTCAATTCAATATTAATTTTATCAAATAATACAAAAAACACGTTTCTTATTGATTTTCAAAATAATTATAATTATTGATACATTTATAAATAACTCTAATATTCTTCTATGTTCTAATTTTAGAAGGAAAACTCTTGAAAAATGCGTGCAATGACGTAGAGGGTGTGAAAAGTTGGACTCCTGTTCATCCTTTCATGGTGCACGTGTTCGTTTGATCTAATTCTGATGCGTTTCTAACAATGGACGTATATTCCGCAACAGTGTCACGCCACTGACAGAAATTACGCAATTTCGTCACAGAGATTTCCAGCTTTTTCAATGGTTTGTCACTTATAATACGGATTTGTCATAGGGTTCCCTAATATGGGGTGAATTCGAGCAAAACTGTTCTTTGGTGGCTTATTATTAGAAAAAATTTATATATTCTACAGAAATAATTTTCCTTTTGTTCAAAAGCTTATAGGAATCTGATATTTAATTTATTTATTTCATTATTTATTCCAGGTTAACAGAAAATGACAATTAAAAGGAAGTTGCAAGTGTACCTGTTACATTATTTATTTGAATTATACCGCGCTTCGTATTGGGTAACGCGATCTATCCGTCGACCAATCAGAATAATCGATCTATTCCCGCGGTCGATCGCGTTCGAAACTTCCTCAGTATCGTTTGCGCGTCGGTCGGGTTAACATCGTTTTGACGGTAGTGAAAATAAATTCTTTTTTACTGTGCTCATGGAGTTACAAATGCAGTAAGTGCAGAAAATATCAAAGGAAAAGGTTGGGGAAAAGCAGATCTACTTTCTGGAATGTTTTCGACCAGGGTTCATCAACCTCTTCAACGAAAATGTAAGTCAATAATCTTCTATTACGCAAACAGCATAATAATATGGCTTTTGTGATTATGTGGCATGGCTTTTACAGGCAAAACCATTATATGGCTTTAAAATTGTTGTGAAATTTATAAATTTTCAAACATTAGTCGATAATTTAACAATTTCATAAGTTGCGTGCCGCGCGATCCAGTACGGGGTTCAAACGTGCTAACCCACGGCTTCCGTCTGTTCACTATTTTCAGCCAGTCACAATTAATTTGTTAAATTTTTGTCATTTTTAAAAATTTAAAAATTAATAATCCTAGATTATTATTCTGAAAATTCAGAAACAGATAAAATATACATTTCGCAACAATATAATTGGCTTTCGATTTTTATGTGAAATAATTACTGAATTTATTAACAACCTTGAAAAATTGACCAGAATGTTTATGAAGAAAAAGGATTCTGATAATATAAATAGAAAGAAAATTAAATAACTAATTCCTTTTATTTTAATTTGATATTTTACACGTACATGTGTGTGCTCTAAACATTTATTTATAATTTTCAAACTTGTAGTGAGTACTATTAATTACAATATTACACTGATATTAATGATAATTCATAAATCACAATCACTACATTACAATTTGTTCACAATACGTATTTATCACTAATTTCTCTTGATTGTACAATAATAAATGCTCTCTCTAAATACAAACCGGTACATTCTTAAAAAGTACTTTACAGTAATTAATGTAAAACTATATTTTGCAGAACATGATGTAATTATATTTGTGCATTAAAACTTACAGTGACATCTATTCAGGAATGTTCACTAATTAAAAACTCTTTGATAGTAAAAAATAAATTTTTTAACATGATTCTGGTTAATTGAAAAGATTACTAACAGCATATTTTATTTAATTTTATCAAGAAAAATATTTCTTTTAATTTGCAAAAAGAAATTAAAAATTTGTAAATTTATTTCGATCCTCGCTGTTAAACAAATATAAGTAGATATTTTAAAATAAACACATTGGATAAGAATATTATCCAGTATAAAAATATATATATAATATTTGGAGAATTTGTGAATAAAAGAAATATTTAAGATGATGAAATTAAATAAATGCATACAAGGTTCTATTACTAGCCGTATAATTATAAAATTAGTTAAGAACGTAACGATCTTGTTTGCATAGCACCTTGGGTAGCTGAGATTTATATAAAATCACAGTTATATCTATGAAACTCTCAATTATTATATTTTTCTAAGAAGAAGCACCCTAAAAATATTTATAAGAAAAATAGTACATATATTCTATTTTATCAGATCAATTTGCACGATATTTACATTGGTAAATGAACAATTAATCGAGTAATCATTGTAATTAATCTGTTCAAATTTCAGTAGTAGTTGCATAATTGTTCTATAGACAAAATAAATATATTAAAGTATAATACTGATAATTGAAAACTTGTACTTTGCTATAATAGACTCTTTCAACAAGCAAAAATAACTATATTTATTTAAAGGAACTTTAGAGCTTTCCTTCTTATTTTGATTATACAAATGAGGTATGTTTCAAATTTGTTGAGTCATGAGAAACACAACATTAATTCAAATCATTTACTTTTCTAAGAAAAAAAATGAGAAAAATGTTTTCTCTTGACTCCAATTCATGTATATTACATTCTAACACAGTATCAACACTGCATGTACATCATCTACAAAAATATTATCGTACTGATACATACAAGCGTCAAATTAAAAGAAAATTTAACACACAGATAATATGATAAGTACAATATTGATCAACTAAAATGACGTATGCCATTAGCTCATTGTCTTAATTTAAAAATTTCTCTTAACATTTTTTTACCTATCTTCTGAAACAGTGATTGATCATATTATTTAATCGGTTAATATTAAATAAAAATCAAACTAAGTAAAGGGATGTTATTTGAATATTTATGCTTTCAACGTATTTATAAGTATTTAAAATACTCATAAAAATATTTATCCAAACATTGAAATGCACAGTATCCCCTTTGAAAATATTAATTATATATAAATATGAATTCCTTTAACATCGTTCAGCATTTTAACAACGTTATATCTATTCTATGATTAATCTAATAAAATAAAATCCACAGACGAAGAAAACTAAAGCAGAAAGGGTAATAATCTCAAGGATTGAGTTTATCTTTTTGTTCTTCCTGTACATTGAAACCTATTGTCACGCTAGTGCTATCTGTTATGTTACTTGCAACAGTTAGAATCGGCTCTTCCGATTTTGTTTCTAACGAGGAGGTTTTCAATTCCATCATGTTATGCTTCCAATTCTCCAAATCTTGATCAGACATATTCGATAGCGAGCTCAGTTTTGTTCCGCATTTGTAACTGTAATTCGTTTCAGGTTTTGAAGCGGTCATTTTTGGCATGGAAACACTTTGCGATCGAGAGAAATTCTTCCTTTTATAACTGCTAGATCTTTTTTGCTCCGTCTCTGTTTCTATATTATTATCTCGACTCTTGTGTACCTTTTCTACATTCATAGATTCAATTTTTAAAGAGGTAGATGATTTTGCTTTATCTGTATTGTCTGTTTCTTTGATCCTGACATCTTCATCTGCTATGTCCATACTTTCAACAAGAAATCTAGAAAAAAAAAATAATTTTATTTATTATTTAGATAATGATACCTTTAATCAAGACACACCTTCCAATTTTCTTGTAACCACCGCTAGATTTTCTAATAGAATTCTCTTTCTGTTCAAAGATCTGCTTAACATCTTGTTTCTTTTGCTCTTCAGTTTGTTTCAACGTTATTGTATGATCTTCATCATCATCGATATTGTCGATAGGCAGATCATCGGTATGCATGATCTTTTGTAGATTGCTATTGAAGCCTGTGCCGAAGCCACATTTTCGAATCTGCCCATCTTCGTTGCTATAATAGTCTGTATACGAAACGCTACCACGGCCCTCTCTATGATCTTGATCGATGTTTATACAAAATTCATTGAAATCAACATCCAGACAGGGAGTTGTAGGATATTTCGGTCCAGTATTGTATTGAACTCTGCAACATAGAAAATAATGCCTCTATGAAAAACGTATCCTCCTTTGCTTTCCTTTCATTCGATTAACTATTACACACCCCTCGTTGCTAATTAAGCTTATGGACATGCTACATTCTCCTGTTGAAGTCGGTGCAGGAGACGAAGGTTCAGAGGATAGAAATGATTGTGGTTCGCTACTCCATCCAGTACCTGAAGTGTACACAAAGATTTCAGCAGTTAAAGATGAAATAATTATATATTATTTTAATTTATAGTTGCATTACTCACTATTGGGACTAGTTGGCGATACCTGATTCCTTATATCACAAGTTTCTCCGTCACTCGATTGTTTATATTGTATAGGTGTTGGTGTAATATACCTAAGAGGCAATCACTTCATCTTCATTTAAAGATACAGAACAACCGTGAGTAATTAAGAAGAAACATCTAATCGTAAGAACCACATTCAGCCTCAACAAAGTCCACAGGGACTTGATCAATAACATTCGTTGAAAAAAAAAAAAGGAAAATAAAAAAGAACTAAATACTCACAAGGGCAGTTTATTTAATTTCTTACGGTACCTGACAGCTTCCAAGTCGGAAGAGTGGTACTCGCGACTGATTCCTCCGATACTGAGATTCTGGTTAACAGAACCGTGGGTCGATCCGCCGGGAGAAGGATACTTTGGAGGCGAAGAAGCAGGCGTACGAAACAGTGGTGCGCTGGTCATCATCTCCAAGAAGGAATCCAACTGGCGCAACGATAATGCATTGTGAAGCGTTTCCAATGGCCTTATCGGTGGTACACCGCCAAAACCTTCAATTGCTGACGAGCATAAATAAATGAATGAACAACCGGAGCGTGTTTGAGAAGATCGATGATGAATCAGAGACAACTGACCGGCCACAGCCGAGGCGTGAGGTGGCACCATATCCTTCAAATTTGGAGCACTCGAAGATCCACTGATCACCGCAGTGCTGAACAGGCTGTTCGCTGATCCTGTCAGCTTCTTGTTCACGTTGTAGCCCAACAGCTTGAAATAACTCATCTGTCCGGAGATACTGTGACGGTGGCGCCTTGCTGTGCAGGTAGGGTCAGGTTGAATGATCGAAGGTCGTGTGTCTGGAGATGAGAAGGATCGTTGAGGCTGGAGTCGGGAGAACGGTGCACGTGGACACTTGGAACGATGGTTATATTTACGAGGAATATCGTGATCGTTGTGAACATCGTTATCGTGCACAGAGGACGTATGATAAAACGTACTAGGATGATCTGACGCGTCTATCAGGCTATCGTACAACTGTAAATTCACATTGGGACAAGACAACCTCGAACGTCGTCTCTGTGCCCTTGAATTAACAGCAGACAAGATGTCAGATGTTTTACACAAATTAGGACAAGACGATGTCCCGTTTCGTCTGTATACCTTCTCAACAACGCTGCCACTACTTATCGTTGTTGGTCTCATAATATTCCCGCCGAACCTCCACTTCTCTGTTCCTTTGGACACCGCAGACTCGTTGCAAGCACAACTTGACTGATTCTTGCATATGGAACACTGATCAAACGCTGGCCTCGAATGACAAGGAGTGAAACCCTGTTTGTCAAGTTGGACATAAGATCTCTGTTCATGGCAGAACGCAGAAGAAAAAGAAGAAGAATCAAGATCTAAATCAGGGATCTCCTTGAAGTTTCCATTGCTATCGTTCAAAGATAGTACACTGTAAGAGGAATCGGTGGACTCGTTTTCTTGTAGACTATAGTAACAGGAACAATTGAAGAACTTATGAGAAAGAGAGCGAACAAAGTATGTGTCAAAGTTGGAACGTTCCACTGGTGGTAGATCTTTGCTTCTCAATATCAGCTCAGAAACGTTACAATTATAACAAAGGCATCTGGTTAAGTAAGGAGATAATGAACGGGATCTTTTCTCTGTTTCCAATTGTCTCCTAGACAAGCCT